TGGCACCTGAAAGAAATGTAAGAAGGTTTGGGACAATACTTTGAATGGGGTTACACTGACTGTGCCATCTACGGTGACTTAAATGGAATAACAACTGACCATTTTTAGATTTTCCACTTCATTACTTAAAGCTCCTGGCCTTCTTTCAAAAGAACTTTACAGGACATCTGTGTGGACAGATATAGACTTAACATGGAAGCTACATGTTTGATTCAACACAGTTTCAGAAACAGCAAATATACCTATGCTGTGTCCCAAATGGCTGCCTATTAGATACTGTTTGGGTGTTATTTTATGACTATGCAGTATTCAAAACATTCTTTAGTAAAGACAACGATTCTATACAGAACCATGAACACTCAAAGAACCACTTGCATGCTTAAATGGTTCTTCGCATAGTGACATCGTTCTTCAAAATGATGGAAAATGTGTCATATATGGTTCTACATAGCACTAAAAAGCATTCTTCTATTGTTACAATGTCAAGCTTGTAACAATAAGAACCCTATTTGGTGCTACACAGAAGCATTTTCTTTACTAAAGAATCATTGAGGAACCATCTTTGTTAAGAGTGTATAGGGAGTATGGGGCCATTTGACATTCACTCTGCTTTTGACATTATGCTTTTATAAACGGTTTGTGGTAATAAAAAAAACCCCACTCATTCTGATGTAGGGAAGGAGGCTAACAGACTAACAGGCAGCCAGTTTGTTGTGAAATCCCTCCACTTCAGAGAAACTGTTAGACTACACTTCAGCTGTGTGGACGGTCAATAATTTCCAGGCCACCGTGTTTACTCTCCGGCCATGAGAGGCTTTATCAGTGCGCTCTTAGCCCCACAGCTGAGACAACAGAGCCCCATTAGAGTAACTTACGGTTAGGCTGGTCATGATTAGCTGCTATGCTTAATGACAGTAGTTTTTCAAAGTCAAATGGCTTCTGAAAAGGAAAGTTTCTCCTCAAAACGAGTCAGCTTTCCACTGAAAGCGGGCCAGCTGCTTTTCCATTGTGTACACCGACATATCAGTGATAGCCACCAGTTCACCACGAGGGACTCAAAAGCATTACCCAACACGCAAAAATCATGAAGGACTCATCAAGAGCGACTAAACTGGGCGGTGTTTGGTTTTCGTTTTCATCCTCAGAGAAATCCCCCCACACTGAACCCTGAAGAGGCCAAACTGAGGCAACTGAAGGCTTTAGCTAATCGCTCTGTCATTAGCTGTCCCACCCAACTCTGAGGAAAAGAACCAGAGGGCTGACTGGAGTTTGGGGTTTTTATGCCTACAAGACTGTTTTGGGATCAACAACACGATGTAGCTCCCTCACAGTAACGAGAACATGTGATGCGTTGGCTTTTAAACACTCGTGGGTCACACAGCAGCAGCAGCTGAGCTATTTTGACACAGTGATGTCACGAATTAATGTAACAAATGGGAATAAAAGAAAAGGCTACTTACAAAACCATACCCCCTGGACTTCCCAGTCTGTCTGTCGGTAATCACGACAGCCTCCTCAATTTCCCCAAACACTTCAAAATATTTCCTCAGGCTGGAGTCCGTGGTGTGGTACGGAAGACCTCCGACGAATATCTTGGTATAAGTCGTGTCCTTTTGGGTGGTATGCATCCTCAAAAATTACTCAAGTGCAAAACAATTACGGAGAAAAAGACGTAGTGCAATATTTCAGAGTCGATATGACTTTCCCGCTACTTATATTCCTTTAAAACACGGTATGTGCAGGCGGAGATACGACAAAAAGTAGTTACTGAGAAGTATAAAACACGGCTTTAGGCTACAAACTTGGAGGTAGATTTATTGTTACTTGGGAGGAAATGTGGAGCGGATTGTGCCGAAGATCCTCAGGTGGGTTGAGCTCCCCTGCGTAACTGACGTGACTTCTGCTAAGTGCTTCTGACCCCATTGCTAAATGCACCCGATAAAACCCCGCCCATGGGGAGGAGGGAGCGTAGACCACGCCCACTACACGCGCCTACCAACAGCTGGGCAGCGGTACAACGAGCCGGTTGTGTGCGCCTCTGTAGAAAACCGCAGGACTGTCCAAGAACACTTGTTGCTTTGATAAATGCGTGTGTGTGTGTGTGTGTGTGTGTGTGTGTGTGTGTCAGAGAGACTTCAACACTGCTAGACCTACATTATTCCTTCCTATTCTTGTAACTCACATTGAAGCTACTGCATTGTTGAAATATTTACATTCCTGTGAGTGACTTTTGATCTTTTTCTGAAGTTTAAAGAGGTTCAAAGGATTTGCATGAGAGTAGATTGACTTTCCTTAAAGCCCACCAAATGGTCAGCGTGTCCTCTGGGAGAGCATGACAGGTGGTTAAAGCAGGGTTAAGATGCCACCTCATGGGCCAGAGACGACATCATTGTGAGACAGGTGTGCACCAGAGGACTTGTGCTTTTCAGATGATGTTACACTGAAAGGACAAAGCAACCAATGTGCCAGCACGCACCTCCCTTTTGTCATAATGTCTTGGTGTAAAAGTGTAATATATCTTATTTATATTATATAGTGTTGAATTTCTGTTGCTTTACAATTAGAACCATTGTAGATATAGATTGTAGATACACAGTGGGGTCCAAAAGACTAAGGCTACTACTAAAAATGCTTCTTATTTTGCATTCTTTGCTAATTTCATACAAAGTTTTTCATTACAAATGATCAGTATAATAATTTGAGTGAAAAGTGGAATCCTTGAAATGTTTGCATTTCTTAGTATTTAGCTCATCCCATTTGCTTTAATGACAGCATGCACTCGAGCTGGCATGGACTCCACAAGTTTGTGCAAAACCCTCTGATGAGTAGATCAAATCCACCTGAGAGTCGTCTGAACACGAGCTTCAGTGGAAGAGATAAAACAGGCCTTTTTGTACTAAAGCCTTTACATAGTGTCACAAATTTGTTTACATTTGAATAGTGATCTAGAAATAGTGCAGAATCTTAAATATTTCTTCTCCATTCTATTGAACTTGTTTTACATTTAAAAATGTAGTTTATTTCCAAGTCTAAATGAAAAAGTATAATGTGATTGCAAAAGTAGATCAGTCACAATAGATTGCAATCACAAATACTCATTACCCATACAGGTGAAGTCACTCTTTCACACAAACAGAAACAGCAGAAAGGCCTAATTTCCTAGATCTACCTGTAATTCTAACTAGGTAGGTAACTCAATATGGTGCCCAGTGAATTATTAATATGGCCAGTCATTTAGACACCGCTCTTCCATATCACTTGACTGCTGTGGGTTTTGTGGAAGCGTGTAACCCAAGAGGCCGTCTGTTTTGTGGGGTCCACCATGCTTCGCCTAGCTTCTGACGCCCAACACTCTGGGATGCAAACTGAGGCTTTACAGAAAAAAATGTCAGCAACCAACCAGCCATGGAGGCGTGACATGAACCTCATGGAGAGCATCTTTGGCATGCTAGCACATCCACTAATTTATTTATGCTCAGTTAAGCCCGGAGCAGAGCCGCTGTAATAGAGATAGGTTTGGATTTCAGGAGGATTACAATGGGAACCTATCCTGTTGCGTGCCCTTGTTCCTTTGCCTCCTTTCATTTGCGTATTAAATTGGGTGGTTGGACAGATATGGACATTTTAGTATTCCAATAATTAGTATATCGCGGCTGTCGGAACAAAACCTCCATTTTTGTTGTTTTTCAGTTTTTGACATTTGAAATTGTAAGCCTTTATATTGTGTGTACATTTCATGATAAATGGACCAAAAGAAACAGCCCAAAAAAGTCTGGTTCCAATGACTTACATTAAAAGTAAAGTATGTTTTTTCCTTCTCCTGTAAAGTTACCCTTTTGGAGATACAAGGTTTTTTTTTCCAACAACAGCAATATAGTGTTGTGCTTTAACTATTATTGAAACAATGACAAATTAATTCACAATTGTACAACTCTCTTTTTTCCTTATATACATACAGACATTGGTCATGGGTCAATGAAAAACTGCACACGTGTCCTAAAAAGACAAAGCAACATACCTAGTATAGGTGACTATAGCTTTACTACAGTTTAAATGTGTATTGTAAGAAAGGAGTTAATAGAAAGTGATACTACTGTAGAGAACCTAACTACAAACTAACAAACTACACAAATGTGTTCACTTCACTAAGACCAGTGGCCTACCCAATTGCAGTTTCAACTAAAGATACAAGTATGCATACAAAGCAACATACACACCGACCAGAGGTGATTTCAAAATAAAGATGTGCATGTATGCAAGCTATGGTAACACTTTACTGAAGGGCAGCATTCGTAAGGCTACATCACACTTACACAAGCCGTTCATGTAAACCTACATAAACATTTGTAGTCTTATTTCAACAATCATCAACCATCATAAAGGCTGCTTTTGTCCATTTTTGACTCACAAAGTGTCGTGAGAACTGCTGGAATAAGCCTTTATAAATGTTTATGTAGGCCTGTGTCAGCGGTCATAAAGGCTTACATAAGTGTTGTTTTGCCTTCTGGATGCCACTCTTTAGTATAGTCTTATCCCAATTATAGAACCCTCTTGTCAAGAGAGTGCATACTACACTAAACTGACAACAGGCCCCGAATTAAAATCTCTTAACAGACATGAATTCCAGCAGGTGTAAATATAAACAGGACCTTCAGGGCTGAGTGTCAGCTAAATTATTGCCAGTTGAATATTCAAAGACACCCCACACGTACATATGATCTCCTCATAAGAAAACAAAACACCCTATGTTTTTATGAGACCTAGTTTTTGCCACTCTGCTAATTACAAAGAGATAAAGTTACGTACAATGACCATGTGAGAGATCACTCTCGGATTCACACCTACACATATTCCCTTGGCAGCATGGTAAAGCTCCTGTTATTAAAACATATTGACCAGCTGATCAAACACTGCCACCTTGTGGACTAAGCAGCTCTACATGGCCTTGTTTCATTAGAAATCTTTGCTTTTGATTGCTAAAGATCAGTGCAGCTGACACATTTACACATAAATTGATTTAATTTGGGTTCATTTTGCATATGTGAAGGTATCAGTATGCAAGGCAAATGTATATGTTATAGTTCAGACATTGAGGTCTCTCTCAAAGACAATGATGCATACTCTCTTTCATTTGACACAAAATGTTTGAACCTAATGTACACTCTCATTCATACGTGCTCATTCTTTCATAGAAATAATCACTGTGGTTAATGTCTATATGTCTAAGAAAGTGGCTATTGTTTCATTTTTCTTTGGAAAACAGCGTCTTAAAGAATGAAGGTAGTAAAGAATGATAAAGCTTCCTCTTTGTTCAATATTTCACTGGATGGCAACTCACGGAACTCACATATGAGCCACACTGTTCTTACAGCATGTTCACAAACATCCAATAATTCTGTTAAACTGTGTTAAGACAGTGTGGAAGTTCAGTATTAAAAAGCTATATAAGAGCATTATAAAGTGCAAGTGCAAAAAAACCTTCCCAGAATATATGTGCTATATACGTGCCTATAACATGCTAAATATATACTAACTATAAGAAATAAGCTGTATTGGCCCAGCTTTAGTTTAGGGGTCTAGGGGCAGCGCTAGGCTAAAATAACTCATCAGCAATCTGCTGAAACGTTGAGTCGTTTTCCAGCTCTGGAGAATAAGTCAGTCTCCTATCCACTGAATCTCCTGAACTGCTGCCCGTATGGGGATCTTTGTTTGTGGATGGGAGAGGGGGAGCTTCAGCATCAACCTCAGCCCCCACTGGAGCAGCTGCACGAGGCCGTGCGGACTTGGCCCTCAGTCTGGTCCGCAGCTCATCCTCCCGTACCTACACACAGAGAAATGGTAGCTTACAGTGCAGTACATTTAGCCTCCAGAGGACAATGGCCACCAGCCACATCAGTAAAACATGGTGACTGCATGTTAGTTGAGGGGCTCTCAGTTCTAGTCTGGAAGATCCACTGCCCAGCACAGTTTCAAGTATCTCCTGCCATAACACACTTAATCCCGTGTGGGCCAGAGGAGGATTTTCCCATTTTAGTTACTTTCAAGGTTTTTTCCTGCCACTATCAACCCTTCGCTTGCTCATTAGGGGTCTGGAATTGGAACTGTGCTCTGCAGCAAATTTAAACTGAATCAGATTGATCCACATAATCAGCTACTATCAACTGTTAAAGAGGCACCCTAACCTAAAATAAAAAAATAAAAAAACATCTGTTGTAAACATGCCTACTTGACTACAGTGGTGCCACAAAAGTCTCTAGAGTAAGATTTCCTGGTTTCAAGACTAGGAAAACCCCTTTCTGATGATGTATCTGAAAAACATTAAGGGCTTTGGGACAGGTAGTTGAAGCCAAGCTGTTTTTTTTCTGCTAGCTGGCTAATGAACAAGGAAGCCAGGTAGCCAGCATTACTGCTAAGAAGCCAAATATCATGTTTGTTTTTGTTAGCCTCTGCATTAGTGGCTATGTTAGCAGGATTTCTTTGGTTTTTCATTGCAGGATTTTAATTACCTGATTTCTATATTCTAGATAGTTACACAACGTATTTGCATAAGGCATGCTGGGTATTGCAGTAAGGGAACACTGATAGATGAAAACACAAAAATACAAAATCGTGAATTCTGTCAAACTAATGAGGACTGGAATGCTGCATTTCAGAATAATACCTGACATGACAAAGAGCGTATTAAATGCTAGTTTTAGGCTGAAATGACTATTTAGGCTTTCCATGAGCCGGATAAGGTGTGTTGGAACAGGGAATGCTTGACACTATGCAGGACTGGAACTGCACAGCTTAAGTTCAGTGTTTCCCCAATTACAGCCTTAGAGCTTCCTCCTGCACTTCATAGTTTTATGTTTTCTGTACTCTAACATGTCTGATTCATAGCATTAGATAATTATTAAACCCTTATTGAGCTGAATCAGGTGTGTCAGAGAAGGGAAAACAAAATGTTATGTGACTGTGCAGTGCAGGGGAGGTCCAGTACTGGGGTTAGGGAACAATGCTTTAGTTGATGTTTGATGAACATAGAGCTCTAGAGTTTGTGAAGCTGATGGCCAACAGAAATATTTTTTTGGTGCAAAAATACAAAGAACTGGAAAAAGTGTAATTAGGTTTTGCTTTTGCTGTACTTTTCTTCTCTCCTCCACTTGTCTCATCTTTTCTTCGATGTCTTCCTTTCTTGTGACCTCTTGTTCTTTACGAATCTTCAGTGACTCTAGACGAGGTGGCGGCCTCCTCCTCGGCCTCCCTGCGTCATCCAACTGAAGCACATCATAAACATTCACACATTCACACAGTCAAACTGGAATTTGTCTTCAAACCCTCAAAGACATCAACAGCACTGGATACCGTGCTTGCAACTCATCACGCTGTAACAGACTGCTCACCGTGATGTTGTAAGCCTCTCCACTGCCTGCGACTTTAGGCTGGGCTGGAATGATGCCCTGACTCAGCAGCTCCTCCAAAATTGCACTGGACTCCGGCCTCTGGCTCTCCTGCACCGGCCTTGGACTCTGAGCTAACGGTACAGGCATGAAGAGTTGGTCACTGTTGCATTTCTGTTCCAACTGTAGTTAGAGGTTCTTTTTTAAAGGGTAAATGTCTCCCAGATGTCCCTTAACCCCTTAAAACCCCACGCTTACTATATACTAAGGCTTATTAGTCAGTAACTACAGGGACTTCAATGCAATCTGGCTGAGCTATTCTTACTCTATAGAAGTGTGTAATAAAACTTTGGGCCAGTGGACCCTGGTCATTTAGGGTGTTATGGACAGCATATATGGATAAGGACAGCACCAGACAGCCTGCACAGTCATTAAATTACTCCAGTGTAGGACATTATTCAACTTTGCACCAGAACCATGAAGAAAGTATGCCACCTAGTGGATCCAGTGTACACAGCAAACATACCAGGACTGAATTAATACCTACAGTGTAAAATTAACACCGCTAGTCATAGGGCATATAGGCCTGCTGGAAGGGGTGACAGAATACATTATTGTCTGTCTAAAACTAGTCTTTGATTATTTTTTAATGAAGTAGGTGTTTCAGTTAAGAATATTTCAGTAAGCCTACAAATCCCATGCAAAAAAGGTCCAATATTTGTGGACCCCTGTCTCTTCAGGGCTCTTGGAATGGTCCTAACCTTCCCCCCTCATACAGTGGCCCTGCCTCTAGTGTTCAGGTAAATTCTGCCGAACACAAATAAAGACCTTAAAGGTAAATTCCACTGATTTTCCTAAATGTCTGCATGATATAGTGGTTGAAATATACAACAGTCATTCAGAGTGATTTGATGTAAAATGGTTAATTTGTAGAGCAACTTACAAACTAATATTTCTTTACAGTGGTGGTGATAGGAACCAGGGGTCATGATGGCTTCAACATAAATATAGCCATTTTATTTACTATCCAAAACCACCGGTAAACCTACAAGTGTCTTCTTCTGACTTTATATATGTAATGTACAATACAATAGTACAATAGAAGTAAATCTGAAAAAAAAAGCTTTCTTTGGGACTATTTTGCCTTAGAACACCCTTCATGTATCTCTCCACCATGAATAGATGAAAATACGTTTTAGGTTAAAACTTTATCACAAAACTATCGTAAAACAATGTCTCAGACATCAGGTCATGTATTCATAACCATTTCATGTAAGGGAGCTTTTAGAGGCACTGAACACTTCAGACGTCTGGTTCCTATCAAAACCACTCTGAACAATTCTGACTCTGTAAGTTTCTCTAGAACGAAACATTCTACACCAAACCACTCTGGACAACTTTGTTTACATCTCAACCATTTAATTTTAATTTAAAATTGTGAAAAATCTGTGGAGTTCCCCTTTAAGAGTTAATTCAGTACTGTAGGTGTTACATGTTTTACTCCAAAGTGCAACCTCATTTAAAGGCCACAGTGACCCAAGACAGCACATTTTCACAGCTGGGGAACATGATAGACTGCTTTTCACCTCCTACCTCTCAACGGTGGGAGTATCCTGGGCACTGCCCCCGGCAGGCCAATGGTCTCTCCGGCCTCCAGCCCCAATCCACTGTCCGTGGTCTGCTTGGACACGGCGGAGTCACCGCGAGCTCCTCCACGCGCCGCTACAACCTGAGGGGTTAATACAAAACGGTGGCACTGAAACCCACAACACAGTGACTCTCAGTTTCAGACACAACGTAGCGTCCAGGCGGGGTTATCTACAGGCTGATAAAAAATTAATGTCCACTAAAAAGTGCTGATGAATTCTCAGCTTAGCAAACTTCTCAGACCTGTCGTCTTCACCAGCTCCTGTTTCTGACCATTTTAATGTTTCTACAGCTTTATGAAGCGAAAACAATGGGAGTTCGAGTCTCCTACCTCGTTTGGGTCCAGACTGTCCGGCTTCACGGGTTCGACCACCGTAGTTTTGGAGCTCCCGCACCCCATCTTCACTCTGTATGACGGCGCTGTGATGTTTCAGCAGTTATTCGCCAAACTGGTCGTTCAGTAGTTTTAAAGCAGTGCCGCATTCCTACACATGATCCAGGACCCGCGACCCTCGTCTCCATGGACTCTCTCCGTCGCTAAGGCTCGTTGCTACAATAAATCTGACCCGCGTTATTTTTCCCCACCTGTTTTCCGACAAACCCCGCCCCCTGCGCCCGGATTGGCTAAAAGTTCACGCTCACAAGGGCTGCGTCCCGTATCGAGCACCGTAGACTGAACACTTATCCCCAGGGGGAGTAAAGTACACACTGTGTACACTACAAAACATGATGCAGATTTTAAACTAAAAACAGGCAGTAACCAGGTTAACTCGAAATGCTGAGCTCTCTGAACTTCAAATAATAAGCTAACAAATATTAACTGTTAACTTATTTGAAGTTATTCTTCTGTGAACCTATCTGAAGTTAAAAACTCAAAATTTCCACTTAACCCAGTTACTTACTTTGTTAATATTAAAAGCTACATCATGTTTTACATTGCATGTATGTTGTCTTCAGGCCCTCCTCAGAAGTTCCTACTTACAAGTATGACCTGATATCAAGTGGTTGGATGGGAAAAAATTGTTTACTCTTTCTGTCAAAGAGACAAAGTTCATATCACATTACTGCAACAAAATGAACAGGAAAGGATTTGCATCAGCCGGTATGATTTTTTATCGGCATGAATTACATTAGGGCTCATAGAAAAGTCAGGGCTTGTGCAAAAAAATAATAAAAATAAATAAATAAATAAATAAAATTCAGCGTTTCTCCCCAGTAATTACAACACTGTAGTGGTGTTAATGTTCAGGAGTTATAAGGCAGCATAAGTCCAATATTTTGGACAGATTACAACTGGGCAGCTCACCCCATGATGAGTTTTTGATTGTTCAAATGTTCAATCTTGTGAGCAAATAAAATTTTTCACTTATTATTTTATTACCACTTACTCCAAAGCGGAGTTACTATTGTTACACTATTCAGATTGTATGTTAGCTCACAATAATATAATCTTAAACCATTATCAGTCATCGAGCTCAATCACATCTTTTATTTTCATGCAAACTGTATGTGCTTTAAAACTTTTGATAACTTTACAACATAAATAAAGTAGGATAACATAATAATGTTAAAGAGACACAGCTTTCGCACAAGTTGTGGTGCTCATTCACCACCCACTTAATCTTTCTCTCTCTAACTCTGCTCACACACACATATACTCACACCCCTGGGGTGGTTCCTAGCCCCCTCCCCTAAACAGAGTCCACAGCAAAAGACACCAAAAATGCTAGAGAACACATAACCCAAAACTACTGTGGCAAATATTTATTAAACACATTACAATACCCTATTAAAGGTTGTCCTAAGCCATAGAGGAGTTCTGGATTAATAGCGTCCAGAGTTCACACCCTTCAGATTCCGTCCATCTGTTGTAAGAAATCCACTTCTTGTCTTCTGTTTGATGAGTGTAGATGCACTAATATTTTGGAAGAATTCATACTTGACAAATTCTTCAAAATAATTGTTCTCAAGGGTTCTTTACTAAAGACAATGGTTCTATATAGAACCATGAACACTCAAAGAACCTATGTGTATGCTTAAAGGGGATGATGTTAAGTGGTTGCACACAAAGAAAATATGTTACATTGACAAAATTTCTTTCTTTAACTTTTTTTTGGCCATTATTATGCTCATGTAATAAACTGTCTTCATGTGCAACTACTTTAATCAGTTCAAAGCACCTTTTTTTCAGTGTACTTATAGCAGAGGTATGCGATACGGGACACAGCCAGTGAACTAACGTGCCTATCACAGCGCAGGAGGCGGGGCTTATCTGAAAGCGGGTAGGAAAAAAAATAGCGACGGAGTGATTGAAAGGTCGGTGACACTTGTTTGTCTGGTGCCAGGCCGACATGTGCCAAAACAAAACTCACACGTACAACATAAAGGGCCGAATGCATGTAATGTGCGTTTGACACGTTGCTCACATTAAACTCTACTGGAATGGATGTGTTTATGAATTCTTAAGCCCTGTTTCACTGACCTGCTAAACACAGCATACCAGGTCTGGTTTTCACCTCACTGTAAAAATGACCTGTCAGTTCAACCTAAAAATGACTTAATGTGGTAACCAGCAATTTAACTGGTTGTATTCTGCTTAAACATGGCTTGAATGAAACAATGTAAAACAAAATATAAGCGGTTTAGAAGATGTGTGTGTGAAAAGAATCTGTATTTTACATTAATTCCAACACTTCAAAAAACGTTTGCCCTGTTCCTCTTTTTACTCAGCAGTAGGAGTGATGATCTAGAATAAGTTTTTGTGACTGTAATTATCATAAATACAGAGTAATCTGATCTGAGATCAGTCCTCTAACTCTGCTTTCTGAATACCATCCCAGTTTATCAATGACCCATTATAAATAATAAATATAAATATAAACCCGTTATAAATATAAATAATGCAGACAGAGGGAATACTGTATCCTTAAATTAATGTTTGCACAGTAACAATAACCAGCACACAGGTGTCAAAATACATTTATTCAGGTTTAATCTAATGTTAGGTGTCAGATCCAGGAAAGACGAAAAAGGTTCGGTTCTCATATCTTTGCTGTGTATCACCGACCATTACTCTTCACACCCTGTGAAATCATTGCACAGATGGAGGAATCCTAGATGTCTGCTCAGTCCATGGGGATTGTGGGCATTCTACAAAGGCCAAGAAGTCTCTGACGAATCTCCTGGCACTTTAGGTCTATCCCAATCGAACGTGTCTTTTTGTTCACAGCGTTCTCCAAATTGAACAAGTTCCTGTACATTGCATCCAGTGTTTTTCTGCAGAGTATAAATGGGAAGACTTCATAAGACATCATTTTTCTTTCTTGGACAAAAACTACTAAAACTACTCTACTGTTAAAACTCCAGTGAGGAAGTACAAGAGGAAAGTTAAGGAACAAATGTTATTAAGGAATCTCTGATCATTGCTAAGATGTTGCTAGGTCATTGCTATGGTATCCCAGGTGGTTGCTAAGGTGTGGTTTGGCCATTGCTATCATATCCCAGGTGACCAGGTGGCTGCTAAGGTTTTGTTTGGCCATTGCTATGCTATTCCAGGTGGTTGTTAGGGCGTTGGTAGTTATAATCAGAAATTATAATCAGTTATAAAATCTTAAATTGACTCACTGTGAAAGAAGGAGCTTCTTCTTGAGGGTGAAAGTGTTCCTGCACAGGCTCTTTGTCTCCTGCAAAAGTGCAATGTTTGGCTGCAATACAGTAGGTGTAGAAAAACAACTTTACCTTTAAGGAAGCGCAGGGGAAACAATCTAAAATCAGAAGTAGTCCAAAAGTAATCCAGGTGAAATCATATTAGAAAAGAAATTTATATTTATTAAGTATAAAGATACCAAACTACAGTTCTACCCATAATCTGTCCAACCCTGTATGAGCTCACAGCATCTAAATGCAGACCAGAGGAGGGTAAGTATGACCCTCGGGCAGTCTGTAAATTCCTCACCAGTGTGTCCAACTCACCTGATCCAGACAGAGTTCATAGTTCAATCTCTGAGCTAGGATGTCCAGCTGAGTCTGAGCGAGCTGCTCCTCAGAGCCAGAGCTGAGGATCTGACTCTCCACCTTCTGCATCTCTGCCTGTAGCTCATTTACTGCTTCCATCACCTGAACAGTTATATAGAATTGCAGATCTACAGTCATAATTTCTAATTTAGCCATTTTAAAATAGCACTGTTGACCCTCAAAAGCTTGTACAACAGGACAAAGATATTAAAAAATGCAGGTCACAGTACAGAATGGGTTCAGACCCATTTGTTTATCAAACAAACAAATACATTGTATTAAGAAAACCCAAAAGATGTTGTTCTATATAGAAAAAAGTGCTTTTGATACTAGCACATAGCATCATTGCCCACTAAAATTTACATTACATTACATTTACAAGTGAATGTAAAAAGATTTTATTTCAAGTAATTTTGGAGCTTTTTTGTTGATCTATTCATCATGAAATTTTCACACAAGGTAAAGGACAGTTGCTGTGTTCAAATGCAATCTCCACTGACAAGCAATGGCAGTAGAATGTGCCCTACTGAAGAGCTTAGTGACTTTAAACATGGCTCTGTGATAGGATGCCACATTTGCCAAAGATGAGTTTGTGAAATTTCTTTCCAGCTAGATCTGCCCCAGCCAGCTGTAAGTGCTATTATTGTGAAATGGAAACATCTAGGAGCAACAACAGCTCGTTCAGAAAGAGACAGACCACGCAAACTCACAGAGCGGGGCTGTCGAGTGCTGAAGCACGTAGCGCATAAAATTCCAGAGTTCCAAACTGCCTCTGGAAACAACATCAGCACAAAACCTGTGCATCAGGGAGATTCATGAAATGGGTATCCACATCCAAGCAGCTGCACATAAGCCTAACATCACTGTGCGCAATGCCAAGTGTCGGCTCAAGTGGTGTAAAGCACACCGACGCTGTGCACTGGAGCAGTGGAAACGTGCTATCTGGAGTGATGAGTCATGCTTTACTATGTGTGGCAGTCTGATGGACAAATCTGGGTTTGGTGGATGCAAGGAGAATGCTACCTACAGGAATGCGTAGTGGCAACTGTAACAGTTGGACAGCAATGATATAAAGATTATAAAAAATTGGGGAAAATCAATGCAAGTCTGCGGAGGACAGGAGAAGGAAAAAACTACTTTATTTTTAATGTAAGTCAATGGAACCAGACATTTTTCCGAGTCATTTTTGGTCATTTCTTTTAGTTCATTCATCATGAACAGTGTAAAGGGCAACAGGTATTTTCAAAATGTCAAAAACAAAAAACCATCAAAAATGGAGATACAAGGTTTTCTTTCAACAACAGCGATATCTATAGACCCAATACATTAGAAGGTGGCACTAAGTCACTCATAATAACCAGTATCAGTTCATGCTAACATTTAACTGTGTGGATCTCACCTGCTGCTTTTCCCATTCAAGAGCGTCCTTGGCTCTGCTCAGTTCGTCCAGCCTCTTGCGAAAAGAGAACTCTGTAGCAATGCGCTGGGCCTCCAGAGAATGAATGAGCTGTAAGACAAGAAGATGATTACATGTCAACTTGTTGAAATGAAATAAATGGACAAAGATGTAAGCTGTGTCACTCAGTCTACGTTTGCCCTGTTGCCTACCTGAGAGAGTGAGTACTGCAGGTTGTTGCGGAAATAGGAAGAGTCCAGGACCACCTTTTCTGCACTTTTCTTCAAGTTCTGGCAATGTGCTATCCACTGCTCATAAGTCAAGATTCTGCACTTAATAAAGACTTAACATTAATACCAAAGAACAAGGAAGGAGCAAGGAACACTATGAAGGCTATATAGTATCTAGAACTGCACTAAGAGCTGAACAGGTGAGAGAGCTATTCAAAGACTGACCCTTTGGTGACATTGGAGATTTGGTATCTGTATCCAATACTGGGAGACTGGAGGTTCAAGGTAAGGCACTGACTGTTGAGATTGATCGCATCGCCTTTGTCCTTCTGGTCAGCTAACAGCTGACTACGCATCTCCTTTAATGTCCTGAATATGAGTTTAGGACAATGACTTACATAAATAAAGCTTTAAGTCAATAAAAATCTGTCGTGTATGATGATTCTTTTGGTAGTTCACCTCTGATGTTCCAGCACCTCAGTGATCCTCTGCTGAACCAGCTGCTTGACGTCTTCACACAGTTGTACCTCTCTGGCCAGCTGCTCCTCCACATGGTCATAGACAAGATCTCCAGCCAAGCGGCCATCACGCAGCGTCACACACTCCTCAAGAACCTGTGTGTAGAGGGCTTTCTCCTGCAGGCATGTCTCAGCAGATGCCTTCACCTGCACGGACCACAGACCAGAGCTGTTAGCAGCTGGGGTTTAGCTCCCGAGCTAGATTAAATCTCTGAAATAGCCAATCAAACTGGCAGATTTCAAATCCATATGACAAAATAAAATTGGAATACAGCAGATAAACCCACCTAGAGCTGGTTTATAGGACCCCTATATATACATAAATGTTTAAAATTCATAAAAACCCTAACTAAGTGATTCAGAGTCAAGAGGAAATACTTATTTAATTATTCACGTTTGCCTGTATGCTCAATTTGAAGAGCTTTTAGGACATTAGTAACAGCTTGACAATTATTTTGGAAGTTTTGCCCCGTCAACTTCCATCGAAAGCTTTCTGGGAAGTCAGAAATACCTGACTTGACTGACAACATGATGTTATGATTATAAAATCATACTTACTGAACACAGCCTTTAAGTAGATTGGGAGAGATGTCTGTTGTGCCAGCTAAAATACCTGCTCCAGTAGAGAGATCTCCTGATCAACTTGTGTGATACTATTAGCCATTTGGCTCTTCCAAAGCTTCAATTCTTCCACACGGCAGCTGAGGTTGAATTGTGTGCTTCGAGTGGCCCAGAGAACCTAGAAAAAAGATCTTTTAGTAGTGCCACATAAAAATGGGTAGAGAATCATTTATACATGCAATAGTCATACAAATGAAATAGTCATTTTTATTTGGCTATTAACTCAAAGAATCAGCCTAGTAAAATGATTAATGCTGGATCACACAATAATTTGAACACATTTATTCAACATTTGGGGAGAGAGAGAGATTAAGAGACTTATGCAGACTGTTCACCTGGGTGGTGGCATCATCCCTCACACATTGCAGGTCTTGGCTGATCTGGCTTGCTGTCAGTCTCTGCAGTTCAGATCTGCTGGTGATTAGCTGATTTTTGGTGGTCCAGTCCAGCTGAGTGTATCTTGGGCCAGGCTTTAAGGACTTGCTGGATGAGTTATGAGTTTTCCTATAGGAAGGTAATAGCAATATATATATATATATATACAGGGTCAGGCAAAATACTTTGAAAAAGTAGTGATGGCTGAATATTGACTACATTGTCTTAAATGCATCCAGTAACGTATTCCATTACAATACTTAAAAGAGCAAATATATATTGCAAATACACATAGAATACATTTATAATAAATGGCACACTGGATTTGTATTATTTAATTCACACTGGTTGTCAGTGTTTGTCATGTAGCTATTCTGTTTCTTGAAATATGTTTCATTAGAAATTCACTTCTCATTTAAAGAATTTCTGAAATTCGTAACTTTTTTGTTTCCCTCTCATCTGCTTCGGTTCACTGCTGCTCCCACAATCCCCCCAAGCAGGAGTCCAGTCCAACACCAGCGCTAAACTCACTACAAATATGTCCACTACTGAGGAGATTATTCGTTTGACCATACCTCAAAAGAGCTCAGTAAGAGTGAGATTAATAACTAGCTCATCACACTGATTTATCAGTCTACTCAGGCTTTAGTAAGAACTTCAGGTTGTGAAGAAGTTGTTAATTGAGTTCCTCTTCAGAGTTTGTCTGATGAGCATGTTTGCTACACGCTGTGAACTGATTCTAAACATTTAATAAACAAACATTGATCGTGTTTCTTTAAAAATGGTACATATTTTCACAATTGTGTGATTCAGCAATATAAAACTATTCTCTAAAAATGTAAGAAGTAACTGTATTCTGAATACTGCCTTTACAAAATAGCGGATGAATACAGATATTAAATTTCTGTATTCTGAATAAGGTACAATTTTTATACTAAACCTAAAACTTCATGTGAAATACCACAGGCATACCTCAGAATATCACTTTGTAGTCAAAAATAGTTTTAAATGAGGGCAAATTAGCTGACATTGCATTTCTGTCTTTACCTACCACATGATGAAGTAGTAACTGTAGTAGTACAGTGCTAAGACAGATATGACAAAGAGGGCTGCTATATTACTTGTGAAGGATTTAAACTGTAACAACTGTAAACAACATGCTGTTAAAAAGTAAGCATCTCTGGAATGGAATATGCGCACATTTGAAATTATACTATCTCCATAGAAACATAACAAAACTCATATGACCTCAAGATGTAGCATATTGTGTACTGGTATATAAAGCTTATTAAGCTGAATAAAACCAGAAATGTTAATGAACAGTGGCACCTTTACATTTCTGGATGACCAGTATACACAGCAATCACTGCCGAAATACACTGGTTTCTCACTTCTCAACTGGCTTATTGTTCTTTCTTTCATTTAGATCCCCATTAGCTTCCACAAAGAGGTTGCTAGTATTCCTGGAGTCCACACAAGAGCAGATGCAGTCAAAATAAAAGAAACAATCTTTAAAATCTTCCTATATCAAAAAGAAAGTGCAAAAATAAGCAAAACTCAAAAATAAGTCAAATGTTCCACAAATGAGACAGTAAATAATAATAACCTACACTGGAAACCTTAAGAAAAAATGTCCCATGTACAGCATGTACAGCAACAAAAATGATCGAACTTCTAAAGCAATCAAATTTGATTTAGTGACTTTTTGAAAGAAAATCTACGTATGATCTGTCTGGTATTGATGGGGAATTTTACATAACATGACAAATAACACGTTTGGCTGGAATTCCCTTTTAATGTTGTGTAGGGGAGGCCAGTAGACAGTAGAAAAAACAGTAGCACACAGGTTATGGTGTAATAACTGTAGTTCCTCTGCAAGCTGGGTGTGGAGGGCTGCTGCAGAGGCCCCTCACAAACTGCTTAAAAAAAGAACAAGACTGTTTGGCATGACTGTAGTTTAACACATTATACATAACGTCTTACACAGTGGAAATTCACAAAACTATTTACGACAGCTTTAAAGGCACAAATGTGGTTTTCATATAGTAATCTCTACACACACAGCTTGAGTGAACGAAAGGACCACATGGCCAAAACATGGTGGTTACACACAGTAACCATAGTGAATAACTGGAAAATACAGCATTACTTGAATCAGCCCTTGACAACCCTGAAGACTGAGAGAGAAATTAAAAGGGGACCATTAGACATTGCAGTGACTTTTGATGGACTACAGCAATAATATGGCAGATGTCCTGAAAATCTCCACTAGAGATCAACAAGCTCCAACCATTACTGTAGCTTTGTCAGCATTATGAAACTCCACTTTCGCCTGCAAAGTGTAAAGAGACTAGAATAGTCTATACAAACCTTCTATCATACATTCATTAGCCTTTTTTAAAAACTATACTCCTAACAAAGGTGGTTCTTCAGGGGTTCTTTAGTTTCTTTGTATGGTAAAATGGTTCTTCATATTGATGGAGAATGTATTGTATATGGTTCTATGGAGAACTTTTTTGAAAATGGTTGTATGTAGCACCAATGTAGGTGCTATGTAGGGTTCTTCTATTGTTAGGATGTCAAGCTTGTAATAGTAGAAGAACGCTTCTGGGTGCTACATAGAATCATTTTCAGAAAATGTCTATATAGAACCATATATGACACATCTCACAGCAAGAAGGGGTTTAGTTCCCTGACAGGGCAACCAGGGTCCTTCTGTGTGGAATTGTCTGCTAAATGCTGTAAATGGAAATAGAAATGGAATTAGCATGTTCTCCCTGTGTCATCCTCCCACATTCCAAAAGACATGCAGTCAAGGTAACTGGAGGTACTAAATTGACCCTAGCTGTGTGTGTGTGTGTGTGTGTGTGTGTGTGTGTGTGTGTGTTTGATTGTATGTCTTTGTTCCTGTGATGGATTGGCAACCTGTTCAGGGAGTTTCCTGCCTTCTGCCCACTGAGCACTGGGACAGGCTCCTCCTGCGACCCAGGAGGATTAGCGGCTTAAATGATGATGATAATGATGGTGCTATATGGAACTCATGGTTCTAAATGGAGTTTATAGTTCTAAATAGAATGGTTCTAAACCATTCCCTTTGCTAAAGAACCAGTGAAGCATGTTATTAAGAGTGTTTATAAAAGATATACACTGATTATATTTTTTTAAGTAAGAGAGAGAGAGAGAGAGAGAGAGAGAGAGAGAGAGAGAGAGAGAGAAGCTTAAGTAGAAGTAGTAATAGCTTAAGTAGAAGTAGTAGTAGTAGTAAAGTACCAGGTTAAAAACCTGCTTTTTGTTCTTCTTGATGCTTTCCTGATTCAAAATAAAGTTACAAACGTTGTGAGAGGTCTGACCGATCACAAAACAGCAGAGATGCTGAACCAACAGAGCAGAAATTAAACCCAAAATAGGAATTAGTAACTAAATGTCACTCACTAAAATGTCGTTGAGTAAAAAGTGGATTCCCTTCCTCACAAACATTCGTATTATCCGTTGAAAACACTCAGGAAAGTACAAACCCATCACAAATTAGCTTAAGCACACGGAACTGAGGTAAATAGTACAACCCACACTCAGTTCTTGGTCTGCCCATCAGATGGCGCCATTGAGACTTTATTTTCCTGCTATCATCAAACCACAGAAAGCCACAGAAACGTTAGAGACCTTAACACCGCCCTCAGGTTCTTTGGCCCCTCAGCTCTGCGAATGAGAAAAGGCTTTGCAGCCGTTCAAGCTCCTCCAGCCAATGGCATGCGCTGAAGTAGACGAGCCGCTTCCAGCGGCCGCCCCTCGGCTCCATCAGCCCAGCTCGAGGAGGGGAGGAAGCTGGGATGTGGCGTTGCTGAAGTTCACGCCACGACCGAGAGCAACAGTCTGACTTCTGGGCAACTTTTGCCAGCGGCTATGGCGTCCGCACAGGGCTCCCGGACACTCAGCAAGGACGATGTGAACTATAAACTCCATTTTCGGATGATCAATGAGCAGCAGGTGGAGGATATCACCATAGACTTCTTCTACAAACCGCACACGATCACTTTACTCACCTTCACTGTGATCAGTATCATGTACTTCGCCTTCACCAGGTGGGCTGTTCTCCGCTGCTGTGTGTGGCTGTCAGTGTTTAGCAGGCCTTTAGGACTTTGTAGGCTTTAAGCTTCTGTGTTTGGATTGAATGGTACCTGCTGTTATTTCCACTGCAGGAGTGGATGTTGACTCGAAGGAGGGCGGTTTGAATAAGTGTGAATAGCTTCTCTAAGAGGAGTCTTGTGTTGTGTTGTGTCACTGAAAGTGCTGTTTCTGTCAGTAGTTCTCAGCAGTACTTTAACTTTGTTACATCTCCATGTACGTTGTTATTTGGGTACTGTGTGATGAGCTGGAACAGTTATCAGCATGTTGTCATATCCTGTATGTGTCATCAACATGGATACAGTAGAGGTGGGAAATATTGATAAAACAGAATATTCTGACATTTACTGAAGATAGTAGTGTTTCAGATGGTATTTAAAGACTAAATACTATAAAAATAATAGAAAATCAATTACTAAAAAATGTTAATTATTAATAATTAAATATTGGATAATTATACTATCAGACCATGTCATTTAGCATTAGTGAAGTTAATGAGCCCATGGTTCCAGAGTACTGGTGGTCTATGCTGAAACAATGTCTTAACAATCAGACCTGATTTGTTTTGATTGGACTGTCCTGTTACCATGAGGAAAATGTAAAAAATTGAATTAAAAAATGAAAACAAACTGCTTGGCAACAGTGACACCAGTGTTTGATGTGATAGTGTTTTATATTATAGAAATGTAATATTATATCATTGATATAATGATCATTATCTATGTGTACCTTTTATAAATATTGCTAAAACTGAAAAGCCAGACCATGATATAACCATATCCCGGTGTACTGATACAGGCAACGTATCGCCCAGGAATAGTGTCTATTAGGGGCTCATATCATGAAAAAGCATATTTTCCTCTCTCTTTCGCAAAGTATGTAAACATTGTTTCAAAGTGTACCACCTGCTACTAAATCCATATTTGGAACGTACATTACAGACCATTTTGAATTCATTGTTTTTGTGATCTTACAAAAACAAATACATTGATATATATGTATATATGTATGTGTATATATATATAAATATATATATATATATATATATATATATATATATATATATATATATACTTATTTAGCCTAGAAATAAAGTAAAGTACAGGAAAGGTATGTAGGATATGAGCCCTTTAATATAGGTGTATTTGGTGTCATAGTGATACATGTATCCGGTATACATGGTCATGATACATGATATGTATCAAAATGTTTATCAGAGTACTTTTTCTGAGGATGATGACGTTGGTCAGAATTCTTTACGTAATGATGATATCCATGATATGCTTAGAAAAGCAAAGTGTCTCATATTGTGATGGAATTAATCACAAGACAATAATAGATTGTTCTATTGCTCATCCCTACATATGTGGACTGTTGAACTTATATTTCTTTCTTCTTTTTCTTCTGACAGGAACGATTCCGATCCTGACAATAACCTGCGTGTAGGCCTTGCTCTGGTCATCTCCTTCTTCCTTGTTATCAGTGTTCTGGCTTTCCCTAATGGTACAGACTTTTGTTTGGGATCCTGAGTAGCTACATTTATATGTTTGTTTATTATATATTTTATGGAATGTTATGTGTAAATTGTAATTATATAAATCTGTTCGCTGTCATACACAATTGCTTAGTACTGTGGTTTAAAATAATGGGTCTATTATAATGTGTTTCAAGCTATTTGCACAGTGCTTTGGCTAATGAATAACTTGGTTATATGCCCTGTGCCTGTATGAAGGTCTTTGCACAATCTAAATGGCTGGAATCTTATTTCAGGTCCATTTACCAGGCCGCACCCAGCTATATGGCGCATGGTTTTTGGTGAGTAGACCTGCTCGAAATAGGTCTGTTTATCTTTCTTGACAGCAGCTTTGTTGACCGAGACCACTGAACTGTGAAATGTTGGTTCCATCTTTTGCAGGTCTTAGTGTCCTTTACTTCCTCTTTTTGGTGTTCCTCATTTTCCTGAACTGGGACCAGGTGAAGATCTTTATGTACTGGCTGGACCCTGATCTACGATATGCTACCCGTGACGCTGATGTTATGGTGAGTGAGTGGCCAGTACTGTCATGCTGTAATAGTTTTTAAACATGCCAGTATTAACACTAAGCAGTAAGAAGCCAGACAGCCAAAGCCAGAGAGGTGGAGGAGAATTCTTTTAGCTGGTCTGTCGCCACGTCTGCAGCTCTGGAATGCCAGGTGGTAGTATCTAAGATGTGATAATGTTACATGATGTTTAGCAGGTGATACCATGTTTTCTACAGATGTTCATTCTCTGCAAAATGTGCAACGTGCTGTCACACGAGTATAGTGTGCGTTATGAGGTCTGATCATTTAAAGTAGGGCTAATTAACTAAAACGTGCAAAGGTCCAGTTACATCAAATTTCTTGCTGACCTAGATCCGCAGAAACAAGCTAACATAAGTGAATGGCAACAACGGTTACCTTTAAATGCTTAATCATTAATGATTGGTCCAGGCAACTAATGAAATAAAATAATACATGTCAAATACATTTGGATAAACTGTTTTATTTTGAATGTACCTTTATAATCTAATGAGTTTTTTGAAATTGTATGGCCATGGCCTAAAAAATTCTTTTTGAAAAGAAAAAAAAAATCTTTAAACATTTTTCAAAGAAGTAAAACATGTCTTTTCATCAGGTAAAATAAATGAAAAATTAAGTTCACTTGAAATAAAAATGAATAAATGCTATTCTTAATGAGAATTCCACACTCTTGCACTGTCAGTGAATGGGTGAGCACTTAATTTGAAGTTATTATTTTGTATCGCAGCAGTGCTTAGGGTTTCCAGTACTGCTGACTCAGATGAAACGTCGGATTTGAACTTGAAACAGAGGGAAAAAAACATGCAGTTCACTGTTCATTCCTTTTAAAACACTTTTCTTTGTCTGATTTCCTTTTTCAAGTCATGTTGCCACTTTGTTACTCAACCAGAAATGGTAAATAAAATAGAATAAACTTCCAACTCCAGTCCTGGAGGGCCGGTGTTCAGCACAGTTTGGTGATCTTCCCGCTCAAACACACCTGATTTAGCTCACTTGTTAATTGCCAGTTTTAGTGGGTGTGAGTAAAGAAACTATTAAACTGGGTTCGACGTTGGCCCTCTAGGATTGGAGTTGTGCACCCCTGTACTATAGGCACTAGCTAAGCAGCTTGGACATGGTCTTAATCAGAGGTCGTCTGCTGGCAGACCACGGTCCGGATGCCTGTGCCTGACACCTCCAAGACCGGAGTGCCCCCCCCGGCTTAGTGTGTACATGAGTACTTAACTTAGGGGGGCGTTCAGACGACATCTTTTTCAAATTAAAGCTCACTGTGCTCATGCTTGAAGGGGAATTCCACCAATTTTTCAAAATTTCTCCCTAATTCAGCCATTGAGGTGTAAATGAAGTCATTCAGAGTATTTTGATGTGAAATGGTTAGAAAAACGTACTGGCCTAGATTTTTTTGAACAGTGGTGGTAAAAGGGACCAGGAGTTGTAATACCTTTAACACAAATATATCTGTTTTACTTACTATCCAAAAGCACCACTGAAGCTGCATGTCTTCTGAGTTTTTGTATGTAATGTTGCTAATGATAAAATAATGGTAAATATGAAAAAAAAAACTTTTCTCTGTGTACTATTTTGCCTTATGAATGTGTTTTAGGGCAAAACCTCCTAAAACTGTCTGAAAACAATGTCTTAGGAATTAAGTAACATATTTATAATCAATTCATGTAATAACTTTCTTTGATTGAGCTTTTAGAGGCATTAAAATGTTCAGACATCTGGTTCCTATCACCACCACTGTGAACATTTGAGTCAGTTTCTCTATAACACAGTGTTTCAAATCAAACCACTTTGAACTGTTTACATCCTAATGATTTAATTATGCCGACATTGCTGGAATTCCTCTTTAAAAAGAAGCAAGTGAAAGCATTTGATTGACAAGGAAGTAAACACGAGAAAGCGATTTGAGAGAGCACGAAAGATCGAGTTGAGTGATAAACATTTACCTAAACAACCTAACGTTCAGTTCATGTTAATCTTTGTGATCATTGTTGTACAACTCTGGGTGATCACAAACAACCAAAGCTAGCTTTCTTCTGTTTTTGACTAGAGAGAAGGCAGGGCCTTCTGGCCACCCCAGTGAAAAGTAAGACAGTCAACCATAATCACAAAAGAAAAAGATGCCCTCTGTAAATGATGTCGTTTACAGTGAAAATTTGCCATCAGTCATATGTCATTTCTATTATGCCATTCCTGAACATTAAGAATAATACAGTATTGCTAAACGAGATCATACTAATTACCTTTATGGGGGGAAAAGAAAATTTCTTGGCTCATCTTTCTGAACAACATATGTTAATGTACAGAAGTTTACAGATTTTTGCCTCTCGACTGAACTATATTGCAATTGTACATAGACGTTTATCCTTCTGTGATCTGGATAAACACAGGGATTCAGTAAAATGATTCAACTCAAACAGTACTTACACTGTGGCTTTAAGAGCAGTCTCAAAGTCAACTGATAACACAGAGACCGGTGCTGTAGTCTTTTTGCACAAACTTAGAGAGGTTTACGATTTAATTTGTGAGCAAGATCGACAGTTGAATGTCAAGCTGATCAGTTTTACACAGGTTTAATTCCAGGGCCAGACTATTAGTACAATACTGGGATTATGATGCGTGCAGTCAAGTCCACACTGTGCAGCACTAATCCAGTACAATGTGATTAAAGGGCGGGTGAGACAATAGCCAGCTGCTAAGGACAGTCAGGCCTGGATTACTGATATTTTGGCCTTTGGCCTCAGGCTTTAGCTCCTACCCTATATACAGTTGTTGTTACTGTGAGTGGTACTGTGGACAGTGTGGGTGCTCCCTCTCAAAACCTGACAAGCTATAGGTTCACTTCGGTATTTCAGTCTGTTATGAAGTGTGCTGGCAAAAAGTGGTTTTATTGAAAAACATCTAGTAGAGAGAACTACTTTTCTGAAACTGCTTATCACTGTTTGGAAATGTATACATTGCCTTGGCCTCCACCTCTTTAAGCTCATGTACTGTGTACAACATGGACTATGGCATTAATCTTTGTCCCTCTCTCTCTCACTGTGCAGGAATATGCAGTAAACTGTCATGTTATCACATGGGAGCGCATCCTCAGTCACTTTGACATCTTTGCTTTCGGGCACTTCTGGGGCTGGGCAATGAAGGCCCTTCTCATCCGCAGCTATGGACTCTGCTGGACCATCAGCATCACGTGGGAACTCACAGAGGTGTGACCAAAAGTGTTACAAGAATTTTCTATGCTCTGCATACACTGCAAGCTGAAGAAACTAATTTAGTAATGAAGTGCAGTGGCCCAAAAAGTATATGGACATTTGTGCCGTACTGCGAAATGTGTCATGGGCAGCATGGTGGCGCAGTGGGTAGCGCTGTCACCTCACAGCAAGAACGGCCTGGGTTTGATTCCCCAGCTGGGTGTTTCCTGCCTTCTGCCCAGTGACCGCTGGGATAGGCTCCAGCTCCCATCGTGACCCAGAAAGATGAGCGGCTTGGTCATCACCCTTAATTTTATTTAATTTCCAGTCAAAACAGCCATTAAGGACAATTTATCCATATTTCAGTAGATATTTCTGAGGAGATAATATGTAAGATAATACATTTGCATAAAGAATAGGAAAAACAAAGTCAAATAAGTGGAAAAACAGAAGGTTTTTAAAACTACAGTTAAAAAATTATTAAAAGATATAGAGAAAGTTGGGCTCCTGGTAGACCACCAAGACTGGCACTATCAGATAAACAGTACATAAAGCATCCATCTTTGAGAGAGAGGAGAAAATCAAGCTCCACTCTTGCTTCAGGTCTTAAAAAATCCTCATGTGCTTTTGGCCATCCTTCCAAAAAGTATCTAAAAGAATGTATAGGTATCAAGAAGCTGTTACTGAGACAATAAAATAGACAAAAAAGAAAGCAAATTGCAAATCAAACAAAGATGCTGCTAACTAACTTGTACTAATGGCTGTTCTGGCTAGACATTAATGAAAGTGCGGTCTCTGACTATTGCACAGTACTATATATCTTTTGTGTAGAGCACTAAAACAGGGTTGCTGACACACTTCATATTTCATGGTTTGAGTGTAAAATGAAGTTCTTACCTGCAGCAAATATGAAAGACATTCATAAACACAAAGGTTTTTGGTCCTCAGTGACACCACCTGATTTTACTAATGAGGTTTTCATTAGTTCAGGAGCACTTATTAGTGAACTCAGGTGGTGTTCTGCTGTATTACATTATCCCTAAACTGCATCCAAAAAGACAAGCTGTACTGTGCTGTAGACACTGTATGTGCTATGCTAATGAAAGTACCACTGATGGTAGTGCACAATTTTTACAAAGTATTTAGTATGTAAAAATGGTACACCATTATCAGTAGTCAGTGACACATGGTATAGTAGTATGCAGTTTTAGACGCAGCCCTTCCGCATTTTAGTGTTTTTCCTTTTCTAACACACTTGTTTTACCTCATCAGCTAATTAACAAGCCCCTCATGAGTTGAAGTACATGTGTTTGGCCAGGAGGAATGCTAAACTATGTAGGGCAGTTGTTCCCCAGGACCACAGTTTAAAAACCAAAAGCATTTTAGTTGTTGAAGCAATTTTTTTAAACTCTATTTCTCTTGTATTCTTCTGACATTGTCTTTCTCTCTCTCTCTCTTACTTTTTCTATTTTGTTCATCATTCTTATCTCTTTTTTTCTCTCCTCAGTTGTTCTTCATGCACCTGCTGCCTAACTTTGCCGAATGCTGGTGGGACCAGGTTATTCTTGACATCCTCCTGTGTAACGGAGGTGGCATCTGGCTTGGCATGACTGTGTGTCGTTTTCTGGAGATGCGCACCTACCACTGGGCCAGTATCAAGTAAGCCTTGCACACTGTAATGTTTTTTTTTTTCTACAGGTGCCTTATTTAAACCCATAACTGGGTAAAGCACAGCCCTGTGTCACACATGAATATTGTGTATATTGAAACAAACATAGGAAACTTTAAGCATCAGCAGCTGTAGGTACAACTGTGATGACTCAGTAAGCAACACCTCATTGGAATGGATTATGAGCCAGAGTTTGCAATGTCTTTGCTCACTTATTAACTACTAAATGCATATAAATAACAGAATAGTCAAGGGGATATCAAAAATCACTTACTACGATTGCTTTGCACTGTTGTCTCTGGCATTGATACTGGCAGATGACAAATCAGTAGGAAAATTTGCTCTGAACTAGGTAAAATTAACACACCTGAACCCCACTTTTTCACACGACATCAAACTGCTGTTTCTCCTGTAGTAGAACAACAGGCTATGATGGCTGTTGCTGCTGCTGTTGCTTAAAGTTTCTGTTGAGTGTTGTGTTGGTCCCTTAACTCATCACCATTCATTATCATTGTAAGACAGTATCCAGCTGGCTTTACAGATGTGCCACATTGCTCAGCACTTAAGCATTGCTACTGATAATTCTTTCTGTAATTGACTAGTCTATCAATTATTATTTAAATAGACTGATTTAACCATTGTACCTTCTTCCATTACTTCTCACTTTGCCATCTCGCAACACCGTTATCAAGTGAATTCGACAAGTGGACTTTTTTCTTTGTGCAATTAGAAGATAGTAGCTATATTTGCCCTCCCACTGCCTCCGGTAGTGTATAGCAGTCTGTTGGAATGAACGTGTTTATCATATGAACATTATAGAGCATTTTAATGTGCTTTTGCTTTTAAGTTAACAAGGCATTTGAATTTTTTCCCCATGAGCCTTGGCTTGGTTGACTAACCACAGCCCCTTTAAACTGTTTTTATATTCCAAATAGAATACAAAGAGACGATCGCAGATGTGCAGTAATGACCTTTGACACACAGAACACCCTGCAGTATCAAATGCCTGTCTGAATGTTTGAGCTCTGGCTTGGGAGATATGCCTAACAAAGCAAATGGAGAACACATCAGATTAGTCTTTTCATCCAGGGAGATAAGATATCTGTGGTGATGCAGTTGAAAACCTGTTTTGCTCGGCGAGCTAAGTCAGCCTCACTCTCGACTGCTGCGAGATTAGTGGAGTCTAGTCCTCATGGTCTAAAGGAAATCATACAAAGAGATTCTTTAAATGCACCACAATTGACAAGATTTAACAGAAAGATCTACCCTCCTGCAGAGTTTAAACAGCTGAGGGATGTTCAGAGCATATATGAAGGCTTGTGCTGCTCATTAGATTGTCTAATGTTGTTCATGACACGTGGTTCATTCATGTGGCATTACTGCTTTGGGTGTTTGCATGCGGGTTGTTTCAGGATGCAGGTGTGTTCACACCCACGACAGTTGGGGTCGCTTATACACACAAATGTGAACCATCAAGTCAGAAAGATCAGCTCTGACAAAAAAATCTGAATTTAACAATGAGGCTTGCAATGTAACTATATTAAAAGTGAAATTCAACATGACTAAGAGGTTGGGCAGTCGCTTAAGTTCATGGGATTGGATTTGTGATCTCAAAAAACAGTGAGATTACACTCATTCACTCAGAAATATTGCACAGCTGCTATTTTAACATTTCCTTTTAGAAAGTCTTTTCCTTAGCCAGGCAGAAAAGCTGTAAACACAATTTTCTATTTTATTATTTGCACAAGTAGGTACTGTAAAGAAAACAGAATACAAACAAAAAACAACAAAAAAGAGAGAACGTGCAGGGAGAGTTTAAAAAATGCCCAGAAAGTACTTTCTCAAAGAAAATTAATATTAAATTTAATTGAATAAAAAACAAACAGACAAAAATGGTCACAAAAACCACAAACATATAGTTAGGTGTTTTAAATTTAGGTTTGTTAGAGTGAGGGTAGATGAGTTTTAACCTGTTTATTGAAGCTGTTGAGACAAGTACTTAAATTTGGTTAATTTTATCCATGTTGGAGATGTATAAAATTAACCAAATTTGAAGTTTTTGAAAAAGTGGATGAGAGTTTACACAATAATTAGCTGAAGTGACCATTCTAACAAAGCGCTTCTGAAGAATACATAAACAACTGATGTCACTTTTGAAAGTACTGGCCCAAATAATATTACAGTAAGAGAGGTAAGGATAAATCGAAATTAAGGAAATATGTTCTTTTCAGCACAGTTTGTCATCAATGAGGATACAGAGAAATTTAGTACGGTGGACCTGAGCTAATATATGACTAGACGTACTGATGCCTTCTTTATTTTTTGGGCTGAAAAGCATGTATAAACTTTTTTGATGTTGAGGGATAATTTATTAGCTTTAAACCAGTGATTAATGTTTGATAATTCTATAATTATATATGAGATTAATTTATGACCATCTTTATTCTATAGAAAAATATTGGTGTCATCAGCAAACAAGAATATGTTCTTTGCTGCCTAGTAAAGATCATTAATATATTAAAAACAAAAGGGGTCCCAATATTGACCATTGAGGAATTCCACAATCTACAGAGCAAGAGCTCTTCCCTGAGACGCACTGTTTCCTGTGCTATAAATGGTTTTTGATTCATTCTGACTCCACATTTTAAATGCCTCAACATTGTAACTAATGTAGCAGGATGCTGTGATTGACTGACTGTTTTGAATGCGCTGGATAAGTCATTAAAGACTCCTATGGTTATTTCCTTGTCATTGAGTGCACTAGAAATTTTCCAATTAGCTGAACCAGGGCCATGGAGGTAGAATGTTTTCCCCAGAAACCATACTGATGATGATAGTGCGTATTTCTTAAAATGACAGATGAGTTGGTTATAGAGATTCATGGGAGAATATAATTAGAGAATACTGTTGGGTCATCTAATTTATATAATTAGATAACTTTTGCCCTTTTCAGTTCATCAGGAAATATGCCAGAGCTTAAGAATTGGTTGATAAAGTGAAGTAATGGTTTTGATAATGATGGTGATGGGAGAGATTTCTTTAATAACACTGGCAGGAAATCATCCCTACCAGCCCAAGTGTCTTGGGTTTGTTTATAACATTCAAATTCAACGAATAGCCAGACTGTGAATGTTAAACATCTATCCGTCTATAGGGCCTTGTGTTTTTTAAGATAATATTTTCTAGAGAAACTAGGAGAATTCAGTAGCTTTAGTATTACAAAGTACTTGAGTATTACAAATAATTTAAAAAATTTGTCATTCAGTACCGAAATTCACAACCTAATCATCAGTCTTATTTGCCTCTGTGAGCTAATGAGCATGCTTTTTCCAAAATCTAATGGTGATTGGCTGTCTAAATTACATTCCATGTGATTGTTATTAATGTCAGAGCCTCTTGATTAGTCTACAGTCTAAAAACACCCTAGTACCTCCCACTCATTTCTGGTTTAAGCCCCACCTGCTCTCAGTTTGGAATTTAGGTTGTTTGCTTAACACCAGAGTTTGGATTTTTGTGGCATGACATCATTTTCTTTTGGTTTGGTTGGTTCCACATCCAAAACCCTATCCCCCAAATATATTCTTGATTAAATATATAATCTTACTCATTAGGATGCATGTATGTTGCTGATGCCTGGCTCACGTTTTCAAAATGCGAGCTGCAGTCAAAGGGAAAATATCTAATGCTTTGCTATTTTTTATTGCTCATCTGCAGTTATTAGCAATGAGCTGTGCTTCAAGAATGTTGTGACCATCTGTAAAAAGTCAAATGTTAAAACAGGCAGATTGTGCAGACAGTTGTACAGAGCTGATGTGCTGATAGAAGAAAAAAGACATGCCTTGATGTTGAAGTAAAAAGAAGTAAACACAACCTCTGCAGCAAACTATAAAAAATAACTTTTTTCTATGAATGTTAATTCAATTGTTGCTTTATATTGGAGTAACTTTAAAAAAATAAAAAAAACATTTAGGAATCTGTATTGAGGTATTTGTTTTAATATCAATATTGTTTTTTATTTAAATGATACCCAGCTCTAATGGGAGTGTGTCCATCCATGTGTTTAGGGATATCCACAGCACCACAGGGAAGCTAAAGCGTGCTGTCCTACAGTTCACCCCTGCCAGCTGGACCTACGTACGTTGGTTTGACCCCAAGTCCTCCTTCCAGAGAGTGGCGGGCATATACCTCTTCATGATCGTCTGGCAGGTGTGTGGCACCTTGGTTTCAAGGTTAAAGTCTGATTTAATTTTTTATGATTTGCTCATCATTATTTTGTTGAAGTTAACTGGGTGTTGGTGTTATTTGTATGTATGTTAGCGGCCTTCAGAGATTAATATTGTACAGTTTATTCTCATATAGGTATTTTAGGCTGCATGTCTCATCAGAGTCCATTTTGTTTGAATTTTTTTGTGTCCTTTTCTCTGTCACCAGCTTACAGAACTGAACACATTCTTCCTCAAGCACATTTTCGTATTCCAGGCCTCTCACCCCCTCAGCTGGTGCCGAATTCTCTTCATCGGGATCATCACTGCCCCCACTGTGCGGTACTGTCCCACTGTTACTTCATACAGCTAAGAAGAACCCTTACTGCACTCCTGTGCAGCTTTCCTTAAAACAATGGATTCAGTGTTTATGCAGATCTACAGGAAACTGAACAAGTCCTCATTCCAAGAATGTTGGAAAAAGTGGTTACATACTACAAAAAAAAAAAGCTGTTCATGCCGAGGGATATATTGCAGTGTTGTGTGTCATGCCTTAGAAATTAGTGTTATATTTCCAGAGCTCATTATACCAAAATCTTTCCTTGGAAGGAGATTATTCCATTGTGTGCGAAAAGAAAACTGGAATTGAAAACTTGCTGAAACCTGGTGCTAAGACTTCACTATTTACTTGACATTTTTCAGTGAATGAGAACAAGCGTGCATCAAGAATCCATGATGTTTTTGTGTATTTTGTGAACTTTACTGAAAAGAAACAAAGTTGGAATTTAGCCAATTTACTGAAGATTTTAGAGGAATGTCAGGTTTTCTAGACCTGTTTTCTTGGTTTCCATGTTTGCATCATTGACACTTGGAAGTCTTCCATGACTGTATATTTTGAAAGCAGTGTTCACACACTTTCTTTTGTACAGGAAATTATTATTTTGACCAAACAATGCCTTTTTTGGTGTGTTTGGAAACCAAACATATTGATTGTTGCTGTAATTCTGTTTTGGCTAATGGTGAAGTTCATGGCCCTTGCTGGACTGAGAGTAGAAAAGCATAGCAAATGAGTATGTGCTCTGGTAAATGTGACTGTTTTAGCTTCATTTTGGTCACTACTGTAATTATAATGTGTTATATGATGTGTTTTGTTATCTAATACATGAATATCTGTGTTGGTTTAGGCAATATTATGCATACCTCACAGACACTCAATGCAAAAGAGTGGGGACCCAGTGTTGGGTGTTTGGGTGAGTATAACCCTAATCTATTGCACTATTATTATAATATTAATAATAATTAGAATAATCATATATAACAGGTCTGCTAATGTATATACAGTAAATGTAGATATAGACATACAGGACTGTGCAGAAGTCTTTTTTCTATTTTTTGCCAGTGAAAACACCATATAACATTATAATCAATACAGTAAAACATAACTAGAATTTCATGTTTTCGAAGAAGTAATTGATTTCTGTTAATTAGAAGAACACGGGTTTGATTTAACTTATTGAAGTATTGATTAGCCAAATTAGCTTTTGGATGATAACTCCAGATAATACTGGGTTGTCTTGAGGAGATGGTTGGAAGTGGTTAAACGAACACATTTAAATCCATAAAATCGGTACTTATCATAAGTAAATACAAGTATTTGTATTTATTCTAATGTTAGTATGTTGTTCTGTACACTACGGTATATTGTTGCGAACCTCAAACAAACAAGTGTCTTAGTGCTGTTACGCTGCTAAAACTCCACACAGAGATTTGTCTATAGATATCATGCTGTATATGTTAAAAATACTATTCACATGAGCCTTTGGATTATTTCAGGATTATTTTGTGCACCTCAGTTCCTCACAGCAACATTCTTACTTGATTGAGTTTTTATTCCATTATTTACAAGCAAAGATAGGTTGATCAAAGCTATTCAAACATGTTTTTCTTCATTTTACCAACTGTTAGTTGATAATTTATGTAGAAAAAAAAAATATCAACAATAATAAAGTGGGTTGTCATTTTGAAATGCGTGCACCTCAGGTTTATTAAGCTAAAGAATTTATACCTCCTCATTTTGCCACAACTAAGTGTGCAGCTGATTGTATTTTGCATTACAAATCAAACAATGGAGGCTTTTCACTTCTGGCCTTAGCAACTGTGCTGAAAACTGCAGGACTTCTGTTTAGTCTGGTGACTAGAATTAACATGCTTAATAGTTGTGTGTGTGTGTCTGTGTGTGTCTGTGTGTGTCTGTGTGTGTGTGTGTGTGTGTGTGTGTGTGTATCTGTGTGTATCTGTGTGTGTCTGTGTGTGTCTGTGTGTGTCTGTGTGAGAAAGAGAACGCATCTGTGAACATGTATATCTGTCTGTAATTTACTGCATCTGGCTTGAGCAAAATATTGTGCAATTCTAAAAAAAGGTTTTTTGATTTTTTTTTAATTGATCAAATACCGGTAAAGTCTTGTAAAGCCTTTGGACGGCTTATCTGACCCAATTTTCTTTTTCTTCTAAACAGGGCCATTGCTTTCCTGGAAGCCCTTGCATGTGTTAAGTTTGGACAGGATCTGTTCTCCAAAACACAGGTTGTGTATGTGGTCCTGTGGCTCTTGTGTGTGGTAAGTACTGTAGGGATAAGTGTTTATGCTCTGCCTGTGTTGTTTTGAAAACTATGATGAATATCTTACAGGCCCGCATTTCCACATCCAATCAGTAAGATATTATTTATAGTTCTCAAAGCATTAAGAACACATTTAAGGGTTTAGTTCGTTATTATATATGTGGATTATTGCTGTTGTGGCATTATACTATGAGGGTGGAAATTAAATTGAACGAATGGAAGTGGTATGTGAATGGCATGTGAATTAAATACAGAGCTGATAAAAATGCATCTGACATCTATCTAACAATATATATAAACCTTTTTTAAATAAGACAAACAACAAAAAAAAAACATTTAATGATAAATGAGACAAGAGTGGCTTGAGTAAAATGATCCAGCAAAAAAGTACTCAAAGGATAGATGACTTATCAAATAATTTGATGTCACTTTAGTTCAGTTGCATGCACTCATCACAATTACTTTCCCTTTATTTTATAAGGTATATGGGTTTGTAGCACCACTCTTGCAACCCCCTGTGACCCCCAGGTTAACAACCCCTGCTTTATTTGTATCCATTTTTCTTTTTATTAAAGAATATATTGTCGCTGTCACACTATTTCTCCATCAGGCCTTTATTACCTCTCTCTGCCTCTATGGGATGGTGTGGTATGAGCAGAACTGCAGTGTGAGGCTCAAGGTGAGCATTTGCATGTTCTTAGCTGTCATTATGACTTTAAACGTTTAGCATTTCTTAATAAGTAGCTCAGTTCATGCAGTTCTGACGCTGACCAGGAACATCAGCACTGATTGCTTGGTGTATATTCTATATATAGTCTTTACTAGCCTTGCTGATAGTCTTAATGATGTATGGCAAAGAATTTTGATTTACTCATATTAGCTAAATTTGCCCCGGTTCAGTATAACTGTCTATGTGGTAGTGCTACTGTACATTTCATGCATAATCAGCTGTTTGAATCCTTTTCTTTTAGAGCACCTCTGATTGTGACGATGGCAGCTTCATTGATTCGTGTGGTTATATTCCTGAAACTATTAAAGGTATGATGTAGCAATATATACTAGGAGGGTCTGAGATAAGAGATGAACAGAATGAAGAAGTGACTCAGCAGCCTGTTTCTTCTTTTTTTTTATTTTTCTCCGCAAAGCTGAAAGACACTCCAGCAACCATTCCCAGTCATCCCGCAGGAGAAGAGGAGGCTCGGGGAAGAACAAAGCTAACGGAACAAGCAACAAGAAGTAGCTCCAGTTGGACGCAGAGTGTTCTCTCAATGCACCCACACACAAGAGGGTGATAAAACATTAGAAAGAGGTAAAGAGTTTACAAGGACTATAATAATAGGGAGAGAGGAGCGAGAGCAGTTTTGTGAACAGCCACCACTGCTTGCACACTGTGCTCCTCAGCACTAGGTTCTATGACCAAAGCACTAGTAAAGAAACAAATGGAAGATTGTTAGATGATCTTTAGGGTTGGTGGTGCATAAGATGTATTCCAAATGGCGCCCACTGTGGAAAGTATTGGTACTGCTTATTATGCCAGTGTCTATTATTCCATTTTGGGTAACTGAAACAGTTTTAAGGAACACTACATGTCCAAACGTTTGTAGACACCTGCTCATGTGTCTTCTGTAATCAGGGTTTTACACTAGATGTTGGAACATTGCTGTGAGGATTTGATTGCATTCCACTACAAGAGCATTGGTGAGGTCAGATAATGATGTTGGATAATTAGTTCTGGATCAGAAATGCCACTCCAGTTCATCCCAAAGGTACAGGATGGAGCCCCACCACTCCAAAAAAAAAACACTGTTCTACAGCCCAATGCTGGGGGGGGGTATGATACCCTGTAGCTGACACTTGGCATTGGTCATGGTGACCTTACGCTCATGTGTGGCTGCGTCCTATTTTATTGGCAATGCTTTCCTATGGAGATTATACAAGCTGTGTGAGCACAATTGAACGCCTGGGTGCACCTTAAAGTAGCTGAATTGAAACAAATTAAGCTAATAATAGCTAATTACGGGGTGTTTGAACACTTTTGGACATTAGTGTAGGTTCTGCATTGGGGTGTATGTGTGTGACTGACACTTTTTCCTGCTGCTTTGTTATGGCACTAATCCACTTTTGCTTTAGTTCTTTTCTTTCTTATTTCTTGCACTGTTAATAATAGGACAGTCCTGTAGTTAAGGATGTAAGTTTACAAACAGGTACATTTCAAGCTACACAACTATATCTAAATCTACATACTAATCTCCCATATATATTTACACCTGTCTGTGGAGTCATCACTGGGACATGTGTTAAAACTTTTGGGCATCTTTAAATATACGTGAATGTTACATCCGTAATGATGGACATGTCCAACAACATTCCTATAAAGCACTCCTACTTTGTTACATATCTTAACAGTTATATGTCATTTTTTTGCATGTACACTGCCCTGGAAGATTCTTTTAATCTGCATACACCTGGAAGTGGAATGAAAAAAGTACGGATGCACTGATCTTGAATTTTGATGGCCGATTGCGATCTCTTTACAGCTAAATAGACTGGCTTTTTTTCACCTTTTTTTTGACCCACAGCAAATGAACACAAAACACACTAGCACATTTCCAGTAAAGAGGCAGCTGATTATTTCGCACAATCATCATGCATAATTATAATTATGCTACAAAATTTTATAGATGTAGCAACAGCATTCAAATACAGTGTGACTGCATTTACCTGGCTCATGTCATAGATTTGCAACGTAGAGCGGCCAAAATCAGAATAATAAAGTCTCTGAATGATGATTCTAATCTTGGATGATTCTGTGCATCCCTGGAAAAAAAGTTTCATAGGTGTCAAGCAGTGATGCACTAAAGGTTTTATGACCAAACACGATCTTCAGTTTCTTTCTTCAGTAAGCACTTACAGTTGTATGTGAAAGTTTGAACACCCCCTCTCAATTTACTTGTTTTGTTGAAGTGAAAAAAAGGTAACAGATCCTCTACAAACTTAAATATCACATTTTTTCTGCAAATTGTATTCTATTTATTTGCTGAGTTTCATATATTGGAAAAAATAAAATAAAACTTTTGCGCAGGCCACATTTTATGTTTTATTTTTTCCTTGAAAATTGAAAAAACATGGGATTTGACCAGGAACGCCCAAACTTTTGCATACGACTATACAGAGCTATGGCTTCTTGACCTTCCTATTATATCAAGGGCTATTTCCTGATTTTTTTTTTTGTTTTTTTCCTGAAGTTGCTTTGTAATTATGTGTAATAATGTGTAATGATGTAGACTGACTTTTCTGTGTCTAACTGCAATATTTTAGAATCTGTTGAGCATATGCTTTCCCTGCTAGTCACTCCTCCGTGTGTGCATGTGTGTAAGTGTGTACATGTGTCCGAATGTGTCTGAATGTGAACATACTATGTCAACAATGTCATTTTCTACCTTCAAAAGGCAGTGAAGCTGCTTTGGCCTTTTGTCTGTTCTTGATTTGAAATAAGTGAATGTTTGTGTGATCCAGCACAGTTATTTTCCCTGAATGCTTTAAAGGGACCAAATAATTGGAGGTATTACTACAAGGTACTGTCTAAAGGCTTTTTGTGTGCTGAATTTCAAATGAGTCGTTTGAGTAACGGTGTGAGAAGTTTCTTTTTTTTCCAGTTTATCTGGTAAGGCCTAATAATGTTTCTAAAAAAACATTTAACATACAATATGTTTGTTTAGCATGATCTCTGTTTTTAAACTCAAAGTTAATCAATGTGTGCTGTTTCTACAGTTCCTGTGGCTTCAATGAGGCAAATGAAAAGTTCCATTGATTTGAAGTTTCACTGTGCTGACAGATTACAGGCTGTAGGTGGTCCAATGATTTTGAGAGTTTTCTCTTTTCTCTTTAATGAGTGGCCACTGCAAAGCTCGGTTGAAAATTGTTTTTTTAATTGTTCTCTGTGTATGAGATTGTATGTGTTTGATCTGAAGTTTCCACTGCAGTATTTCTAGTCAGACCATTCAGACATTTATATTGTTGTATATGTGTAGTTGAATAAAACACAATGGGTTTTATGTAAGAAATAGACAAAAGAATCTTGTCAGTATGAGTAATTTGTGTTTTTTGAACATGAGCACCACCAAGAGGATTTGGTAGGAAATGCCTGAGCGCCAAATATTAAAAATTGTTACTGAATATACTGAATAAAGCTTTGAAGCAGAATTGTAAAATGAGAAGTGTCACTTTCCTGAAATGCTTTTATAATTGACTGTGTGTGTGTGTGTGTGTGTGTGTGTGTATATATATATATATATATATATATATATATATATATATATATATATTAAATTCCTGTGAGTCACTTGCATAAAACATATTAACATAAAAAAAACCATTATCCTATATTTTTCTTATATTTTATTTTTTTCTTTGCGGGTCACTTATGATAGGTTTTATTTACCAAAAATTAGTTTTTACATGAATATTTCCCAACTTATCCTTTAGACTTAAACAGACTGTTTTTGTTACTGTGCCTTTAAGGCTAGTGTATATGTAAATCACCTCTGTTTTTGATTGGCTCCTCTGTATTGTGCCACATTCAAAAAGCAGTCCAGGCTGAAACCAGGGGACCTAGCTTTTGACTTCCAAAGCGTCTCACCGGAAGTGAGCTGCTTAGACAGGAGAGGAGAAGCTGTCATTCACTTTCATTTATTTTGGGCTGAATTCAGTTAAAAAATGAAGACACACCTGAGCTACTTCAGATCACCTCATGCCCTCTTCTAGAGAGACTGGGCTGTCTGAGATTTGATCCACAGGCCCTTCAATCACTTTATGGCTTCAAAATAGACATTTATCCACAACAGTACAGAAAATGGTGTGATAAAACTGTGACCCAAAACACTGTGCTGAAATATTTGAAGTAGAAGCTGCTCAATAATACAAAGCATAGAGCAGATACACTCACTACTACTACAATAATGTTGGAACACAACACAATAATTACAATAATTTACATTATTTAACATTATTATTTATTCATTTATTTATTTATTTTATGTTTTAATTATCAGTATTATAATACGTGTATTTCTGAGTTAGCTTGTTTTCACTCGTCAATCTCTTGTTCTGTTGTTCTCATTTCTACTCTACAGTATATTTTGCACCAACATCTAATGATGGAGGAAGTCGTAACAAAATTTATTTCATTTTCATTCATTCTGAAGAGTCGTGATGATTTATGCTCCGTTTAACATGTTTACAGGAATTTGCTGAGCAGCTCCAACTAACACTACAGTTATTTGCACTGCATGCTGGAGATTCGCATGCATTCCCATGGGATGGGATGACCGAGTCCAGTTTATACCTGAAGATAATGGTTGATACACTGTATAAACTAAAATTTTAACAGTGTTTCTGTGCTATATCAAACTCTGCCATTTCAAAATCGTGATGAAAATTCAGTTTTTGGTGGTATGTGCCCTTTAAGTGAAGTTTGGCATAAGTTTTCACCTTTACCTTCAGAGAACTGTTGAAAATCTCTTCAAGGATTTGTAATGGAAAGTGAGAAAAGTCCATGAATGTAAATTGCATTTTAGATCCTAGTTTTAAGTTTCAGCACTTTCCTTTTTGGCAGTTGCAAAATTTAAATTTAAATTTACAACTTTAAATTGATCCCTTAAGCATTTAAATTAAGTGCGCAAGTGGACCCAAAAAATTTAGAATTGAAGTTGAAAATCTGACAAATTAAGCAAAAATATGTAACACATTTTATACAATTTCTTATTATTATTTTCATCATGAGAATTAAGTGTATATTTGATTTTTTGAGGATGTGTTAGGAGTGAGCTTTACACATACAAGTAAAATAAATACAATAATATAATATGAACGGCATACATGATTAATATCTCCGTTATCAGAGAAGTGCGTTCTACGTCAGCTATTATTTGTTTTCGAACCTCTATCATTTTTTTTGCAGCTGAATATGCAGCATTTCGGTATGAACCTGTTCGTTTGTGTTTTTGAGAAAGTGCCGTTGTAACTCAGTTTCCCATAAAGCCGCCGGTGAAGTGTAACTCGGTATATTGGTGAGTCTGAGCGCTGCGCTGACAGAAGAGCGCTCTCGGCGCCGAGGCGGTCAGCACGCTCACTTCACTCAGCCATGGCGGCCACAGGAGGAGGGAAAATTAGAACAAGGAGATATCATATCGTTTCTAAACCTTATGCCAAAGGCAAACAGGTAACTCAAACGCACGCTTTTTTGGCACAAGGGAGTTCTTTAAATGCTACCACAACTTTGGACACGTCGTTTCCTGGCTGTTTTTGTTTTCTTTACCGGAGACATTTCGCGGCCTACGGACTTAGCAGCCTGTCGAGGCCTGAGCGCTTTAGCTTTAGTGCTCAGAGGGAAACTTAACGGAGCTCCGGCTCCTCTGTCAGCTCTTCAGAGTCGCTCACGGACAGCAACATGAGAAACATAACGCGGAGTAGAAATTATTGTCAGTCAGCTATTAAGTTACACTTAGTCATCGTTATCGCGTCGAAATGTGTAGCTTGCTAGCTGCTAACTAACTAGCCTGCTCGTGCTAGTTAGCAGCTAGCCGAAGCCTCGTCAGAGCGACATGGTTAGCTTAGCGCTGTAACGTTATCTGAGGTGTACGTTTACTTGCTAGTTAGCTAGCTAGTAAGTTTGCGAACGTTTTAGAACATACCTAATGTGTGTGTGTCAGCTAGAACAAAGACTGTTATAGGCTCTTTTGAAGCGACTCTCTTATCAGGGGCTATCGCTAGTGAATAACTTCGACATCACGTTAACGTTAGTTGGTTGAAGTTGGCCAAACAGTTGTAGCGTAGCTAACGGCGCACGGCTAATTTCCTCCGCTATCCGCTGTGGTGTCGCTGCGCTGCGCTCCGGCTGGAAGGCGGCCAGGGCCCGCACATGGACAGCCAGCTAACCAGAGGAGAGCGTTAGCCAGGCTAGTTAGCTAGCACTTTGTGTAGTCGACCATGTTGACTCGTTTTTGCGCTCTCCCGCGTCTTCTCTTAACAGGGGGAAAACGAGCCGGATAACGTAGCGGGGGATTTCACGGGTGAGGAAATCAAGGAAAGCAACGCCGAGTTGCTTTCCGTTTCAGGCGACTGAAACGAAAGGCTCGATATTTGCGTGTTGCGGCGTGTTTCTCAGCCTTGTGAACGCTACAAGCTAAGGACAGCGGCTAGTTGTATGTCTGACATCCTGCAAAACGCATGTGGTCTGCTGCCAACATGCGCCACACGAAGATTTACCTAGGTCAGTTAGCAAGCTGCATGTTGTTCACTTATAGACTGTAACGTTACACTGGAATAAGGGGATGTTGCCCGTTTATCGTTTCCCCTTCCATGCTAGACGATGAAAGGTGTAGCGGTGGCCTTTCGGGATGTGAAATGCTAACGCTAATTAAATTGAGCTGCAGACGATCCTCGCGTCCCTGATTAGTTTGATTTCTTTACACGATGAAACACGTTTAGTGTATTTTTGAGGACAAATTAGAGCTGTTTGCAAACGTCTAAGCGTAAACGCTTATTTTGGATTTTTCTGTCGTGTCCCGGGGCTTTAAGTGGGCAGATTTGTGATGGATAAAACCAGATAACCATGTAGCTGATTTTACTTCAAGGCCACAGAAATCTGTCAGGTGCTATCGGCTTCCACAGTTTGATTGAAAAATCCAGTTTCGCTTTGATACTTACAGTTGCAGGGAAGTTTTTCAGATGTTACTCTGAATGGTATCTTTAAAAAGTTTTCTGGACCAGTGTGTCTAACATAAACGTGTAGCTGTCAACTTTTTCTGTAACCCTTTACGTATATCATAATATGTGAATATAGTAAGATGGTATTATGGTTAGAAATATATATTCACAGTTGTTTGTGGTTTGACTGGATTTGGTGAGATGGATTAGTATGAACAGCTTCGACACTTGTATTGAATGTAATATTTTCTCTGCTAGTGGAGAGAAGTCCTGTGGAGGTGTTGTGTTCTGAGACTGCAGTAACTCTTACAGTTTTAGAGAGTGTACATGATGACCTTGGCTCACCATATGTGTGCTGTGTTTTGGGAAGTGAGTTATGTTGCGACACTCAGCTTGTGTTCAAGGTTGACGAGTGTGAGCCTTTGCATTGTTCTCAAACAGTCTTGATTTACTAAAGAGAGAGTATCAAACAGTCCTTTCTACCTGCATTTGTGTGTGTGTGTGTGCGCGTGCGCGTGCGCCCTGGACATTTTATGGTTGCAGTAAATGGTCACCCTAGTAACACACAAATAAGGCTGTGTCTTCTTACTACTTTGTGTTTTCCCCAAAGATCTGTGATGTCAAAAAATTACATTCTCTTGTCCCATGCACTCTCATAATTCTAGTTAAAAAAGATTAGCATCCTCATATTTTAGAGGCTTTAAATAAGTCTACCTTTTTAGGGAAGGATTAGCACTGTAGAACTATATGGAGACTCTTTGGTCAAGTTGCTGCCTCACTTGGACAGCTTCTTGAATGCACCAGTTGGCTTTACCTTAACCTGGCAGACACTCTTGGTCAGACTGTGTGTATTGGTATTGCATCCTGACCCTGGTGCTTCATGGGAGAACAAAAGGCCTCAAGAGCATGCATAATGCTTCTGTCCCATGGCCTCTTTTGGTAGAGAACTGCTGCTCACTCAAATTCTTTCAGTTGCTGGGTCATTTCATAGGCCTCAGGGCTATGCTAGAGCTGCAAAAGGTAAAGTGGGCATAGGCTGAGTGGAAACATGTAATCATCAGTTCATGTTTTTGAGTGTGGTTTAGGATGTTGTTGTCACCTGTGGGATGTGCTGATGGCTAGACTCATTATAGATAAACAGAAGGCAAGTAAAGCATGTGCTTATCTGAAAACCCCTGCTGTCTACTAGCATGAATTAAAAGCTGTACTTATATTTCTGCTGTTTGTATGATGGTCTGCTGATTGATTTCATCACTGTCTTCTCTCGCTATCAGCTGTGGAAAGTGAAATGTTGGACTGTTTAACTATATGTTGCTGGTGCACAGCACTTAAACGACAGCTTTAATTGTAAGCTTGTCTGTATACAAGTGGAGAGTTCATTGAGTGCTTAGGTGTACTAACGTGCTGATGAACATCTGTGCTGAGGTTGAAGCAGACCTTCAGGAGTTGTTAGTTAGGTTGGCTTCATGCCTTACTATAGTAAAACATTAGTAGTAATATAAGTAGCAGAAGTAGGAAGACATAATTAGGACCGGATTAATTTAACATGGGGATGTGTGATGAAGCAGTTACCAGAGTAATCTAGCGTGAAATACCACACACTCATATGTCATGCTAGCTAATGTCTTTAAATGGCGTACTGGTGTAGCTGGGGTATAGGTATCAGGCTGATATCAGCAGAAAATGCTGGATGTGATCTCAACTGTGTATTTGTCCCTGTGGGGTAATAGTGTTGCGTAGTTGGAGTATGACCGCGTACTTTAAGATGCTCTATCTGAGTGAAGTGCTTCAGTAAAAGATGGCTCATTTTAAATACTAATGGTTTTTAAAGAAAAACAGATGCATTTATTTATATTTTATGAATTACTTATTCTCATGTTTAAGAATACCGGGTTTTACACAGTGTGAAATTAAGTTGAGGAAAAGGAATGAAACGAAAGGAGTTTCTGTTGCTCCTGTGGAATGTAGAGGCACTTGGAGGAACATTTTGCTTGTATATTTTGTGGCCCAGATTAAACTGATAAGTACTGGCCTACCTCACTTTTATGATGGCAAACATTAACATGTATCACAACAAAAATACAATAAAATAACTTTTTTATAACAATTTTTATGTCAATTTTGATAGTTCGCTGTAAACTCTGTATAAAAAAAGTAGTTGATGAGTTTGAAGAACAAAGTTTGGCTCCAGATGTCTCCTCAGTGGCCCCAGCCACCGCATAGATTCGTTAAATTCTATTACCAGCAAACAAATGATTTTTCAAAAGCGCCTAAAACTTTTGTTCAGTACTGCATGCAGTTTCCACTATTGCGTCAGACCTTTCATGTCAGTGTGTTTTTAATTAATAGTGAAAATTTGCATTGTGTTAACTGAAGCTAATCACCATGTTTGTGTTTTGCTGCAGCAGCCAGGTCTGATCAGTCGAGTGACAGACACAGTGAAAAGCATAGTCCCCTCCTGGCTACAAAAGTACTTTAAAAATGGAGAGTTAACTGAGAGTGGGGAGGCCAGAGTAGAGGTGGAGCAGAACAACGTAGCCCCTCCTCCCAACGGCAGTGAAGAAACTGTCCCACTCCGAGATGGGCGCAACTCGCCAGAGCCCAGCACCAGTAATGCAGGTATCTGAGTCTGTTTTACTGACACATGAACAAAACATTGTATGACTCAGTGTGGCTTTTTTTGCATAGATATTTGCATGATTTTTTTTGCCCTACATATTTTCAGAACCCTCTACAAGCAGAGCATCGCTGAACTTCCAGGATGTTTTGTCGCGGCCCCCGCTCAACCGCTCCCACCTGCACTTCCCCTCCCAAGATGGCTCACCTGCATTAGGGGGCTCTAACTCCCTTTTCTCCCAACCTTCCACATCCACGGCCCCCTTTCCGGCAAGCCCCTTTGCTGTAGCGTCCAGCTTTTCCCTGGTGAAGGAGATCAAGGACTCCAGCTCTCAACATGAGGATGACAATATCTCCACCACCAGTGGCTTCTCATCACGAGCATCTGATAAAGGTGAGGCATGACTTTTGGAACTGTAGTGTGTGTGGGTTTTGTGGACCTACAGCAATGTGCAAAAAGTTCTGATAATTTCATTAAGGTTTTTTTTTTCTGTGACTTGTAGAATACAGTCACTTACTTCTAGGAGTGATGTAGTCTAGAATTAAAATTAGGTTCAGGTAGCACTAAGAATAGGGCTTAATCTTCTTCCAGATGTACCAACCTCAAAGACTGCACCACTACTCTGGTCCCCAGAGACAGAACGCACCCACTCTGGATCGCAGCCAGCCCAGCACAGTCTCAAGAAGCCAGCCTTCAACCTGTCAGTCTTTGGTACTTCCTCATCAGTAAGTGGCATTATGATCAGTATCTTGACTAATTTTCTGCTTTTGTGTTTAAGGTTAATATGCCCTACTTGTAGTGATTTTTCTCATGGTTTGTGGTTATTATGTACTAATTGCCTTACCAGTGCAGTGGCCAATGTACAGTGCCTTTGCAAACTAGCTAGATGAATAAATTAGCTAAGGATATCATAACTTTCAAAAGCTTTTTGGGCAGTCAAATGGTTAAATATTTTTGCCCCTACATTTTAACCCAGTGACCATTCTCAAATGATATGTAGTCACGGCTGCTGCAAGAGAACTAATGGCAGTAGTTCCTCATCCATAAACCTTATAGAGACGTTGGCAGGCTGGTAGTGTACATGTGGGAATCATACCTAGAAAGGAAGTATTCCATGTGTGTCTCCTGTAGTCTTTACAGTGGTCATGAAAAGTACAGGAGACAGTGCTGGATTGTGTTTCTCATCCTTTTTTCCAGTCGGCGATGAACAGTTCAGTGCTGAATTCCAGTCAGCTGGGGGACTCTCCTTTCTACCCAGGGAAGACAACTTATGGAGGTGCTGCAGCTGCAAGAACAGCTCGTGCAAGGCCAGGCACCCCTTATCAGGCTCCAGTAAGGAGACAGATAAAGGCCAAGCCAGCAGGAGCTCAGCCCTGTGGAGTGACCAGTGCAACGGCCAGACGCATCCTGCAGTCCCTGGAGCGCATGTCTAGCCCTCTAGCTGTAAGTGCATTGGTTCTACTTGAGTAGCTTCTACGGTATACAGTACTCATATTAGTATATTACAACGGCAGTGTGACTGTGAAACAGAATAGGCATTGCTTAGTCCAGGAAAGTGTTACGTTGGGTTTTTTATTTTATTTTAACTTTAAGAAAAAGCCATGATCGGACCAAAGATATTTACTGAACAAAGCTTTACCTTTGGTCATTTCAGGATGCCAAAAGAATTCCTTCAACAGTTTCTTCTCCTTTGTCAACAGTAAGCAATTTAATTCATTGTTTTAAATCTCAGCTCTTTGGTCACCTTTGAATTTTTGGTGTTAAATAACATTTTCCCCACCCTCCCTCCTAGTTGTTGAATCACACAGATCCAGATGTTTCACCTTTTCAGTCTAAGAAGAAAAAGGTAAGCAAATCTTTCAGGTCTTGCCAGAATATGAGCATATGCTTGTATGTGAACTAGAATGAGTTCTTTCTTTGGTTTTCTTTTTGGGTTACCTTCATTTGTAGTTGTAACTAGCACCTTCAGTGCAAACAAGGGGATGAAGTGTGCCCCACCCCCCCGGTTCCCAGTTGGAGGGAACCTTTATTACAGAAGCTGGTTAAAACTCTGGCTGTGGTCTAACAAAATGGATTTGTGATTCAGCTGTGTTTTTCAGTTTTCTGTTGTGTGGTATAGGTGTGATAGGCAAAAAATCATGATCTTTTCCCAATACACAACATGCATCAGGGCATTTAGTTTTTCTGAGGTTTAATTAGATGAAACAGCCAAAATGGAATGTGTAGTGCCACATATACATACTATAAAAAAATCTGTAATGACTTTTATTCAGAATTTAATAAACTGCTCTGCACTAAATCCTATTGCTCTCACTTTGTAATGAAACAGGTAGTGGGTTAGTGTTCTTTAAGTACTGATTATATTAACAGTTTGCTTAGAAAAGTGTAATGTGAACTTTTATTTATTTATTTTTTTTTATTTTAACGGTGACGATAAAATGATATTGCCCATCCCCCTGTTGTGAAGTTTGAACCTGGCCTTATTTAAATGACATTTAAAGAGATGCAAATGGTCATCTATACCTTGCTTTGACACATTTTTTTGAGGCTTAAATTGCCAGAGATTTAGCCAGCTGTTACAATGTTAAGTGTTTTCTGACAGTGTGTGTCTGTTTTTCTTTTAAATAGTGTGAACATTGCCAAGCTTAACTTACTAGTTATGAGCAGCTGTGACAGCTGCTCACTAATCCCCAACAATGGGTCATTCACTCACTAGCAGCTTGAGGCTGTTAGGGTCCATTTAGGCTCAGTGTTTTAGGTGTTCGGAGCCCTCTTCTCTCATTTTATTTTGAGGTTATGTTTGTTGATGTTCAGTAGCAAAAATAAAGAAGTGTGATCATAGAGGTCTGGTGACAAATGTACTGGTCATTGTCAAAGAATTCGCTTGTGCCCCAAATATTCTGCCATAGTAGTATTTTCACAGTTCAGTTATTGCACAGGAGTATTTATCATGGATATTTTTGCTCAGGCACCTCTGTTTCTGACCAGTTCTGACTCGTGTGTATCTGTTGTTTGGCAGCTGGAGCCAGCCGTACCACCTGTGCAGAAGTTGGTAATACCAGCTGCCGCAGCTGTGACTGGTAACCGCTCCATGTCTTTCCGCCCATCGCTCACTCCTGGATCCGTGAGCAGAACAGTAGAAAAGAGCGTCAAAGAGACGGTGAGTATGTATGTTTTTCATACAGCTATGTCAGATAATTGCGATCGGAGGAAATTTGTCATTTTTAGTTATTTCAGCCTTCATTCAGAATCAGTGCAGTCCATTTGGATAATTGCCATGGAAAGAAACAGTGATTATGTATATTGACCAGGCAAATATTTATAAGCATAAAGCTAAATTGTGCTTAATCTGAACACCTAATGTGTAGCTTTCTTTGGTGCATGATATGTGTTCAGGATTCTGGGTGCAGCTCTTTATTTTGGTGGGCTGGAAGCCATTGTGGCAGCTCAAGCTCTCTATAAGAGTCTTCACTTAATATGGGTGATTAGAACTAGGATTAAAGTGTTCTGTACTGAGCTATAAAAAAAAATGACACACCTCATTTAAAAAAAGTGTCAAGGTGTCATTTTTGCATCAGTGTTGATATTCCATTGACAAAGTATTAGATTAAGCGGAGTAGCGGTCTGCAAATACCCAGCGAAGTGTCTAGTTTCCAACACAATTCAGGAATAACATCTTAAGATAGCATGAATATTTTCTGTCTGTCTCTCTAAGGCTAATCTACAGAGATGCAACTGCTTGCTACTAGCATTTATCTTGATAAACAATTGTTTTTTCATCAGACTGATAATACCAGTACACCTAAGCATGAAAAGCCAGTGCCAGTTTTAATTCACTGTACTACGAAGTGAGATTCTAAGAGCTGTGGTGAATTTAACATGCATTTTATATCAGTCTATGTACTTCTTGCACACCACAAACTGTTGCCTCTGCCACACCAGCCCTTATCAATACAGTTATGTACCAATACAATGCTTTTCACTGATGTCACTTGAGGTTGTGCATGCGTGCATTTTGCCCCCTTATTTGCCCACCCCAATAGGGGTTGACTTTTTTGAGTGACTAGTTGACTAATAAAAATTGTCATACATCCCCTATGAACTACATTAAATTAGTCATACCTGTTACTTTAGATTGCCTTTTTGTCATTCAGAAAAGCCTAAAGTCTTTTTTAAATTAAACACTATGTAGTGTTTTCATTGGTCACGTCTGTGATTTTTAAGATTTAAATTGTTGACTGTTCACTAATCTTGCACCCCCCCATCCCCCCCAGCCTGTTAGAAGGTCCCCCAAGATACCAGATGCCGCATCAGCTCCCCCACCAAGGTGAGACCAGGAGGATTGCTGTATGTCGCTGATGGCTTTAATTGTTTAATTACTGTTGCATAGGACTTCATATGTCCTATGACATACCTCTTGAGTTGCATGCATTTTTCTATTTGTCTGGTACTTGGTGTGCTTCCATGACATTTTTACGTCTCCCCAGCACAAGCAGTTTGTCGTACCCATTGTCCAGCACGCCAGCTACCATCAGTACAGGTGGTGGAGGAGGAAAGATGAAGAGGGAGAGGAGTGTTCGACCTTCATCCAGAAAACCTGATGATGAGGTTACTGTCTCTGTCTTGCTACTAAACACAGTTTTGTGAGTTTTGATTACTTTACAAGCATAATCTGTGTTGACTGTTTTTCTCCGGCCAGGTTGCTGAGGTGCCAGAATTACCGGCTATCTCTCTCCCCATAAGCAACTTCACTCTGCCTACCTTCAGCTTCTCCTCCCCACCCCCTACCTCCACTCTCACCCCCAGCAGTAAACCATTGACATCTGTCCTTGAAGAACCTGCAGTCAGCAAGGTACTACTGGCCGTCACCAGTTAATCCAAGTTGCTTAAGCGTTCTTTACTTTTTTTAAGATAATTTCTACATGCCAAGTCTACATGACAAGTCACCTCAGAGGTTTCACAGAAGTGGTGTGATAGCCCTGGTCTGAACTTTATGAAAAACTGAGAGAAATGTTTTCTTCATATCATTCATAGAAAGCTGGTTTTAAAAAAAATCAAACTGAATGTTCTGAGTAAAAACTTTTTAAAAATTGTACAGTCTGCTTGTCCATTACGCAAGAAAAATATACTCTGTGTAATAGACTAGCATAGATGTTAAAGTTGGGGTTTTTACAAATAGTTATCTTTGGATGCTTTTATTATAAAGGAACAATTAGAGGAATTAAATTTGCCTGTCTGTGTTTTTATCTTTAAATTTTTTTAAATAAATACAGGAGGCATCCCCGGGGTCCATGGCCCCTGTTCTCCCTTTTGTTTTCTCCTCACCCATCGTCAAGGCAACAGCTGCCAGTCCAACATCTTTTTCTCCATCTGTAAGTCAACATTACCAGTTTTCATTCTTTTTCTCTGTGAAACAAAAGCATTCTCTCAGATTTTACCCTCCTCTTCTGCAGTCTGGATTTACCTTCAGTGCACCCACTATGAAAACTGCACCTTCTGCTTCAAATGGGAATCCTGTTACAACAGTAGCAGGTAAGTGAACTGTTGATTGATGTTCAATTGAATTTAAAGCCAACGAGGCAAAACAGTGGTTAACTTATGTGTGCATATTACAGTAAAAGCAGCTGCAAGTGAAAGCAAGGAAGAGTTTGAAGGGCCCTTCAAACCTGCTAAGGCCTTGAAGCAGGGCAGTGTTCTTGATATCCTCAAAGGGCCAGGTAATGCTGTTTTTAAAATTTAACTTACTCTTTGTAAAACTTAATATACTGGTTTGTGGCACTATATATTTTTAAGTGTCCAGATGACAATGTTCACACTATTTGTTTGCGTGTCAACTTCTGTTTCTTACTCCCAGGGTTTGCTTCACCTGCCCAGAGCTCCTCTGTCCCAGACAGAACCTTGCATAGTGCCAGGGAGGGTGCATCCTCGACTGCTTTCTCTGGGTTCAAACCTGCACCAGAATCATGGAACTGTGATGCGTCTGTAGCGCAAAACAAATCCTCAGACAAAGAGAGTGTGGCTTGCCTAGCCCCACAGCCCAACACAGAATCCTCCTCCAAATTGGACAGTAAACCTGCAAAAGCTCCTGCTGCTAGTCTTACTAGTTTGTTTGCACCTCCACCTGGAAGCTGGGAATGTGACACTTGCTTGGTGCGGAACAAACCAGAAGTAGTTAAGTGTGTAGCATGTGACACAGCGAAACCAGGGACAGGAGTAAAACCTACCCTGACTCTTCCTCCTGTCTCAGAAATTTCCTCCACCATCTGTGCTCCCTCCTCTTCTGCCACAACCACCACTTCCACCTCTACCACATCTGGACCTCTTGGCTTTGGCGACAAGTTTAAAAAGCCAGAGGGGGCATGGGATTGTGATGTCTGCATGGTTCAGAATAAAGCACAGGACATTAAGTGTGTAGCTTGTCAGAATGCTAAACCAGGTGAGTTTGTAATACACGAGAACTGTTTAGTAGAGAGTACTAGACCCAGCAGGCTCGCTTTTGTATGGGGGTACATGGGTTTATTGGTTTAGACAGATGCCATAAATTTGGAAAATCAAAAGCAGACCTTCACTGTATTGTTGGCATTCAAATTTAGTTGTACAATCTTTGGCAAGGATTCTTGTAACTTTGCTTGCTGCATCTTTCTCATTTGACTTGAAGGGGAATTTCACCAATGGTGTGAAATGGTTCATTGTAGAGATTTATCAACTCAAATTTCTGTGATGTCTACAATGCAAATATAGCCAATTTTTAGTTATCCCTGCTTAACTATTGTAAAGCAGAGTCTTTGGTGTTATGCAACATATTTGTAAGCATTTATTGTTATAACTTGCATGTAATAGCTTTTGAGTGGTTAAACACTTCAGATGTATGGATCTGGTAACCACCATTCTGACTCCCTTACTTTAGAACATAGCATTTCACATCAGTAGTCTGAATGTAGTAGTTGAATGGCCTTGTTGACAATGATGTAATTATGTATGAATGTTTAGCTGCAAGCAGTGGGATAATGTGTTCTGTACCGGCTCTTTTAAATTTTCAGGGCAATTTTTAGCTTAACAGTAATTTTTAAATTCAGTTTGAGTCATTTTTCAGTAAATACACAAACAATTCCTATGAAGCCAGTAAATTTAACTAGGACTGCAAGAGTTCATAAGGGATTTTAACTAATGTTTTGTGCTCAGATAAATCGGGTTCATCTGATTGTTCTGTGTTGCAATGAACAGGAACCGCAGCTGTGGCTCCTTCATCCCTGGCTCCTGCACCAAAAACAGCAAGTTCTGCACCCCTATTAGGATTTGGGGACAAGTTTAAGAAGCCTGAGGGCAGCTGGGAGTGTGACGTCTGCAGTGTTCAGAACAAGGCTGAGGACCAGCAATGTGTGGCCTGCCAGTCAGCTAAACCTGGCGCAAAAGTAGAATCCAAAGGTAGAGTGGCTAATCACATTTACCAATATTCTTATCCTGATTGGTTTGTGTCCAAAAGGATATGGTCAGCCTGTAGTGCATTTATCAAAAGTTTGTAAGAATATGCAAAATGCCAAAGCTTTCTGTTTATGCTTAGGACTTGGGTGAGTTTTAAGGAAGTATCCGTGTTGGAATCGTGCCGATATCTACGCACTCATCTAAGGATAGGAATAGATAAGATTTTATTGATACTAATGCCATTATCGATTCTGCTAATCAGTCTGATTCTTTATTGATTCCTGATCGGTTTTCTGTGTGGGCCTGCCTAGGTTTTCATCATCAAAACAGCTGTTTTATTATTTCTGAGTCCTAATAACATTTGCGATGTTAAAATAAATGATAGAAAATTAATATAAAAATGGCAGATAAAATAGTTCTTCCTTAGAAAAATAGTTGTGTATGCCTAGTAACGTTTTAAGAAATTACAGTGCATTCAAAAAGGGAACAAGCTTGAATCTAATATGACTGATACAAAATGACCAGTTCAAACAAAAAATCTATGCCTGCATGGCACTAATGTTACTAGAACATAGGATATTTACACTCTGTAACAAACTTGCTGCTTGGTTGGGAAGCAGTGGCATTTATGCATGGGGTGTCAGATACTTGGCATGTTGTCAAAAGATGTTTCAACATTTTGCTGGTGTTTTCATCCTTACTTGAAACAATCATTTTACAGACATTGCAAGTAGTACTGATGTCATCTTTCTTTGTGAATTGAAGCTATGCTTTGGATTGCTTCTTCCTCTCCACCATGACTCCTTTTGCAAGTTTCCAGCAAAGTTTGACATTATGATGCATGAGTTTTGCAATGCGCAAACATGTCAGCATCAGTAAAAGGAATTGATGACCTCAGAGGCATATGATTCCAATGGACTGGAATGTACATGATGACTGCGTGATAGACTGCAGTGTAAGTGGGTGGTGTAGTGTAGTGGGTCATATCGCTTCCCTCCATGCAGTCTTCTACACAGTCCTCTATGCAGCAGTTTAATTTCCTCCCAGGCAAGCACACCCCATTACACTAATAGAAGTCTTTGGGGAAGACACCCGACACTATGTAACTTAATGAAATTGTAAGTCATTCTGGATAAGAACATCTACCAAACAATAATGCCATTTTAATGCAAGTACAGTGTAAGTACAGTAGTATGTTTAATGCTGTGTTTAATGTTAAAGCAGCATCACAGCTTATGGTGAAGATCAGTGCTCTGTGGCAGGGTTCTAAACTCCAGTCCTGATCACTGTGAACGTTATGTGGACAACTTTTTTATTTTGAATAATTATTTATTGCAAATACTACACGTATACAGTTCTCACAACTAACTGCATCATATCTGTATTTCAGGTTTTGGGTCGTCTTTTGGCACTCAGTCATCTAGCACAGAGTCAGCCTCATCTAGTTTCAAATTTGGTACAAGTTCTTCAAATACAACCTCTAGTGGACTGAAATTTGGTGGCACTTTTTCAAACTCCTCCAACTCTGTGGGCTTTCAAATGGGTAATGACTCCTCAGACTCCACCACGAGCTCTGCAAGCTTCAAATTTGGAGCCTCATCCTCAGACACTTCTGGAGGTTTCAAATTTGGTGGATCCTTAACAGAACCTGCCTCCACAGGCATGGGTTCTTCAGGGGGATTTAAATTTGGTGGGTCCTCTGATGGCTTCAAATTTGGAACAGCCTCTGCACCTGTATCAACAAGTGAGGAGAAAAAGAGTGAATCACAGAATTCCAGCATTGGTTTTAAATTTGGTGGAAGCAGTGGTGTCGCTATTGGCTCTGGAGCTGCTAGCACATCTACAACAACTGTGTCTGGGGGCTTTTCATTTGGGTTGTCAAAACCGGAGGAGAAGGCAGCATCCAATTCAACATTCAATTTTTCAGCACCCAAAGTCAAAGGTGATAAAGATGATGCTCCTTCTTCAATAGAAGCAGTTTCAGCTGCCTCCACAACCTCCACAGCAGTTGCCAACACCATCCCTGTATTTGGCAAGCCGCCAGCGGCTGAACCTTCAAAAGCAGCACCATCGTTTGGTGAAGCAGCTGCAAAGGAGCCAGCTTTGGCAACCCCTGCTTTTACATTTGGCAAGCCAGAGGAGAAGAAAGATACCTCAACGCCCTCAACTGGATTTGTGTTCAGTGCCGCCAAGGAGGCTGACAAACCAGCACCATCCTTGGGCTTTTCTTTTAGCAAGCCAGAGCCTCCAAAAGAACTCCCTAAATCTACATTTACCTTTGGAAAACCTGCTGAGTCCACAGAAACCCCAAAGCCAGCATTTGGCTTTGGGCACAATGCAACAGGTAAGCAAGAGCACACATGATACTCACAAATGACCATTACTGAGAACTACTAACCCCCCTCTTACAAATGCAGAACTGTGAGGTTAATGCTTATGAAAGTATCAATGGCTTCATATCTTCTCTTGCTCAGATACTGCTGCACCAAAGCCTGCGTTTGGCTTCATGGCCAATTCGTCCAGCACACCTGCCTCCTCCAGCCCTGCCCCAAGCCTCTTTGGAACTCAGAGTAGCTCAACCCCAGCCCCAGCCCCCACCCCTGCTCCAACCAGCACCTTTATCTTTGGGCAGAGCTCTTCCTCTGATGCTCCTCCTGCCAAGACCTTGCTGTTTGGACAGCAACAAGACAGCCAGCCAGCTTCTGCAGCCCTTCCTGCTGCCCCTGCTCCAGCGCAGCCCTTCCTCTTTGGCCAGGCAACCAACTCAGCCACCTTCTCTTTCGGAGCCGCAGCAGCCACTACACCCGCATCTGCAGGTTAGTTTTGAGCTGAGCTGTTTACTGCCAGAAACTCCTTTCCATTGTCTGTTAGTTATTCAGCCTTATATTTTACATACATAAGCACGGTTCAGTAAACTAGAGCTTTAAAATCTGCATAATGCATCTTGCCATACTCCCTCAGTTTATTACATGTGAACGACTAATTTCTGTCTCCTCTTTTAGCTCCTGCACCCTCAGCTGCCCCCTCTCCATTTGTGTTTACCTCTGCCACTTCCTCCTCTGGCTTTGGCTTTGGACAGACACCTGCCTTTGGACAAGGCTCGTCCCAGACCAGCGCTCCAGCGTTCGGATCAGCTGCACCCTCCTTCTCAGCAACAGCCTCACCAGCTCCTGCCTTTGGAGCCAAACCCAGTGCTGCTCCTGCGTTTGGCCAACAGCCTAACTCGACCCCTGTTTTTGGATCCTCTTCTGCCTCTTCTGGCCAAGGTGAGGTTTTTCACCATTTTTTTTTCTGTAGTTCAAACATTTGTTACATGTGTACATCATTTCTATGAGCAATAATACAGGATGTCCTAAAAGTGCATCCACTTTGCGATCAAAATTTTACGTGACATTATCAATTGATGTAAATGCTAAGATCATCTGTCTGCTGTTGTCATGTTCCAAGGAGGTTTCCAGTTTGGAGGAGCCAGTGCTTTTGGGACATCTGCTAGAAACAGTAGTGAGTTTTCTTTTGGAGGGTCAGGAACCGCAGCCAGTTCTGCGCCGTCAATGTCTACCCAGCCTGTCGCACCTGGAGGAGGCTTCAACTTCACACAGGCCCCAGCCTTTAATATTGGGTAGAGTATATCAGTGGCTTCATATCTATCTAGTTCTGCCTTAGGAATACTTTAAGGAGCACAATCTTTTAACAGATGTCTCTCAGTTTAAACATGTGATGCAGTGTTATCTCTTTTTCTCAGGGCAACAAAAAATGCTTTCAGCCCAACACCCACTGGACAGCACGGCATTGCTGGCCGCAAGATCAAAACCGCCGTCCGACGTAGAAAGTAAAGCTGGAATTGGCGTGGGGCTGCCTCATTTCTGAACAAACACTGAAGTACTTAGTATTTTGAGCACGGCACTCTGATGGCTCCTTGTGCCAAGAGATTTGATTTGCAGTTGAGGATCGATGGTAGACTGTGGAGCCCTGGTCCATTGACAGAATCTAACCAAGACTCAAAAATGCAAAATAATACAATCAAGCAAAAACCTTACCATAAACAGGAAAGGTGTGTATGTGTACATATATATATTTTCAACATCTGCATTGTTGGCAGGATTTGCGCATGACTTTTTGTATGGAAAAAAACATGCAAAAACAAATTTAGGGAATTGACAAAGTAGGTTTTGCTTGGGTGATCAGGTTAAACTGCGAATGCAGAGATGTGGACTAGTTGTACGTACAGAGGCGAGTGTTTCTATGAACGTTTGGGTGTTGTGTTTTTCTTTTTCTTTTTTTTTTCTTTTTGTCCGCAGATTGATGTGTGTATGTGGTTTCTTTGTACATGCTGAACTGTGCTGGTTGATGTCTGATGTGAGAGGCAAATGAATGTGTTTAAGGAAAGGGCAGGGTGGTGTGGGCCGCACCCATGCACTGTGGAGAATGGTGGGTGAAACAGAAAGTAGCCCCGGAACTCTTCTCCAGAGGTCCTCTGTAAATCTCTAGTTCATTCATCGTGTTCATTCATCTTGTATTCCTTTTCAGTCCACCTTCTCCCCTCCTTTATTCTGACTTCCTTTCCCTCTTATATTCTTGTTCTGCCATCTCTGTTCTTTATCCTCTCCATCTCACTCTCTCTCCCTCCCTCTCTTCCTGTTTCTCTTTCACTCCCTTTCAATTGGCCTTTGAATATTATTAAAATTGTAAATAGTAACTTTTTTTAATCTGTGAAGTTTTTGTGTGTTAAACCAACTTTTTTCGTTCAGAATTTTTGTCTTTTAGAATTTATTATGTAAAGCCCTTAATTCAAAGTTGCCCAAATCCATTTAAAAATAACCTTAAATGCAAATTGAAGATCCTTTTGAAGACTAAAGGTATATTGGCATTTCTGATCCACTTTTGTTTGGACCAAAAGCAGTGTTGTAAAAAGTGTTAAGTATATATTTTTCTATTGCTTGTTTAAATGGACTAGGGTGACTTTGGATAGTAAGGACATCTACTTAATTTTAAAGCCATGATAATTATTACTGGACGAGTGATAAATAAAACCATGGGTAATTGCCATCAATAAAATTATGAAATAGACAAGTGTGTTCTTTCCAATATGTGATGCAAACAGTAGCATGGACCTTCGTTTTTCGGCCAACACCTTAAAATTTCAGAATATATGAGCAAGCTTGTATCATTTGTTTCAAATTGTGTTCTGTCATATTTACAGTTTGAAACAAATGTATTGGAAAATGTTCGCAGAGCTTTTGGGTTTACTTTGCTGTTGCACTTGATTCAAAGACCCCCTGTGTTTTGTTTTTTTGTTTTTTTTAAACACTTGCTGGAAAAAACTAATGAAAAACAAACTTCTCCTTGTGGAGGCTACAACCACACTCTAGTTGATTTTTACTTCACTGATTTATTATTTGATATGGGGAGTATTACTTTATATCCTCCACATATTAGTTTACTTTTTCATACCAATTACTAATGATAATTGAACTGCTAAACCTTTTTTAATACAGGTACTCTAAATCCTAACTCGTTTAAATTTTGGCTTTTTTATCATATGCTAATATTTAAGAAGTAATTATAATCCCTAATGTCATCTTGTTTGGCCAGACAATGTATTCCTCAAAAATATAGTATCTCTATGCAGCAGTATACTGTACAGTATTAAGGTGGAACGTTGTTCTGTTGTGTTGTTTTAACCCCACAGAGCTTATAATGTCACATGGTTCATCCAATAGACAACTTTAGCCTGATATGGAGCATTTTTTGTCTGAAACCATGTGTTGTCATGGTAAAGATGAGCCCTTTTTTGTGGAACTGAAATTGATAAAAATGAGCTGGGCTTGTATAATTAGATCCCTTTGTGAAATTCCCACCCCACCCCGGTGTGTAAATTACTGCTCACCTCATGAGTTCAGGCTCCTTTCATAAGAGCATACATTTTAACATCTGTGAGATTTATCTCCATCACAAAATGACTTTTGAGATTTTCCTGACACTTTCCAGATCATATTCAGCAAAGCTCTCTGCTTTACTGTTTAACTCATGGTTACTGTCATTATCAGTGACCCTGAAATGCCATTGAATACTGTTGACATCACATTGATGGAAGGTGGTGAGTAGAAACACCCATATGTCGATCTCTGTTAAGAAATTGAAAAACAAAAATTGTTTCCAAGTTTGATTTGTAGTGAATGGTGACCTAAACTCGTTAAAACTAGTTAAAGGGGGAAAAAAACAGCGAAATGTCTTCAAAACTGTTATTTACCAGCTGTTGTTGGACACAGCCATGCCCGTAAGCAGAGTCGCACCTCCTCCTCCTGGGGCGTGCAGGGTTAGGGGGACTCCCAGCTTGGTCACAGTCCCTGGCCAGCACAACTGCCACAGCATGCCTGCTCCTCAGCAGTAGCCATGCTGCTCTCAACCTGATGCTGCACTCCAGCCTGCTCTGACGCTGCGTGTTCAGCTGTACACTGGACATCTGGTGGCTTCATCACCACCACATGGCCGCCTCTGAAACTTATGGAGTGAAATTGGGGTCTTTAATAGTGACCACAAAAATGTCACAAAAAAATGTGGTCTCAGTGAGTTGCAAAAAGAATTAGATATTGCAAACAAAGAAGTGAAATTGTGCTACCTTGCAACACTTTTTTAGGATAAATCTTTTGCGACACTATTTTCTACTTGCGGTTTGCTCTCCTATATTTTTTTCTGCAGTACTTTCCCCTTTTGCGTTACTTTTGTGCGGCAGTTTTGACCTCTTTTTGATTTGGGGGGCGTGGGAAGAGGAGAGAGGTGTGGCCAAGATCATCAGCTGGAGCCTCCCCCCGCACAGCCCGACATTTCAACTATAAATGTAAACATACCTAACTTAGATGCCGCTATTGAACACATCTTCTTCAACTGTATCCATTCTAAGAATTTTTGGTGTGATGCAGTGAAAGATATTGGACAAAAGATGAACATTATATTAAGAATAGATTTATGATATTTTATTTTATTATAAAGACTCCAATCTGTTACTTGCTTAATCTGTTCATTCTCCTCGGTAAATACTTTATCCATAAAATGAATTTACAAAGAGAATCCCTGCTTACAGTGCATTTAAAAATGACTTTTACAGTTACATCTCCTCAATCTAGTATATCTATTGTAAAAACCAGCTAAACTATGAAACGTATTGAGAAAATTCAACTTTGGAGACATGTTCCACTACCTCATGCAAGATGTGGTATGTGATATCTGTTTTTCAAAACAAAAACAAAAAAACTTCCAGCAGCAGAGCTCTTTTAGTTTTCTAACGGTCTCTAAATGACACGCTGCTCTTGGTTCAGGATTATAAATAGTCTTATCCACAGCGTCTCTATCGCTTACGGCCACACCACCCTGAGAACGCCCGATCTCGTCTGATCTCGGAAGCTAAGCAGGGTCGGGCCTGGTTAGTACTTGGATGGGAGACCGCCTGGGAATACCAGGTGCTGTAAGCTTTTTCACACTTTCAAGAATATACGGGCAAGCTTGTATCATTTGTTTCAAATTGTGTTCTGTCATATTTACAGTTTGAAACAAATGTATTGGAAAATGTTCGCAGAGCTTTTGGGTTTACTTTGCTGTTGCACTTGATTCAAAGACCCCACCCCCACCCTCGTTTTTGTTTTGTTTTTTTTTGTTGTTGTTGTTGTTTTGTTTTTGTTTTAAACACTTGCTGTTTTTTTTCCTTCTTTACTCTTATTTTCTTTTATCATCCGTTATTTACAGGTCTTTCTGTTACAGGCATCAGTGTATCAATAGTGTGAGATGATAAAAAATACCTGACAATGTCATTAGTCCAAAACAAAGAAAAAAACCTAGATGCCGCGTCCAGCCAGGCACGTCAACAGCGCCGCCATTTTGGGGCGGTCAACATCGCAGCTGGACTGCATTTAGTACCATTACAGAGCGGCAGTTTAAGAAAGATACTGTCCAAAATGATACTATTTCAAGAATATTGCACTCAGAAAGCGGGATAGGATTATATAACAGAGAGAACGCGGCGATCCACGCTCATGTGCATGTGGTTGGTGATGCACAGAGAACCTTGTGATTGTTTTTCCTCTGGTTTCATATTAAGCTTATTTCCTGTAATAGTCTATTCAGGGAATCTTTAACTTTATGTAGTAGTTATTTATTTACAATGATGGTTATTGCTTTGTAACTAGGTAGGTTAAAGCATTCCTTAATCTTTGTAGATATTCATAACAGATTAACGTTGGCACCTTCTTACACAAACCTGAAGTCAGCTTCTGGTCAGCTTCCCATTCCACGGGAATTTTCCTATTCCACCTTAAATGTTGCAGCTTCAGGCACCAGAAAGTGAGAGCTGCACCATTTAAGGTGGAACAGGAAAATTCTGCTAGAAGCTCTGTTAGTTTCATCCTATTCACGCAATCTATGATTACCTATGTCATACTGCAATGTCACACTGTTACAGCATAAACGTAAACTGTTGTTTTTGTTTAGTTTATTTATTGAAAATAAGCATTTTATTTAATTAAAACTGTGAATTATCTGAATATATGCCACCGAAAAATACCACCTTTAGAAAAATAAAAATGTGTTAACCATTATACATCTGTTATTCTTTTTAAAAATGTGTTATATCTACATTTTTTTAGTACTGGAAACACAGCATTTTGGAATGGAACTCTTCAACTGTTTCCGCAGCTGGAAATTACAGCTATTTTTCTTCGCCAGTAGGTGGCAGTAACTGCGATAACTGCTATATGTCAAGCGATGTTGAGTGAATATCTCTATGAAACTGTCTTAGTAATTTAATCTTGTGGTTGTTGATATATAACTCATTCATTTATTCCTGATTAATGACTCATTACTTTCTGATTAGTTATGCATTAGTAAATGCCTTAATCACTGGCAGATCATGGACCCTTAATGTAAAGTGTTACTGTTTTGTCTTCAGTTACTAACTGAGCTGCGTCTGCAGTCAGTCAGGACTGTGATGAGCACTAACGTGGCTCGCAAGTTCGAACGTACAGTACAGCCGAACGGTTCCCACGGCTGCGCGTGCTGGTGTAGCATCTCCTTAATTTCTCGTTGCCCTTCACAAACCAAGCCCTCGAGCCGCATATTCACTTAAGAGACGTCAACACCAAGCAACACTGGAACTACGGAAAACAAATAAGTTCAGGAAATGTTAACGTTACTCGGCCGTTTGATACTGATTGTGTCAACTTACTATAAATCCCTGTCGGTCCAGCTTGGCTCGCGTCTGTCATGACGGAATTAGTTGAAATGACGGGTTATGCGGCGGCGGCTCCAGCTGATGACGTAAACGTCCATGGCACGCCTTTCCATCTTGGCCACACCTCTTTCCTCTTTCCACGCCCCCCAAATCAAAAAGAGGTCAAAACTGACGCGCAAACAAAAAAGAGTATCGCAAAACGGGAAAGTACTGCAGAAAAACAATAGGAGCGTAAAACACACACACACACACCTTCTAAGCCGCTTATCCTTCTGGGGGGAGGGGGGGATGGGCTGGAGCCTATCCCAACAGTTATTGGGTGTAAGGCCGAATACAACCTGGACAGGTCACCAGTCCATCGCATGGCAGACAGACAGACATATTGACAGACTGTTGTCGGAAGAAAACCTTGTATCTCCATTTTTGACGTTTTTCAGTTTTTGACATAATTTGAAAATACCTGTTACCCTTTACATTGTATGTAAATTTCATGATGAATGGACTAAAACAAAAGGCCGAAAATGACTTGTAAAAATGTCTGGTTCCATTGACTTACATTGAAAGTAAAGTATGTTTTTTCCTTCTGTAAAGTAACCATTTTGGAGATACAAGGTTTACTTCCGACAACAGCGATATGCATTCAAACACACATTGGAGCGTAAAACGCCAGTAAAAAATAGTGTTGCAAAAGATTTATCCTAAAAAAGTGTTGCAATAGAAAAAAGGTAGCACAATTTCACTTCTTTCTTCGCAATATCTAATTCTTTTTGCAATTCACTGAGACCACATTTTTGTGATAGTTTTATTTTCCGTCACTATTAAAGACCCCAGTTTGACTCCATAGAAACTCAACATAGCACTCTCTAGGTCCACCTGGCACCCACTGTTTCTCAGAAGCCTCATCGTTGTTGGCTCACTGGTCACTGTGCAGAGATGGATTGCCATGTCTTCCAGCTCAAACCCTGCAGGTACTGCTTCTGGCCAGACCACTATGACTGTTGACCCCGAGTTCACCAGAGTAGTGCATGGAAATGCTTGAGTGTTGATGGAAATGTGGCAAAAGTGTGATATGGACATTCGGCCCACCATGGTAACTGTTTATAATCTGAGTATCTCCCATCGAGGTGGAAACTTTTTTATTCTGACGCCAGTTGTAGCAATCACGCTATTAAAAGAGACAACCTCTTCATAAGTCATGGTGCTTTATTTACCGACTTACCGACAGCTATACTGTGTTCATTTGATGCCAAACTCTACCACAGCATCTCTGTCTCTGTATAAGAAATCTCACAACCCGTTTTGCCCCCTCATTTTGCAATAAATCCCACCTCCTGCTCTGGTACTGGCTAGAGGCAACTGGGTAATAATTAGTTTACTACATTGCTCGAGTTACACGTATTTAAGTAATGTTTTCATTGGTTTGTACTTTTAAGTGTATTCCAATGCTGACAGTTTTACTCACATTCATATACACTCACTAAGCACTTTGTTAGGGACCCTGTTCTAATACTTGGTAGGGCCTCCCTTTGCTCTCAAAACAGTTTTTCATGGCATGGTTTCCGCAAGATGTGGGAAACCTTCCTTTGAGATTCTGTTCCATGTTAACATGATTACATCATTTTTAATTTGATTCCTACAGATTTTTCAGATACACTTTCATGCTGCGAATCTCTTGTTTTACCACATTCCAAAGGTGTTCTATTCAATTCAGATCCGGTGACTGGGAAGGCCCTGAAGAACACTGAACTCATTGTCATGTTCATGAAACCAGTTTGTGACGACTTTTGCTTTGTGACATGGTGCATTATCATGCTGAAAGTAGCCACTGGATGGTAAGTTGTGACCGTGAAGGAATGCACATGGTCAGCAACAGTACTCAAAAAGACTTTGGCATTCAAGAAATTGTCGATCAGTATGAACTGGACTTTCCATCTTGGCTGTAAATATATCTCAGTATGTGCTAATGTTCTAGTACAGGATAAAAAAAGTAATATAAACAAAAACACAGACTTACTTTGATCTACTTTAAGCTTTAGCTCAGCTATAGCCACTTTTCTCGCATCTCTGGCAGAAAACTGTAAAACAGTTTCTTGTAAAATGTCTCTCAATGCTCAGCTTTTTACAAGGCCAAAGTCAGCTTCTCGTTCACCAGCTTATTCTTTGAATTATCCCATTCCAACTTCAGGCACATTTAAGGTGGAACGGGAAAATTAGAACAAGAAGCTGGCGAATGAAAAGCCGACTCAAGCTTTGTGACTTTTTAGTGTTTGACAGTTCCTCGCTGCAGATTAAACATATCTGGAAACCAGCTGGAGTCCTCATACAAACATGTCCATTCATCTCCAGATTATCAATATTTATCTTAAATCTTTCTCTTTGCCCTTTTCGGTAGCTACTAGCTGGTTGGGCGAGACTCCTTGTTATTATTTAATTTATTAATATAAACTGTGTTAGAACAATCAATAGAGCTTTATTTTACTGCAAAGGAAGATTATTTTATTTTTACCTAAAAATCTAATTCTGCTGGGTAGTTGCAACAGGACAGTAAAAGAGCTGGGTGGGGCTCCAGAGGAGCATGTTGCCGACCCGTTTTAGGCCAAAAGCTAGTATGAGGTAATTTCTGCATGGTAAAACTAAAATGTATAAAATACTCTTTATTAAAATCAAAGCGTGTGCATTTTAACGGCGTGTGAATCGTTCGAATACACATTTAAGACTGTGGAGCACAGAAGCAAATAAAACAAGTACGCCTTTGTCCAAAACATAATGGACTTAACTCTGTAAGTCTAGAACAGAGTGTTTCACACCAAACCGCTCTGAATGCCACTGTTTACATTTTAATTATTAAATTATGCAGACATTTTGGAAAATCTGTGGAATTCCCCTTTACTCTACCCGCTTCTGACAACTAGCCAATCATGGTGCAGGAGGCGGGGTCTGTTAGAAAACGGGTGTGAAAACAAAACAACCAAAAACACTGGAGCTCTGCTTTGTCCAGCGTCTCAGTGTTCACTGCGAACGGAAGATGAAGGAGGTGAAATCTGATCTGCACTAGCATAGCTAGCTCTCCTCCTCAATCCGGAATAGATGAATATGTGAGAAAGACTTTCCAGGTACGTTACCGTAGTTTTGTGCTGTGTAATAAGCTCTTAATAACACATTAGCGACTGTTGTAAAGACATCCACCAATAGTTAGCTAGGTAGCTTAGCTTTGTTGTGAGAAAACAGCTAGCAGGCAAACAGCTAGCAAGGAGTTGGCCGATGATGCGTGTCGTGTTTCCGTAGCTCTCTGTCACCACAGCTGCGGTGGCGGACTGTTCATCATCAACTAAAACTATTTATTTGATTAGCAGTTAATGTGTGGTATGATTTTTTGTTTTGTTAGTCCTGTGATGTTTTAGCTAGCTGCTGTTTTTCCGGGGGTGTTCAGTAACTTAACTAAGTAATTCTCTTGAACATCCTCAAAGTGGTTGTTGCAAGGATTTGGTGGTTTTAACTACAGCGTGTTTTACTGTCCACAGGCATGGTGTTAAGACAGTCGCCTGTAGTAGAAACTAAAAAGCTGCGTGATGGGCAATCAGGACTTGGAAGATGTTTTCGTGGCTGTTATTCGTCCAAAGAACACAGTCAGCCTCAGCTCAAAGGAGTACCGAGCTAAAGCCTATGAGGTAAGGACTGTGGGAGCAGCTCGCTTGCGAGACCTTCCTTTTAGCTTTGTGATTTTGATTTTCCACAATCATTTAAAGGGCTCATATCCTTTTTTCTTTTCCTCACATCCACTTATTACGTTTATGTACCAAAAACATTTTTACATAAACATTTTCAACAAGTTCTCCTTAGGCCATAGAAATAAACAGACTGTTTTCCTCATTCAAATCAGCTCAAACACACCTTATAACTTCAGTGAGAATAGGTGGGCCGAAACTGCTGTGGACCTAACAGCTGTATATATGTAAATGCAAAGGTTTTTGACATTAAATTCAGGCTGCTTTTGCAGCATAGTTTCCACATATGGACCGTATAGACTGAGGAGTGGATGACATGTTTTGATACCTTAACAATTATTGCATACTACATCAAACTCTTTTATTAAAAAAGGCAACAAAAATTAAGTTTTCCATGACACAGTCCCTTTAAAACAGCTCAGTTACTTTTGTTCACCAAGTAACAGTAATTTTAACCAACAAATTCTTACTTATTTTGTTCTTATTATGCTTGCAAAAATATTAAAACAATGTTACTTTCACAATTTTCTTATTAGATTCTTTTGATTGAAGTTCCGCTGGAGGGTAAGGAGAAGAAAAGAAAGAAAGTTCTTCTAGGGACCAAAATACACGCAGACAGCGACAAAACAAAGTCAATTCTTGAATATGTGGATGAAGCGACCAAGCCCATATCAAATAACCAAGGGATTGTAGGTCAGTATCATCTGTTTGTTTGTGGTTGTTTGCTAAAATTGATCATTTCATTGTCAAAGCCATATTGAGGCCACAGAAAGCCGCAGCAGATAATGTGTCTTGAATTTTACACAGAGAAAGGCAGCCAGTCATACCAATACTAATGATAAGTTGTGTCAGAAAACTGTTACTAGCCTAGTCTTTTTTAGCTTGTATCTTTCTTGAAAACAGCCAGTTTGTGAAGAGGTAGTAACCTGATACCAAGCGTGATAAGTGATGCTGAATGCTTTATTTCATTCGATTTATAGGACTAGGGTGTAAAAATGAGCTTAAACTTAGCTTATCGGCTCTCCCTCCAGTACCTCTGGCGCCAAAATGTAACTGCTGCACCATTTAAGGTAGAAGGGGAAAATTCAAACAAGAAGCTGGCGAACAAGAAGCCAACTTCAGAAGAAGCCTCAAAACATCCTATTCAGAGTTTTATGTACAGAGTTACCTACCCGACAAGTGTAATAGTCAAATATTGTATGTTGGAACATACAAATATTAATTAGACTTTGCATATGGTTTCTGTTGCAGGAAAGCGTGTAGTACACATGAAGAAATTTCCTCTAGATGGGGAGAATGAGGGAAAAGAAGCCTCTTTATTTATTGTGCCAATTAATGTAAAAGGTAAGATGACACTTTGTGTGTATGTTTATTCTTGGTATGGACAGTACTCTTATCATAGGAAAACAGCTGTATTTTTAGCTTGATCTGCCACATCCATATTGTACTATCAGTTAACATGAAACCCATCTCTAAAAAAATAAAAGTTATGTTCTATTATAATTGGCTTTGAGTCAACGAGTACAGATAAACATGTTGATGGTCTGTGGTAACTGACCACTTGCTACAAATGTGGCACATAGAGATTAGATTGAAAATGCTGGAATTTTCCTGAAATTAGAGCCATTTCACATATCAAATGCACCAGATAAAAAGACTAAGTGGACCTGAAATGACGTATTGCATGACTTTTTTTGGCAGAAATGAGTAGTCTGGGGAAAAACACAGTGCTAAAAATATAAGTTTTGATAGGAGAAATGTACTTTAAACTCCTTGTTTAAACTGTAGTCTCTCTTCCATTCCAGACAACAGCAAGCCTGTCTATCACCCTGGGAGTCCTAGCTTTTACTGTCTTCAAGACATCATGCGTGTGTGCAGTGAAACCAGTGCCCATTTCTCCTCTATTACCTCAAAGATGCTGCTTGGCCTAGACAAGTAGGTTTTTATCATCACACTCCATCCTCATATATGAGACCAGAAAATCACTGAGAGATGAATGGAGGGCATGTTTTCCATGCTTGTGCCTGCATTGCCACTCTGCGTGTGCCTCCATGTATTTTATGCTTGAGTGTCAGTGCAGATAAGTAATTTTCTGTGTGAATCACACATGTCTCATTTCACGCTGTGAAGTTATGCCAAATATGTTCCATGTGTGCAGAACTCATGACAGCTGGAATATAGAGTTCTTGATGAAGAGTAGCTAACCCACTGTGTGTCTGTGCTGCCCCCAGGTGGTTAGCAGAACAGCACAGTGTGCCGCATGCAATCCCTGCACTCTTCAGACCTGCTCCTATAGAGCGAGTGAAGACCAATGTGAGCAACCCGGCCTACACCACAGAGAGTAAGCAGAGTGATGGGCCGCTCCACATGGGCTACACCGCGCTGGAGATCAAGAGCAAAATGATGTCTCTGGAGAAGGCAGACATATGCATCGAGAATCCGCTCTATGGATCAGACCTGCAGTACACCAACCGAGTGAGATAAAAGCTCCATCCTAATATGTACCGTTTAAGGGTTAAGGACAAATATAGACTATGTAATGTAATTTCTTTACAGCCTGTATTTTACTTAGCAGCTTTTGTAGGGCTCATTGTGATTCTGGTATGCGTTCAAGCTAGCACACTCTACAGCACTCTTTGGCTCTGGAGGGCTGGGGTCGCGCACAGTTTGATGAGTTCTCTACTCAAACACACCTGATTGGAGCATGATCTAACAAAGCTGAATGTTGGGAGACTTTTGTTCAGTTTGTGTCACTACCACTTTGAAAAAGCAAATGCAGGAATAAGAATGCAAGTCAGACATCAGTAGTTTTGCACTGTTACTCTGATTAAACAAATCAGTAATAAGCGCTTACCCATCTACATAGTACTTTGAATGCACTGTGATGCTCGCTTGGAAAAAGTCACAGTGTATCTAAGAGTAGAGGAAGCCTCATGCTTATTTTATATAGTGATAGAAAACACAGTAGCACACAGAAAGCTCCAATTGTACACACTGAAATGGATAAAATGACTTTACTGCTGCTTTTACAGAGACATGCATGCGGCATAACTCCTCCATGAGTGACTTTTTTGGGGTGGGGGGCACCAGATCTCATCTATGTGGTTTATTGTCAGATTTAGTTGGTGTGTTAAAGCAGGGAAATCACCAAACTGAAGTTCAAGACCTCTGCTCTGCTAAGATATGACATTGTGTCCACAGCCCAGTTTAGTTTGACTTTCATTGTATGTGTGCGTGTTGTAATTATTATTTTTTGATGATGTGTAGGTGGATAAAGTCATCATTAATCCGTACTTTGGTTTGGGAGCTCCAGACTATTCCAAAATTCAGATTCCAAAAAGAGAGAAATGGCAACACAGCATGACCAGTGTGACTGAGGACAAGTGAGTGAATTAATGATACTGCAGTGTCCCACTAACACACATTCAAGCTATCAAGAGTTCTAACGCCCCTTCTATCAGAAGTGATTATTTTCAGAGGTTCAGCATTTTTCAAGGTGTTTTTGTGATTACTGTTGTAGACATGAATCCTTTTAGCGATATTGTGGTGGCAAAATCTCAATACCTCTGTGTCACTGTGATATGCAATTGCATTATTTGTTAATTTCTTTCACTATTCATTCATTCTTTAGTTATCAAAAGGATTTTAGAGCAGTGGCTACCTGAAGGATGTGAAAGTGCACAGACATAAGTTATGTAGTCATTCTAAAACACATCAGCATTGAAAACTCACTGTATAGTATCAGTGACTGTAATCACTGAACATGAAAAGCTTGTGAATAGCTTACAGATTTAGCTAGGATACATACAAAACTTTTAAACAAAAACAGGCTTATCGTTACTTTGCCAAAGTCTAACATTAGCTAGCTTATTGCGTGCTGTATATCATTCAGTTGTGACAGGGACTTACTCAACACTGCAGTCTGCATGCTACCATTGTGCTGCTGCCACTAAATCAAATATATAAGTAGATTTTTATTGTGACAAGTTCATCTAATACTGTGTTAGCTTTGCTCATGTATTATTGCCCTCTCTGTCCTGTAGGGAACGCCAGTGGGTGGACGACTTTCCCCTTCACCGCAGTGCTTGTGAGGGAGACACAGAGCTTCTGTCCAAGTTGCTGGACAGTGGCTTTTCTGTCAAACAGCTAGACAGTGACCACTGGGCCCCCATTCATTATGCATGCTGGTACGTTCTGTCTGCTCCATTTTCTCTCCTTGTTTAATCTTGTTTGTAATAGTGAGAATAAAACATCAGCTCTTTTATCATTCAGTCTGTTATTCCTTGGTATATCGTGTGTATTCATTAGCAAAGTGGTCGATGGAAAAATGTTTGCAACACATTTTAAGTGCTCCTTTTGTTCGCCACATCTGAACGACAAGTGGTACCCACATTGTGACTGTGATTGAAGAAGTGAATGTTGTGTTCCTGCAGGCATGGAAAGGTGGAGGCCACAAAGCTTTTGCTGGAGAAAGGGAACTGCAATCCCAACCTGCTGAATGGACAGCTCAGCTCCCCATTGCATTTTGCAGCTGGTGGAGGCCACTCAGAGATTGTGGAGCTCCTTCTGAAGCACCCTGAGATAGATAGGGTAAGTCACACTAACAGACAGAGCTTACAGATTCTAAGATCTAGTGCTTAGAACCAGGAGTGGGAGGTGTTAGGTTTGAGGTTCAAGAGAGCAGGTTAATTTGTATTTATGAATGTAAACTTAACCTTACTAATGCTTTTATATACAGCCACACCTCAATTCATTAATAAAGTCAGCGCATCTGTTGAAGATTCCAGTGTTATCATCTTCTTTTTACATTTTCCAATTATGATTACTGTTTTATGCTTTTCTCATCTAAAGCACATTGAGGACCAACAGAAGCGCTCACCACTTCAAGTCTGTGAAGAGAACAAACAGAACAACTGGGAAGATACTGTGAAACTCCTCAAACAAGCCAGCACCCAACCAGTAAGTGTGATGTTCCACCTTAGACATGAATTCATAAACCCTTTAGAAAGGTACAGTTGTCCATATATGTAGGAGTGTATGCACATAGACTTAAGTTCTGGTTCTCTATTTGTTGATGAGCCTGTCTGGAACACTTAAATTGTATCAAAACTGAGTGGTCTGTGTCTGTTTAAGTATGAAAAGGTGCGTATCTACCGCATGGATGGCTCTTACCGCTCAGTGGAGCTAAAGCACGGGAACAACACCACCGTCCAGCAGATCATGGAGGGCATGCGACTCTCGCAGGAGACCCAACAGTACTTCACCATCTGGATCTGCTCAGAGAACCTCAGTAAGTCCCATAGCAGCACCTTACACAGCTTACCCCTGCTTATCCGTCTGCTAGAAAGAATAAGAAAATCATAGTACATTACTAATTATTCATACTTTGTTTCTCCTCACTCTAACTTTACCTGTAACTGTTGTCATCATCTTTAAGGTCTGCAACTGAAGCCTTACCACAAACCCTTGCAACACCTGCGCATCTGGCCTGAGATCGTCACAGACCTGACCGCACTGGACCCCCAGAGAGAAAACCCCCAGCTCTTCCTACGCAGAGATGTCCGCCTGCCACTAGACGTTGAGAAGAAGGTATTATACAAATCTGTTGAATTGTAAAATGTCTCTAGGATTTCTAAGTACAATGCCAGACCACTTATCCAGTTGCTCACAGGTCAGCAAACTTTGCTATAAATATAGTGCAGAAGAAAAATTAAGGAAAAAAGGCATGAGGCTTTTTTACATGCATATCTCCTCCAGGTTGAAGACCCACTGTCAATCCTCATCCTGTTTGATGAAGCACGGCATTTCCTTCTCAAAGGCTTCTTCTCCTCACCAGATAGCAAGCTCATTACTCTAGCTAGCCTTCTTCTGCAGATCATCTACGGCAACTACGACAGCAAGAAACACAAACAAGGCTTTCTGAAGTAAGTCCCAGCTTATGGAGCGTGCTTAAGTTAGCAGTACTCAATTTTCCAAATTCCAGTCATGTGGAAGCATTGTTCTCACTCTCACTGTTTTCAACAGCGAAGAAAACCTGAAATCCATAGTTCCAATATCCAAAGTCAAGAGTAAAGCACATCATTGGACTAACAGGATACTTCATGAGTATAAGGTAGATTTGAATTTCATAATTCAAACATTTTAAGCTTTTCTTTATTGTATGGTGGGACTTGGCACTTATTAAGCACTGCATTACCATAGTTTAGTAGAGTATCCCACTGGGTTTTTCATGTTGATATAATACTGAGTGCTAATCTAAACTGGCATTTGTATGATTGGGGTTTTTAGAATCTGAGCACCAGTGAGGGGGTGAGTAAGGAGATGCACCACCTTCAGAGACTCTTCCTGCAGAACTGTTGGGACATTCCCACCTATGGAGCTGCCTTCTTCACAGGCCAGGTCTTCACCAAGGCTAGCTCCAGCACCCACAAGGTCATCCGTGTCTATGTGGGTGTCAACACCAAAGGCCTACACCTCATGAACATGGAAACTAAGGTGGGGAAATAACTGATAACATGTTTGTATTGGAAAAGAATTTTAAAGATCTAGAGAGAATTGGACTCCTAACAACAGTGCAAGACCTGGTAAACCACCAAAACTGTCACCAACAACAAAAATAAACAACTTGTACTTAATGGTCATTTTGACTGTAAATTGTAAATTAAATGAAGGGTGGTCTCTGAAGGGTGGTCTTTGATCATTGACAAAATATGAATAGGAAACATTCTGCTTTATTGTGTTCGGTTGTATGGTACCAATGTACAAACGTATTGAGATACAAGTATCTCCAGTATGTTAATGTCTGTTCACAATTCACTTAAGCAACTGTAAATGACTCAGCAGAACTAACAAATAGGGATTATGTTTAACAGAGGTATACATTAATTTCACTAGTCTTGACATTACGTCCCTAATCCACTGAAGAAAGTGGTGGGCTTTGCTAAGCCTGCAAGCTGAAAGAGAAACAAAAGAAAGTATTTGCTTGGTGATCTACAGTCCTGATCAAAGACCACCCTTCAGAGACCACTCTTCATTTGATTTACAATTTACAGTCAAAATGACCATTAAGTACAAGTTTGGTGACAGTTTTGGTGGTTTGCCAGGTCTTGCACTGTTGTTAGGAGATCTTTGAAAGTTTTTGGAAATCCAGTTTTGGAAATATCTTTTCACTTATTGGCTCGTATATCTGTGTAGAAATATTGAATAACTTGTGCTTAACAGCCATTTTGACTGGAAGTTAAATAAATAAAGAGTGATCTCAGGTTCAATTCCATTTTATTGAGTTAAATCTCTTAAAACTCTAAAGACCCACTGGAGGGTCCAGGCTTCTCTTTCTCACTCTCAGAGCTGCGTATTAGTTATATTCACAGTAGTCACTGAGTGAATCATCTTAGGTACTGGATAATAGGTCTTAACAGTAATAACTGAATAATAAACCTAGAGTTTAAGGGTTTAATAGGTCATGATGAGCATTGACTCCAGCTCCATCTTGCACCCTGCTTATTTGTTGGTGTGGAAGCCCAGTATGTGCACTTCAGATATTTCCTGAGCATTAATAATGCAGCAGGTTAGATAAACCTAAATCCCCCTTATTGACTATTGTCTAATGATTAACCTCTTTTGTGTATAAGTTTGATTTATTCCAAATTAAGGATGTAACTGTATAGCGTCTTGAACAGTCATAGTAATAGAAAAAAGGTATTTACATGAATTACATAATCTAGGCATCTAGTCATATTGACTGAGCTAAACGAAGAAATCTGTTTGTGTTACATCAGTATTTCCTCTGAAAGACCTGGATTCATTTTTCCCTATATGCACCAGGTGCTCCATCTCAGCCTTGAGTATGGAACCTTCATGTGGCAACTTGGCCAGGCTGACCAGTACGTCCAAATCCACAGTCTAGAGAACAAGAAGAACTTCATAGTGCACACCAAACAAGTATGAAAGACTTTTATGTACTATACTTCTAGAAGTAACCTTTCACTTTAGTGAACATACTGGATGATGCAGCCTTTGAAATGGTGAAATGGATTGAGAATGTGTTCCTGTATCTTCTCCACAGGCCGGACTTATTGTAAAGTTGTTGATGAAGCTGAGTGGCCAGATTACTCCGAATGACAGAGCAGTATCAGACAAGTATGCATACGGCTAACTCCCGTTATCGTCAGCGGGGTCAGAACTCCTGTTGGGCTTGCCTTGCCTTATTGAGTTTTTTTGCTTTTGTGTTTTTACTACGTTTTATGACAAAGAAGTGTTTTTACTAAAATTATGTACCTTTGCATTTAATTTTGAAAGTAATCTATTTTTGACATATTTTCATACTGTACATGATATTCTGTTTGGAATACATTTTATAATAATTCATTTGAATTTATCACCATTGCTTGTAAATATTTGTATTTAATGGTTGCATTTTAATAAAAGGAATAATATATCACAGACAGATGTCCTTTGCCTTTTTTAATTGTTGGAAATAGATCCTAGTCAAAGTCCAAATGAAATAAAATTGCAAGCCTCAACCAGCTGCATTTACCACCCACTACCAGTAAGGGGCAGCACACTTACAGACACATGGAGGGACCTAGAACTGACAACTACTCAAATCACTGAGAAATGTGTTTGTTTTCTCTTCTGAAGGTTCAACATGTAGAATGGAAGCTTAGCGTAAAATGCATTTGACCTTGACAGCTGTGAAAATCTGCAGCAATCACTTAATCATCACATGGTTTAATGTTACCTCTGTTCAGAAGCGGTGTTTTTAGAGCCATTGTGTTTTTTGTCATCACAACATCTGAACAAAAGTCCCAGCAGTTTCTCTCTTACAAAGAGGAATGGCACCTTACAGCTTCACTTGTCACAGATGAGTGACTGCCCTGTAAACTACATTCTTCATCTTAATACAATTGCATTCTATGAATTATTCAAAAGCAGCAAAAAGGCATGAAATGGTATTTACATTCACTGAGCACTCACACTGGACCGTTAGAATGGAGGCAGTCCTGCGGCCGATAAATGTCTTTCTCTCGAGTGCCACTGTGAGTTTAATGGTTGGTCATTCATCTTCTGTTATATTGTCATGTTTTGCTCTGCTGATTGACCTTAAGGCTTAATCTCACATTTGCACATGCTCTAATGACCTCAGTGCAAATGTCACAGTATTCTGCACCACAATTAAATCTCTCTCTCTCTCTCTCTCTCTCTCTCTCTCTCTCTCTCTTGCTCTCTTTCTGCTTGAAAAGAAGTTGCAAGTTTTATTCTTTCACTTTAATGGTTTCTGCAACCAAAAACTACAAAGACCCTGGTGTAACAGTGCGTTTCATTTGAGTCTCATATGAGTAATATCTCTAAGACTGTGTTTTATTACTTGAAAAAAGTAATGCTATTCATACAAGACGCTGAGAAATTTGTTCATGCTTTCATAAGTACTAGATTACACTACTATAACTTGTTACTGGCTTGTTGTCTCTCTAAATAGGTTCCGACTAGTTGAGAATGCAGCAGTCATACCAGAAAAAGACAGTTTGAGCATATTACTCTGGTCTTATTCAGTTTACACTGGCTTCCTGTTAAGTTCTGCATTGACTACAAGGTTTTGCTTATGACATTTAAACGGTCTAAATGGTCTAGCTCTGACATATCTCGCTGATCTGTTGAAGCCTGTCCAGATCACTCTGCTCAACTGAGCCAAGTTTACTGCAAATGCTTAGGATTAGAAAAGATACATTCAAAGGAGATACAGAATTAGGTTAAAACCCCTAAATTCCAAACAGGCACAAAGTTTTAATATACACTTCTATAACATAAGAAAAGCTCCATTAGTTTGCATTGAAGTCCCTGTAGTTAATGAATAATAAGCCTTAATGTTTATTGACTTTGGATTGTTAAGGGGTTAAAGAGATACATTTTCAAATGTTTTCTTAAATGTGCACTTTTAGCTTGAATTTCTAATAAAAGGTGGAACTGAGTGTCACAGTTTAGAAGCAGAATTAGCAAAATCAGTCTCTCCATGTTTTCTGTATTTGGCAGAGGGTATTAGCAGAGAGCCAGTATCTACAGATCTAAGATCACATGCTGGAACATAAACAGACAGACATTCTGTGGGGTACATAGGTGCTTTAAGGTCATTTAGAGCCGTAACAACTGCTAGTACAATCTAAAATTCTATCCTGAACAGTACAGGTAGCCAGTGCAGTTCTTTCAAAACAGGAGTGATATGGTCTCTCTTTTGTGTTTTTGTAAGGATCTGTGCTGATGCATTTTGTATAAGTTGTAGAAGAAGTATTGTTTTCTTAGGAAGCCCAGTAAAAAGAGCATCACAGTAATCAACTCTGCTTGTAGCAAATACATGAACAAGTTTATCAGCTTTTCTTTTGCTTAAAAGTGTTGTGGCTCATTTTCTCCTGTTTGTAATTGTGCTGTTATTTAACATAGTTATTATTTATCTTTATGTTTTTTTGTTCATATCCAAAGTGTTAAATATTGCTATGCAGATGGAGATGTATTATTATTATTACCGAAAGTAGTAGTACTATTAGTATTATCATTACTATCTCCCCTTTCCTCTCTCTCTGTCTTTCTGTTACTCTGCTTTTCTCTCTCCCTTTCTTTTTCTTACTCTCTTTGTATCTGGTTCTCGCACTTGCTCACTCGCTCACTCTCTCATGCTCTCTCACTCTCTCACGCTTTATAATCCAGAAGATTTGCACAATGAGCTTGATATTAGAAACCATTCATGCTCTACATTACAAAGCACAGGGAAACTGCCCTTTGAACGCCTAACAAGCTGTCCGCAAGTTGAAATAAAGGTGCCTCCACCCATCAAGTAGGGTTTTCCTTACAATTCCCAGATCTCTCTTTCTGTTCCTGACAGCACGCCTGGAAAAGAAACCAATTGGGAGTTGACCGGTTCGGTCAGTCTTGGTGCCTCGCTTCCTTCTCCCAGCTGCTTTCTGGTAGTGAGCATTGGTTGCACCCTAAAAGAGAGCACACTGGAGTACTGTTTCTGTTTCCAGGGCTGGTGTCAAGGCTGCCAGAAAGCTGTGGATTCATTGCCCTGAGGAGAATGCACTTACTTTATACCCAGAAGTGTTAATTCTGTTTCCCTGCAGCGAGCTTCACAGTGTTCTATTGAAAGAGCGCAGGACTCCAGCTTCTTAACTGCCGACTTGTCTGACGTACGGCAGTGACGAGCAGGGCCCTTTCAGGCTGCAGACCCCGCCTAAAGGTCAGTGGAAAACTAGCTGTCGAGACACTGTACTCCATCACAAAGACTCGACTGAGATCTCTCTCACAGCCCATTTCTCACACAAAGGCTGAATGGGCTCGTAGTTGGGGGTGAGTGAAAGACAGAGAGAGAGTGAGAGTGAGAGAGAGAGAAGAAGAGAGGGAGCGCGAGAGAAAGGCCCCCCCCTGCACCTTTTCACTTCTTTGGGACGCAACAATGGCCTTTGTCCACAATGTCCCTCCATTCTTATTGGGGTTACTGCAGGGAGGGGAGGTGGTGGGGCTGCTTCTCCATAGTAACAGTGACAAAACAAGCCAGCCGAAGACGGGAGAGGGACTTAAACACTTGCTGCTCACCACTGACAGATCCTCTATGTTTCAGTGAATAAACCTTAAAGAGCGTACAGGAGAAGAGGAAGAAAGGAGCACCACAGTGAAAGAAACGTGAATATAAGGTACAAGATCTGCAAGACAGGAGAAGAAGAGGTGAGAAAGGATAAGGACAAAAAAAACCCTGATGAAAGACACTGGACCGAAGATGTGCATGTGAGTAGTGGAAAAGCAGGCAGTCCCCTGAGGAGGGCCAATAGTGGCACCACCACCAGGGCATCTTCGCACACAGCCCTTGTTCAGTGTTCTTGCTCTTGTGGACATCACCATGAACCCGGAGACTCAGTACGAGGACTCAGTGTCCATTATGGTGTTGGAGAACATCAAGAATAAACTTCTGCACGCCTTCAGAACGACAGCAGAGCCAAGAGCCTCCTCTGAAAGCAGCACAGATCCGAGCAGCGTCGGCAGGAGTTTGCAGGCTAATGAAGAGCTACGCAGAGCCAAGATAGATGGAGCAATTAGCTGGTTACGATCAGAACTGGTAAGTTGGTTGCATTTCTTCAGCTACAGGTTAGCAGCCTTTCTGAGGTCTTGCAAATTCATATGTGAGGATCATGCTAAACTCTAACTCATGTCTTCTGGGCTGGATGTGGAGCATCTTCTCTCTTCTCTCCTCCCCATGAAAAGCACATTGTGTTACTTACTTCAGGTTTTTTTTATTCTGGAGGGTAATAACTTCTCCATAACTGCCACTGGGGCAGCTGAAGCTTAAATGATGAATGTTGAATTGTATGAAGAAAGCAGGTCTTTCCAAAGCTCCTCTGTCCAAGAATACAGCAATTTGGACACTTCACAAATGTTCATTATGCACTAGACCAGAGGATAAAGGCTATAACCATTGATAGTTCTCTTATTGCCTGGCAAGAACTGTTCACTGTAGTAACACTTTGTGTGGTTCACACTGGCTATGAGCTTTTTCAGATATAGTTCATCATGTTTTATATTGAGTTATTTAATGCTCCAGTAGCTACACTGCTTTGGTGTTCTTTTATGTATGTGTAATACAAACAGACAATCAATCAATGACACTCAATAATAAATGTTTTATATATCTGAATTGTAAAAATTAAATTAATTAACAAACAGATTTTAGGCCTGTTTCTCAGAGTTACCAAGAAAAGAAGATTTAAAAAAATGTGAACAAGTTAACCTGATCGTGAAGAGCACAATGCATTTTAGCAATGCAGTTCAGCTCACTGAAGGTTGTGAATAACTAAAGCTAATAAAAAAAGCTCAATCTTTCTTTTTCATGAGCCTTAAAATACTTCTTTAGAAACTCCACAGGGCAGGCACTGTTGCGTCCTGAACTGACTGGACTGAATGCTCACAGTGCTGAAATGCTTATGTGTTCTTAATGTCATTAATATGCAGCTGGAGATGCGCTTGCAGGACCGGCAGCTGGCTCAGACTCTGCTGGGCCTCAACACGGAGATCCAGAGACTGCGGCGGGAGAGCAGCCCAATTCTGCTGGACACTAACAGCAGCGACCAGCACTGACCATGCACCAAAGAAACAGAGATTTCATCCATCAGCTGAACAAATGGACAGTGGTTTAATGTTGTCTCCACAGCTCCATTTCCTCTGCTTTTTAAAATACTCTTCAAATAATGTTTCCTAAATGGCTCTTGGATTAGATGTACTGTTCTGGGAAAAATCTCTAAAAGGGAATTCAACTGATTTTCTGCATAATTAAACCGATAAGATGTAAACAAAGTTGTTCAGATGTTTGATGTGAAATGCGTCACTCTAGAGAAACTTACATAGTTCATGGTGTTGATAGGAACCAGACGTCTGAAGAGTTTAATGCCTCTAAAAGCTCCCTCACGGAAAGGTATTACATGAAATGGCTATGAATACGCTACCAGGTGCCTGACACAATGTACAATGATAGTTCTGAGATAAGATTCTGACCTAAAGCATTTTTTTAAATACATCCATGTCAGAGAGGTACATGCAGGGTGTTGTAAGGTAAAACAGTACTCAAAGGAAACACATTTTTAAGGATTTAACATTTTCTTTATCAATTTTATACAGTAAAACTCAGAAGACCTGGCTCCAGTAGGCATTTTGGATGGTAAATAAAATGGCTATACTTGTGTTGTAGACATCAGACCTGTGATTTCTTATCACCTCCACTGATAGCAAGTCTAGAAAGATTTCACATCCAATCACTCTGAATGACTTTGTTTTCAAAGACTGGATTATGTAGAAATTTTTAAAAAATCCTGGCAATTCCCTTTTAATTGATATAAAATTTTCATTGTTGTCCAAAAAAACAATAAAATTTTTATTTTTCAGCACAGCAGTTGTCCTTTACATTGTGTGAAAATTTCATGATGATTGCACCAATAAAAATGCTCCAAAATTGCTTGGAAATAAACTTCTTTAACATACATTGAACGTAAATTATGTTTTGCAAAGTTACAATTTTGGAGATACTTGTTTTCCTTTGGACAGCAATGCTTTACATAACATGGAGGTTCTTTAAATTTTTAAAACGTTCTTCACACTCACACATCTCATTTACAAAAATAATTCTACTGCAATTCTACTGAAAGGTTGATTAGGGAACCAAAAGTCGTTCCTCTATGGCATCGCTCTAAAGAACCCTTTCTGGCACCTTTCTTTTATAGAGTTTGCTCTTAACTAAGAAATTCCTTTCTTTGCATGTTATAAGATTGCTTATGAAACACATGAAGCATGCTTTATTATGTAACAAAAAATGTACGATAAATGAAATGATGAGCATGATCTTGTTCATTGTGAGATTGTCTGATTACAATCTGAACGTAGAAATGATAATATGCTGTCATACTGTGTGTGCCATAATATACACTGGTGGCTTGTGTAAAAAATTCAAGCAGGACAATAATTTACAGGGCAATATATTGTCGCTGTCCAAAAAAAAGTCTCCATCTCCATTTTTGTTGATTCTATCATTTTTCTGTCATTTGAGCACAGCAGATTTCCTTTACAGTGTGTGAAAATTTCATCATGGACCAATAGAAATGCTCCAAAAATTACCTAGAATAAAATCTCTTGACATGAACTTACATTGAAAGTAAAGAACGTTTTTGCCTTTTCTTGTAAAGTTGCCATGTTGGAGATACTTGTTTTCATTTGGACAGCAACAATATGCTTATTCATAGAGTATGCTATTTTGTAAATCAGTATTGCTGAATAAAAACGCATTGCCAAACCAACGAATGATTAAGCTTTTTATCATGACATACCGTTTATGATATCAGTCCCAGAGAAGTTACATTCATAATGTACATAATTTCACATTTCCAACAAAATACATCTTCACACTCGAAACAGAGATGTCACAATATTAACATGATTACAGTAAATTACCAGCATCACCATGAATGTTCATGTTCATTCAGGAGTTTTGCTTTTATGCAATTTAGATAATTTAGGGAATATAGACAATCAGTGGACCTGTGACCCCCCTCTAATTAGTGAATTCAATTACTTTAAGGTGCACCCATTGCTGACACAGGCATTCAGTTACACACATAGCTTGTATAATCTTCATAGAAAAGCATTTCTAATAGAATGGGATGGTCTGCAGCAGCTGCACAAGAGCCTAAGATCACCATGCCCAATGCCAAGCACTGGCTAGAGTGGTTTAAAGCTCCCCAGCGTTGGGCTGTGGAGCTGTGAAACTGTGTTTTCTAGAATGATGGAGCTCCATACAGCACCTTTAAAATGAATTAGAGTGGAATTTGTGATCAGAACGAACCATCCAACATCAGTTCCTGAACTCACTTATGCTTTTGTGGCTGAATGCAATCAAATCATCACAGCAATGTTCTAATATCTGGTGTAAAGCCTTCCCAGAAGAACAGAAGCTGTTATAGCAGTAAAGTCTCTCCTTTAATGCTCTTGATTCAAGAAGAAACTTTGAGCAGGTGTCTACAAACTTGGACATATAGCAAATTTCCAAAGTTTTTACTTATGTCTGGTTTCTGGTGTGACCTACGGCACTTCAATGGAGGTGGAGTGTAAATGACTAATCGACTTTGAATAAATGGGTACCACTACAATATGACTTTACAAATCTTAAAGCTTATGAATGGTTTAAAATGAGTTCATTAATGCTTATTAATTATACCTTAAAATCATTAATAAGCAGTTATAGGACCTAAATAAAAAGGGCAACAGTGACCTGCTATATCTGATGAACATGAAAAACTGACAATGTTGATATATAAGGTACAATGCTGACTGATGGAGAAGACAAAGTGAGATAAGTAACCTGCAAGATCTGAGGTTTAACAGGATAGAGGAATGTGGGTTCACTGTTTGACAAGCAACAAGTCCCTGTTATCCTTTTTATTTATGTGTTGTAAGTGCTTCTAAATGTTTTTAAGCTGTTTATAACCTAACCCATTACTACACACACACTCACACACATTTTCTAAGCTGCTTATCCTTCTGGGTCAGGCGGGTAGCTGAAGCTTACCCCAGCAATCATTGGACGGAGGTCAGGAAACACCCTGGACAGGTACCAGTAACCATTAACAAACGAATTTTAAACTATTCATAAACCATTTCTAAGGGTAGTCTTACTGTAAAATAGTACCCAATGCTCCTCAGCAATGAAGCATATGTGACTGTCATCCTTACACTGTGTTCATGTTAAAAGTTACTGTACAGACTGTTATTAGTTTTTGGAAAGCTGACCTTATGAAATTATCATTACTGAGTATTTCTTATACTAATGTTATTTTATCGCTCAGCTGTAATTTGAAAAGAGTTGATCAGGGAACACATATTCATTGTCAGCCTTAAATACCATAAACAGGCTCTGTCAAGCCCTCATTCACTGTTGAGGGATGGCAGAGATTGCACACTGCTGACCAGCCCCAAAGGACCTCATAGATTCAGTGAGTGATGCTCAGTAAGGATGAGTCAGTCATGTGATAAGGAGTGATACAGTTTAGTGTGTGCTGAATAAACACTTGAGTTTTGTGTTGTTAATTGCCAAAGTTGTGTACTCCTCTATGGCTGCAAGGTAATGAAATCACTCTCCATGCACAGAGAATCATGCCTGTGTAGTTACAAAGACAACAATACTAACAGTGGCTTACTGTCAGAGTAATAAGGCACGTGTGTCCAAACACATAACTAAATACACATACACTGGCTCTCACAAGTACTCACATACATACATACAGCTACATCTACAGAGTGCTTCATCGAAACAATGTTTGTCAGTGAAATAAAATTAGGATCTACACAATAGACAACAGCAGCCTATCTCAAGAGACCTTGTCTGATTTAGAGCTGTGATAATGATCAGAATTCACATCCACACAGCATTCCAGCCTACACTCAACTTCTGAATTGCTGCTATTGAAACCCAGTCATGCGCTTTTTAGAAGTCAGCCCTCACTCTAGTGCAGGAGTGGGAAATATGGCAAAAATCTAACATCCCAATACTTGAAGACATGTTCATGATAGCTAAATAACCTTTCAAAAGACGTTCTTCAAATGAATATTCTTCAAAGGATTATGCTTTCCAACCTAATCTCTACCCACCTATCTCTGTCTATGCGTCTACCTCAAGCTGTTCTTTTACAAAGTAAAGGGAAAAACGTATAAGTCATTGTCTGTATGCTACAGATATGGCAGATAAAGATTAAGTTTAAGAGTGAAGTATTCCTTTAAGGAACTATTCATTGAAATATTCTTAAAGGAGACAAACGTGGTGGCACAGCTTAAAAGAACCATTTTGGCATCATTACTTTTAAAAAGAGTGTTATCGTTGTTGGGACAAAAGAATATTTTGTAACATGGGTTGTGCTTTGGACCCCGACGAGTGGCTGAATCTGACGTTTGCAGGCGCATTGAAAGAATATTCAAAGAAAACTTGGTAACTGCAAAACTTGACACACCTTCCAAGGATGTGAATTATCTACTATTGTTATCTTTATTATCTTTAACAGTATAATGTTGATTTTGAATTTAAAACATAAACATCAAGCTAGACCTTCTTGATGTTTACATATGTTGATCAAGTCAGATACAAGGTTTTGCTCCAACAACTACAATATATTTCTTGAGACTTTTCAAACCCTTTTTAATAAAACATGCAGTTGGTTCATGTTGTGGTAATACTGAAGATACCCACATTATGCTCAGTAAGGCTTATTGTGACGTAGTTTATCGAGGTAACCATATCAGTCATATCACCCATACAGTAACGTACTATGATTTCCTGTCAAATTCAGGCAGTGATAAATCAGTAAGCCTACAGATGTTTGAATGGTGCAGTATAGGTGAGGAATTTTGATGTAACAGCTCTCTAAGGTACTGAGCTGCGTCGGCTGAAGGCCCTCTTAGGCAGACAGCCCACAGGAAGTGGACTGGTGCGGAAGGGAGAGTAGATGGAGGGATAAAAGCACATCTCTCCTGAGTAAGAGGAGGCACTGCTCCCCCCTGTCTCACTCCCTGAGTCCCAGCATGGCTCTTCATCTACGTCCTGCTCCTGCTCCTCTTCGTAATCCACAGCACACTCCTGCTTCAGCTCCTGGATGCCCTCATGGAGATCCATCAGCTGCCGTATCAGAGCCTGGTCCTGAGAGCGCATTTCCATCTGGAAAGGCAAAGGAGCCGCAAACTCATTGCTTCACCACCAGTCTCATATATGACAATGAAATGAAGTCAGCCATGAATTTATAAACAGATGAACAATTTTAAAGGGCCTATATCATGGAAAACTTCTTTTCACTTCTCATTTGATGTAGTTTGTAAACATTGTTAAAATTTCCAAACATATTGTTCACTCCCCAATCTATGAAGCCTGTATGTAGCAACTAAGCTGCAAAAAACAGCCCAGTTTGAACTCAACCTAGCCTGCTGCAGTTTAACCCAGCACTTTCACACTGAAGTTATAAGGAGTGTTTCAGCCTGGACTGATTTTTGAAAAAGGCACGACACGGGGCAGCCAATCTGAAGAGAGCTCTTTAAAATAGCCTATACCAGTCTTGAAGGCACAGTAACAAAACAGCCTAATTAATTCTAACACAAAAAAGGGGAACTTAGGGAAAAATAAATGACAGAAAAATGTATAGAGTCCTTTAAGGCAATAGTTTTGTGAGAAAATTTTTGTCAGTTTGTCCCTTACCCCAAATTTAGGCAATCACCAAAGACATGTCTGATGTCTGATGTTTACATCTTTAGTTTTGCATTGAAAATTAGATATTGCTAATTCAAAATGCCAAAATGTACGGACAGAATTTAGGCTACAATATGGCTACTACTATTGTTTTTAGCATGGAACCTACCTTTTTCCATTTTTACACATCACAGTAAGACATGTAGTGTTATAAACCACACAAGCAAATCTATCTGATATAATTTAAGAACTCAGGTCAGTTTTAAGTGTGATTTAGACATGCACTTTGCACAGTGTTAGTTGATGGGGTGTAAGTTTCCTTTACTTGTTGTCTACTTTACCTTCATAGGTGCATTGCAGTTGCTTAGATATATTTAAAGGAATACAAAAAATCAAAGGAACAAAATTTCACTGTGTAGCTAAATGCCACTTTAGACAACAGCCCACTTCATTGTGTCCATTAGTATAGTTTACAGTAAGTCATTCTGTGTCCTGAACCACATTGACAAGTCTGTACAACCTTAATGAAGACCTGGTTGCAGAGTGGGTTGAGAAGAGTTTTGGGGATCTATTTATTTATGGAAAAGATCTGCGTGACTATTGACTTCTAGTGTTTGTTAGCAAAGATTACCTTGTAGCTCCAGTTTTAAACTAAAGAAGCAACATTTGGAGGCCAAACATGTCTTGACTGATCATCTATATCTGGGGTGAGTGGAGAATTGTGCAAATTTGATCTTTTGCCAGATTGTTCCTTTAAGAAGTTGGCACACTAAGAAGTGTAATGTTTGTCACTGGAAACTGTCCAGGTTTATCTACTCTAAAGCACTGCAGACATGTGTACTTTACATAGTCAAGGATGGATTAATGACCAGGACAGTGGGGCCAATGCCCAGGGGCCTCTGACTGCCAGGGGCTCTGTGGAGCTCAGACCATAAGCCCCGAGGTGGCTCAAAGACTGTGGTAATGCACTTCAAATGTAAAAATTCAACAAACAATTAGCCAATGAATATGTAATGAATAATTAAATGAGATGTTATCTATCTATCAGTCTATACCCTGCCATTTCCTTTTTCAGTTTAAATTAGTTTTTATTATGTTTGTATATATTGGTATTTTACAGATGTGCTATTGTTAGAGTGTGACAGGGGGAGGGAGAGGGGCTCCAAAGACGCTTATGAGTAGGGGCCTCATTAGACCATGGTCTATCCCTCTACAGAGTACATTATAGCATGAACAACATATTTTCCCAAGTATTGGATAATTAGATTTAGAACGTCATCAGTCATTAATTACTATGAATTACTTATCATTGTGTATAAACAGCCCATTACTATTCATGCGCCATTATGTGCAAATAAAGTATGCAAGAAAGGGTTTATTTGTGGTAAAATTAAAGTCACTGTCAGGGATGGCAGAGCTCTAAATAAATCTTCAGACAACTACTGAGCTTCTGTGGCCAATATCTTATGTATTTTCTAGATCATTTTTATATAATCATTTCCCAACCTCTTTTCATCCCTTCAACTTAAACAGGCAGTTTTTGTTATTGAGCCTTTAAGACTGGTATATGTAAATGATCTTTGTTTCGATTGGCTACCCTATATTGTGCCTCATTTAAAAGCATTTCAGGCTGAAACACTCTTTATAACTTCAGTGTGAATGAGTGGGGCTAAACTCCTGAAGGCTGAACAGGCAGATATACTGTATAAAATGAGTTTTCATGACATCACAAAAACAGTGAACTCAAAATGTTGGTTTCCACATGTGGACTATATGAGCTGAGGAGTGAACAGTACATTTTGAAACAGTAATAGTGTTTACATACTACATGGAAATCTTTTTTTTAAGTGAGGAGAATGCAGCGTTCAATAAAATGGGCCCTTCAGTGCTTTATTCCATTGTTATTATTATTGTCCATTATTCAAAGATGCTAAGCATAAGAACCACATTTTGCTTATACTGTCTTAGTTTTAAGATTTGGATGAAAGTATTACACAGTGTCCCCCCCTCCATCTATCCCTTTCAGGTTATTTAAAAGACAGCAAAGAGACAACCCAGAGAGCACTCATTAAGGAGTGCTGAGATGCTGAGTTATTCAGGTACTGTCAAAACAGATTTTTTAAGGTTCATTGGAAAGTCAGGCTGATCCAAGCATAGACAATGACTCAAACAGAGACACTGACATTACAGCGTAAACAGAAAGGACCCACAAACTATTCCAAAGCAGTGCCACAGTGACGGCCCAAGGTTAAGGTATCAGTGTGTTGACTGAGTTTCTGCCCATTCCTTCTGCAGAGTGAGTGTTTAAACTATTTCGAACCAACAATGTCTCTTTCAAATGCAAATGTTCCCTTCGTCCTTTGGCTTTATGAGGAGCCGAGGCAGTCTAATTGCCTTCATTGTGAGAATATAATATCCTAAATTCCAGCACATTCCACCACCAAGCCAGTCCCAAGCTGAGAAATGGAGGGAACAAAAAATGTTCCCGCCAAAATAGTCCTTTTCTGCGCTAATTGCTTTGTCATGAATGTGTTGGGGTTTTCTCTGAAAGGTGCTTGTGCTGAGATTTCTTTGCAGAGAGGAAAAGCGTGTGAGAAAAGGGAAGGAACTTTCTTCTGAAGCTTGTGTGAGCTCGAGACCTTTCTGAACTTTCCAGGGAAAAAGTCCCTGCACTCCTCAAGCTCATGAGCCAGCCAATGTCTGTTTTCTTACATGTGTTTCTACGCTTCCTTGAGTATCTGTCCTGGCCCATTGTAGAAGACTGAACCATGACTAATTTCCTGTTGGAGGGAGCAGAAAACAATGCCTGCTCAGCGCTGTGTCTTTACTTTTTCTATTATGTCGACTGCCTAAAGGCTGGCTGTGAGACTTGATTGGAAGTGATAGTTATAAGTGGCGGGGGCCACCATGTTTTCCAATGAGTCTTGCAAACAGAGACTGTACACAAGCGCTAAGCTGGAGTTTGACGTACTTAATGCCCTTGTTCTCAGAGGTTTTAGCCTGTGTGTAAAGTACAACCCTGTTTCTAAAAGAGTTGGGATGCTGTCCAAATATAAATAAAAACAGAATGCAGTGATGCGCAAATCATTTAAAGCCTATATTTGACTGACAATAGTACAAAAACAACATATCAAATGTTTACACTGAGAATTTTTTTTTTTAATGCTCATTTTGAATTTGCTGCCAGCAACATGTTCTAAAAAGTTTGGACAGTGACATGTTTACAACTGTGTTGCATCATCTCTTCTTTTAACAACACTCATTTAGGTGCTGAAATGACCAATTGTTGTAGTTTTGAAATAAAATATTTTACCATTTTGCTTGATATGAGATTTCAGCTGCTCAATAATGTACCCCACACTCCTTTGTTTGTTATTTTTTGTTTCATAGTGAGTCATTTTTTTTTCAGTGGGTAACATTAACTCTTTTACTATGAAACCAAGCTGTTATAATACATGCAGAATATGGTTTGGCATTGTCTTGACTGAAACAAGCAAGACCTTCTCTGAAAAAGATGTCATCTGGATGGCAGCATATGTTGCCAAAACCTGTATATATCATTCAGCATTAATGGTGCCTTCACAGATGTGCAGGTCACCCATGCTGTGTGCACAAATGCTCCCCCATACCATCACTGATGCTGACTTTTGAACTGTCCGCTGATTTCAAGCTGGATTGTCCTTCTCCTCTTTAGCCCAATGGACGTGGAGTCCATGATTTCCAAAAGAGAACTTCAAATTTTTATTTATCAGACCACAAGACACTTTTCCACTCAGATCATCTTAAATGAGCTCAAGCCCAAAATTTCTCAGTTTCAACATTTGATATGTTGTCTTTCCACTATTTTACAGAGTTTAAATGATTTGCATGTCATTGAAATCTTTTTTTATCTTAAATTTACACAGCATCCCAACTTTTTGGGAAACAGGGGTTGTAGAAGTGGAAAAGAGTACAGTTCAGTTCAGAGCACCAGTTTGCCAACTTAAACGCTAAAGAAATAGTTTAATATGAAAAATTTACATTTAAATGATGCTTCTTGTCGAGATAAACATTATATAGATATACATTTGTAGTTTTACTCTAACCTAAATGAAAAGTTTTTTTTTTTGATGCTTTAAAGAGCTAAGAGCTGCAGTATGAAATTTAATTACGCTAAGCAGACATATATAGCAATTTCTCTATTTAATTGTTCACAAACATTAAATAACTGCCTGGTCTGTTTAAAACAATAGTAACATATTAACATGTATTAACAAATACATTAATAATACATGCAATTTATGTAATAAACTAAAAACAATATTTAAAGCAATATTTTAAAGGAATTTTTTCTTGCATTTTTCTCCTTGAGGTATACTTGTGACATTTGCGTGCTTATGCACCAAAAACAGTCATGATATATTTCTACATAACCGTTTTCCCATATCTTTTTATCCCTTAGGCTAAAGTGTCCTGCAACTCACTTGAAACAGTTGCCAGTGATTCAACTTCATGAAAGAAGTTTTATGAAACAGCCATCATGTGATCATGTTGCATGACATCATCTAAAACAATTTCATCAGATCATTGGACAACAAAATAAAACAAAACACAGTGTAATGGGCAGTTTTAAAAAAGGAGACCACCCTAATCGACTTTATGTAAGTCTGGTAGTTTTTCATTTTGCCAGTTTCCGGAGCCAGGAGAAGAAACACATGAGTTTCTCTGAGCTTATGTTTCTGGTTTCTTCTTTTTCGTTAGCCTGCTATTTCCCATGATCTATAAAGTTTGAAAATTTTTGATCTGTTCAAAGATAGCCAAACAATAACAGCAATGACAGCTGAAAACATTTGAACATTGTTTATTTAAATGGGGAGAAAACTGAATAAATATGACAATTATATTTACATATAAATGCAGGAGTTTTACTTTCTTAAGCTAGATTTGTCCACCTGTGATTACATTCTAATAATGAAATATAGTATATTAAAAACGCTGATGTACATGTTATACAAGGAAACTGAGATGAAGCAATTCTGTGACATTCAGGCTTGTAATATGCATTATGCTGAGAGGGCTGATTGGGTTTCTCTTGTTATTATGTACTAAGGTACTGAGATACTGAGCCCCTGTCTACAAAAGCATCTTTTAAAGCATCTCAATTTTCTCTAATTGTGATGTGGAAGCCATCAGAGACCACACTGTTGGCCATAGCTGTGGGTGAGAATGAAGGCTGTAAATGCCAAGTGATATATCTGCCATTGACAATGGGGTCGCTCTGCATTTCACCCATGGGAACACAGGGTGTGGGTTGTTATAATGGTGACCTCTGAATGTCAATGACAAACAGACACAGGAAGATTTTACTGTTTGGCAGTAACTTCTCAAACAAGCAGGATGACCTCTGCTGTTGTTGGACTGCTGTTGAGTTGACCTGACCCAAACCTAAGAGTACTGTGCATTCACACTGGTGTTATATGGTGTGAGGAGACCACCCTCAAGGTTTTTTTTTATATTAGCTCACTAAATTGCAACAAATATACCATCAAGAAGTCTTGTTGCTGAATGAAAAATTTGCTGTGCCTTTCCTGAATCCAGGCAACTCACTGAACCTGCATTTGTTGTGTATTGATTGTACCTGATCATACTAAATTGTACTTTCTGTTATGGTGTCTTTGTACTTTTCTGTATTTTCATTAAGTTACCTGATTGTAAAGTGTCCTTGAGTATGAGATTTTTTTAAAAGTTGCAAAAAAGGTTTTACTGATTTTCTAAGGGAATGCAAATACACATCCTGTACAGATAACACACCTGTAAACTGTGCAGTTACCGTATTAGCTGAATTTAGAAGTTGAGAAAAAAATATAACATTAAAAAATGCCATATTTAAGTTTATTTCCTACAGAGGACGTGTTGGACTTATGTGTCATTTGAACAGGGGTGTTCAAACTGATTAAGGAGTTATGTTAAATAATTAATAGGAAATTATACTTTATTGTTATTGTAAATGGTATATATTGCATTAGAAGGCATCATACTGTAGTATATTGTATTATTCAGCACATTGTATCTTACAATGTATTCTGGACATTGTATTACACTGTGTTATACTGTATTATTCTGCACTGTACTTAGATGAAAGTTTGATGATAATGTAGCTGTCCCAGTCATTTTCACTTCATTCTGTACATACAAAAAAGATGGTTCTTCAAGGGTTCTTTAGCAAAGACAGTGCTTCTATATAGAACCATGACCACTTAAAGAACACTTTGCATGATTCAATGGTTCTTTGCATCATGAAATCGTTCTTCAGATTGATGAAGAAAGTGTTGTAGATGGAACTTTTTTGAAAAGTGTTCTATATAGCACCAAAAACGGGTTCTTCTATTGTTACAAGCTTGACACCGCACAGATAGAAGAACTCTTTTTGGGCTCCATCTGAAGATTAATTTTACCAAGAACCATTTAAACATGCAAAGGTTTCTTTGAGTGTTCACGGTTATATATAGAACCATTTTCTTTATTAAACAACCCTTGAAGAACAATCTTTTTTTAAGAGTGTACTGCCTTTGCGATTACTTATTGTTACATGTTATCTGGCTTACAATAGATAGATAGATAGATAGATAGATAGATAGATAGATAGATTTCTGTCCATAATATTTGTCATTGGACAAAATGTTTGCCCAGCACTAGAACACATTCAGGCTGTCTTGAAGTCTGTGGCATCAGAAATGCTGAAAGATGTTTGCTTGACCGCTCTAATTGTTTACAATGACCAAGCTGTTATGATAATCAAGATACTCCTTTATGTTCTCCTTTGATAAGTTCAAAAAATTCTTACCAGCTCTCGTCTCAGCCAGGCCAGAGCACTCTCAATGTCCAGTCGTCCAGTGTGGTCACGGTCCATGCTCGCAGTCCTGTATGCGTCCTCTGCTGCCGGCTGCTCTCTGAACATCACTGCTGCTTTGCAGTCATTAAAGGTAGCTTCTTTACAGAGAAATCTCTAAGTCTGGTCAGAACCACTTCCATTCTCTTAGGATTAACTTCTGAAGAAGTGTCTTGGTTACAGCTACTTTATCTAAAGCACTTTCTCAGCTGTAATGAGGACAGCTTTGTCTTTCAGATTCTATTTTTGGTCACTTTATCAGCCCTACCTGCCTGCTCTTTCTAAGAAATCTGAGCTGAACACTAGTGATGGTTCTCCCCTGGGAAGGGTACTGCTGTGGAACCTCTTCCTCTTCCACAACTTATTTGGAGTTACCAGCAATGTATGTGTTTGTGTGAGAGAGTGACGCAGAGGGACGTCAGCACTGTCTATTGTGTGACCCACTGACGTTCTTGTTTACCATGTACCATGTACCACACACACACACACACACACACACACACACACACACACACACACACACACACACAGGGATCCTCCCTTGCTGAGAACATGTGGACATGGAGTTGCCATGGTTATCTGAACAGTGCTACTCAAGACAACTGGGCAGTCTATGGAATGTCCTTGGCACAGTCTGAAGACACAGCAAGTAACAAAAGAGGTAAGATGGAGTGGACTTTCTTTTTTACATCTGTTTAAGGACTGAGTGCAAACACAAACATATACACACACAAAATAAATGTGCACAAGTCAAGAACTGTGACCTATTCTCTGGTAAAGCAGGAGTTGGAATTGGGATTTTGAGTGTATGGGTTAATCCTGCTCTAAAGGCAAGACAGTAGAAGTGTAGCGATACACATTTGCAGGTTTGATATGATTTCTGATTCAGTGATAAAGACTTGATTTGATTTTTTGATGGATTGTGTTAAAATGTCTTGAGTGGAAAGTACATGTTTGTGTTTTTTTATAACCTGATGTTTCAAAACAGAACAATAAAATAAAAAGTCTGGAGATGAGTCGGGGTGTGTGGAGTCAGTACAACTTAGAAAATATAATTTCAATGGTTTATGGTACAATTATGTTCCCTGACTAAAGGTACTGAGATGTACCCTTGAGTGTACCACCCAAGTGAGAAGAGAGGTACTGCCCAAGTGCCAGTTTAATACCTTTTTTTCTGAGAGCGTTAAATGGCCAGCTTTAATACACACTTTTATAATGTATAAAAGTATGGTTTTATAACCTTATAAAGATTAACTCACCTAGTTTGCATTGCAGTCTGTGTAGTTACTGAATAATAAGCCTTAGTATGTCATAAGCCTGAGATTTTAAGGGGGTTAATAACATGCTGGGATTAAAAACAACTCCAGAATCAACACTAATCATTACTCCCATTTTAATTCTAAACTTAGTTGTAAACTTACTTTTGTAAACTTAGTTCTGAGCAATGACAGTGGTTTCCACAAATGAGAGACCCAGGTTAACTGGTAAACATTAACTCTGTAACACTGTTGAGTTTCTGTTTGTGGAAATTGCTCATATTCTCCAATCATGAGAAAATTTACATCTACATAGTTTGCTATATACATCACTAGCTTAACCAACTGCATGCTATCATATCCTCTCTGTGTTGCTTCAAACAACTCCCTCAAATGAGCAGCACTTTTAAAGTACAAAAATAGCTGCGGCCCATTTAGAGCTATATTTAAAACTGAATTATTCAACCACTTACATCATTCCAACAAAGAGCCCCGAACTTATCTGACGCCACAGACCTCAAGCCAGCCTGAATGAGTCCAAGGTTGATTTATGAGAGGGAGTCTAATTCTTAGCAACTAGCCACCTCACTGAAGCTGGGTTTGTGTCTCTGAAGAGGAATATTCAAATCACTGGCAAATCACAACTCTACATGCAGCCTAACTTCTTCATGTAAAACAACACTTTTGTCTTATATAACAAAGATTATAATGCACAGTGCTGTCTATTTCAAAAGAGCAGCATATGACTACTGAAACAATCCCCAAAAGTCCAGCACAAGCACAGATAGACTTCTTTTGCCCCCAGGCTGTACCCTTTTGGTTGTTGTGTATAATATCTGTTGTTAACAATGAACCATTTATGTAGTCAAACTTTAATATCCATTTCAGCTCAGCTCCGCTCCGAAATAGGTTCCTTAGATGCCCCCCGTACTACTGGTGTCTGTGGAGATTTTCATTGAGCATGTTTGGCCTGACAAGTGAGGAGAAACAGTGTGAGGAAGCTATTTAGCATTTTGAATGTACAACCTTGTAAACAAAACAAACCTATGATTAGACTTACTATACTGAGATGTCATATTTATATATATCAACATTAAAACACAAAAACAAATAATATTAACAGAAATATTAACAGAAACAAATCTAAAGACTCAGATTTGTTACCTATTACAATGGTATTTTTTTCCTTCCATTGTGGCCCTAAAATTCTTCTCATTTGCATGTTTGATATAAATATTTTAGCAAAATACCCCAATAATGCTAAATATGATGATAAGAAAAAGGAAGAGTTATGGTGTTATGGTGTGAGTCAAAAAGTGATCATTGTAGCCAAGAAGTTTTGAAAATGATTTCAGGACAGGTTACTTTTTTGGACAACCATCTCAGCACTAACCCCCGAATTTATCTTAAGTAATTTCCAAAAGAGGCTGGAACATGAGACTTTTTGGATGGTTAAAAGGTGACTGTTCAATTGCTGCAAACTTTCGCAGGTGACATTGAGCTCACTTCACCAGTCAGACCAGCTGCTGTGACTCATTCCACCAACACTGGACCTCCACCAACACGCCTATGAGCAAAACCGCTCCGCTGGGGAGACCATACCCTATACCCCTGGCATCCACCTATCATCACAACATAGGTACAACAAAGACTAATGTCAGAATGCTGTCTGAGCTCTTCACTCTGCAACTGGGCCTCAGACAGTCAGCATCCAGAACAGGCTGTCATGCTCCATCACTCTAAACACTGGCGCCCCCAGGGCTGTGCACTGAGTAGGGTTGCCACCTTTCCAGTATTTTCCTGCATAATCTTGGTATTGGGTTGTCCAGGAAAAAATTAATTCCATACCTGGACAAAAAATGACCTGGAATTTGAGCGTTTTCATATCGCCAATGTCAGAACAAAACCTTATATCCCCAAAATAGTAACCTTACAGGACATTTCAAAACATTTTCAAAACATTTGACACCTTTAACAGATGCTAATGCCACAAAACATTAGAGCATTTCTATTGATTTTTTCATCACAAAATATGAAATACAGCTGTTATAGTGTGCAAAAAAGTAAAAAATGGTCAAAAAGTTAGCATTTCTCATCATGTTTAAACTGCTTCTTTTTATACAATCAAGCCATTTGTATACAAAGAATGGGTTTGATTGGTTCAGATTGCCCTCAGTGTAAGAACAATTGTTTGGGAAAGGTGCACTGTTGGTGACATGTTTAAATGCTAGGCTGCGCTGAAACGCAACAACTGAGATTAGATTGAACTGACATTTATCTACTTTAGATTGCTATGTTAGCACAGCTACCTTTCCACTGAATATAGTCACAAATCCAGGAGTTTTACAGGGCTGAGGTGGCAACCGTAGCACTAAGTCATCTACTGGACATCTTGCTCATCCATGACCGTGTTGCCAAACATAACAGCAACCATGATACTACACTTGTAGGCTCATCTCCCACAACCACGTTGCAGCCAACAGAGCAGGTGAGGCAACTGGAGGTCTGAGGCAAGGATAATAATGTCTCTGAATGTCAGCAAGACAAAAGTGATGATAGTGGACTTTAGAAGGATGCAAGTGTTTCAAACGCCTCTGCATGTTAGCTGTACTATAGTGGAAGCAGGGCATAGCTTCCTGGGAGTGCACATCACTGACAAACTCACCTGGTCCTTGAACACCCCCTCCTTAATGAAGAAGCCACAACAGCCCTACTCCCTAAAGAGACTGAGGAGGACCAGTATGTGCACAGGCATCTTTACCTGCTTCTACTGAAGCATCAGAGAGAGCATCTGACATAGAAACTGCTCTGCCTCAGACAGGAAAGAACAGGTCAAGATTTCCTACTATCAAGTATATCTACACCATGGAGTAGAAAGAAAGCCTGCAACATTAGGAAGGACCTCTCTCACCCCTCATACCATACTGTGAGTACACAGGCTACAGCGCACCCGGGCCAAGTTTAGTTCCACCTTTTGCATCTATAGTCACTTTACAAGTAAGATATACCTTATGCACTCATCGTACACTGATAATAATACAGGTACACCAGTCATTGCTGATGTGGGCTGACAGCTGGTATTATCTCACCCCATTGTCCACTGTCTAGTCTCTACTGCCCCTACTACTCTATTGTATATTGTATAGAATTATTAGTATTTATTGTTTTTTACTGTCATCTGCTGTCCTGTTTTAAATGTAGCACTGTGCCCTGGAGGAAATACATTTTGATGCTCACACATTTGCAGTGAGATAATAATATGATGATGATACAGTGAATGACAATAAAACTTTGATAAGCAATATGCTGTGGATTAATTTACGTATAATTCAAATTTGTTGCTTCTCAAAAAACATCTGTGCATGGGCCTAGATTTAAATCTGTGATTCTGTAAGCATGTTACCTTTTTTCAACATTGTTATCATTCAGATTATCAAACAAACTGTCAATATTGCTTCTGATTGAAGGGTTTTGCTATTCTACACCTTTTCAATAGAATCCCTTATCTGAGGTCAAGCTTAAAACCAAAATTGACCTGTTTTACCTGGTTATATTAAACACAATTTATCAAACATTTCCCTTTAAAAGAAAAATCCGCGCTTTCCTGTGATCTTTGAAATGTAATTCCCACCTTTAAAATGAATTACACCATTGTGCACCAGTGGGTGGGATAAATGATATTAACCAATAAGATCTTGTTTCATTTCTCCCTCTTATCATCATCAAATGAACCTGCTCAACTCAGAGTTTGAAAGAAAGGAAGGAAAATGCATTATGATATCTAATTCACAATGACTTTAAAAAGCCTGGGCAAGACAAGCCGTAAAGGTGACTGAAATGCAGACTGCAAGGCCAGCTATTGTTCACAAAGCCCCTTTACCTCCCCCTCGTGGTACGTGTGCGACATTGCTCTTTTTAAGGGGTCATGAAGCGCAAAAGCAACAAGTACTTGCTATTGTTTATGGCTTTTATTTAAAGGTTAGTATTTGCTTTTGTTTTTAGCTTTCTTGCAAAATCTAACTAGTAGCTATACCTAAAACCCTTTTTCCTAATATTTATCATACAGTTCAATATTCTACTTTTTGCTACTTTGACGTGTACGGATGACAGTGGGTTAAGATACACAGCTGAACACACGTATGAAAACATAAGCTACAGCTGTTTATTTGACATCTAACCTTAATAAATGGTTTAACAGAAAACTTGGGTGCCTATGGAAAACACATGGACTTTTAAACATTCAGTCTATAGCATCACAGCATTTGCACAGGGCTGAGGGGAAGAAAACAAGTCATGACTGAGCACTGGAAGTGCTTGCATTCACACTGACAGTCAGATCAGCAGGTTTCCTTTTCCTGTGCCTGCTCCTCTTCTTTTTTTCTTCGTCTGTTTTTTTGGGGTGCTGCGGCATTGGTTTCTTCTTCTTTTTCAGGCAGCTCAGGGGGTTGGGGTTGCCCGATTTCCTCTTGCGTTTTTTTCCCCGCCTCTCCTCCCCATCCTTGCTGAGGCCCTGCTCGGCTTTCAGGTTCTGGAGGCTCTGCTGCTCGGTCGGGCTCACCAGCTCACCCAGCTGTACTGCTTCCACGTGCTTCTGAGAACGCCCCGAGGGTTTCTCCAGCACTATGGTGTTTTGGATTATATAGAGCAGAGGAACGCCAGGAATCTCCATCAGGCTTGCTGTCAACTCTCGATCCTACAAATTGAGATTAGAAAATACAACCATTTAACTTCCCATGAGTAATTTCTGCACATTCTGTTAAAAACAGTGAGTCTAATTATTGGTATATACATGGTCCTGTTTTAACCTGCCACACTTTTAGGGTAGCTTTCAAATCAAGACACTACAAATTGAGTAGTTGAATAGATAGATCATTACCTGTGTCGCAACAAAGTAGTGATGTGGATTTGTCTGTCCGAGCATTGACAGCAGGCACTGGGATGCAGAGACGGGCTCTTTGCTGTGTTTACACCTCCGTACCTGAAATCTCTGCAAGATGAGTTTAGCTCCATACAGGTCTTTTGAAAGACTGTCAAGTTCCTTCAGTGCACAGCTGTAGAAAAGAGAGATCAAAGTCATTGTGAGAAGTGGCTAAATTGTCTTCCTTCATTATCAGACATTTTGATCACTAGATCCACAAATGCAATAAGTGTAAACCAAAATGTACAAAATGTCTTCTACAGAGAACACACTTCTGCTCACTTCAAGGCACAATCTCTGTTTATTTGCTATATTTAACACATATATTGGAAAAAAAAAACATAGAATGTTGCCTGTGCGAAAGTTGTTGCACATTGTATAGTTTTTTTTCCCGATAAATGTGTTAAATTTAGCAGATAAACAGAGATTGTAAGTTTAAAAATAGGGGTGGGTGATATGGAAAAAATACTATTTCGATATGTAAAGAAATTTATGATACACAATTTATGTATCACAATATTTTGGCACACAGACAAAGTGCGCTAGTAACATCATATTTAAAAACTGCTGTGAAAACTATGAATGCACAGATTATTATGCAACAGTGGGTTATAGTATGTAACATTTTAAATTTGTTTATGAATAAAACACTGGGGTGTTCAAACTTTTGCACATTACTGCATGCATGTGTGTATAAACATAAAATGTTTATTTAGGTCTCTAACCTGGTGTATCTGTAACCTTTTTCGCTTTCATCACATAGTAACTCAACCAATGTCCAAAACAAATCAAACAGCTGTCTTTGAGGAGAGTGGTTTGATGTGAAATGCTCCATTCTAGAGAAACGTTCCAAGTCAGATGTGTTCGCAGTGGTGTTGATAGGAGGACGTCTGAGTCTAATGCCTCTGAAAGTTCCCTCACAGAAAGTTATTACATGAAGTGATTAGACAGATGCTGCCTGATGTCTGATACATTGTTTTATGATAGTTTTGTGATAAGGTTACGGCTTAAAATGTATTTTAATCAATTTATTGTAATCCCTTCATGGCAGATTGGTACATGCAAAGCAAAATAGTCCCTAAAGAAAACTTATTTTTTTCTGTTTTTCTATTATTTTACCATCAACATTACATATAAAAACGAGTGTAGGGTCACTGGTGGTTTTGGACAGTAGGTCCAATAAAATGGCTATATTTGTGTTGTAGACATGGCGACCCCTGGTTCCCATCACCACCACTGTAAAGAAATACGAGTCTCTACAATACACCATTGCACACCAAGCCACTCTGAATGACTCTGTTTACCTCTCAAGCACTGATTTTTTAGAAATTTTGAAAAATTGTTGGCATTCCCCTTTAATAATAAACTGGCATCGACTTACTTTGTGGTGCAAAGTTGGACTTCTCCCATAAAGTACTTGGGCATTTGCTCTTTGATTTGGATCTTATTCTTCAACGCTGCTTGACAGAAAGTCCCATCGATCAATATTTGAAAAGGTTCCCGAAAACCAAAGTTGTACTTGTAAAAGCTGATGGTTTTCTTCGCCTGCTTCTGTCGTTTGATCTTCATTGTGCCGAAGCTGCTTCTCTGCTGCTGCTGGAGCTACTGTAGATTAACTTAACGTTACTGCTCAGACTGGACACTTCGGCTTATTATTTGATGTATTAACAGGCCTTGCAAGCCGCAAAATAAAACTGACCACCGACACAAAGTCAGTATAGTTAACGTCACTGAACTAGATATAAAAAAGAAAATTAGAAACTGTCACCTGGTACTCAGCATGGTACTCTCGGAGTACCAACGAAGCTTGACCGTGTGGAAACGCGGAACGTTAGATAAACAAAGGAAATAATGTCAATTTAAGGGAAAATATGTAGCGGCATAACCTGAATAAACTAATAGAATATAAACAGAGTTTCTAAATAAACACACAAAACTGTATGACGTTATATAACATCTTGTTTGTGACTGATGTTGAGACTTTTGTCCACATCATTTAGGTTAGGAACGACTAAGCGTAAAGCGGTTTGTTTCCCATCGTATTATCCGGAAGGTCTCAGTTTAGGTCTTGCTCTCCTCGTGCTGGTAAAGATGGCGCTGCGCAGAGATCCCGCGTCTGGAAACACCCTGGATTCCCCTGTAAAACAGATCCAGATCGAAGGCTTGGTAAGATAATGTGCTTCTGAAGTTTGTACAGTTGTGTCCACAGACGGACCGAGCTGGTGTTGGTTCGTTTAACACGTCAGACTCTCAGGAGCAGACGAAGCTGGAGTCGGCTTCTTGTTAGCCAGCGTCTTGTTCGGATTTTCCCGTTCCACCTTAAATGGTGCAATAGTTATAATCATAACGTCTGAGGTGAAAGTAGCTGTTGCACCGTTTAAGGTGGAACGGAAAAATTTGAACAAGAAGCTGGCGGACAGAGAGCTGACTCCAGCCTCATCAGGAGCAGCGAGGGGCCCGGAGCTGAAGCGGGTATAGAAAGATGATGAGATGCCGCACAAACAAAACCTCCAAATAAGTAAACATATAAATAAAAAAAAGGGGAAGTAACTGTAGGATGCCTCACCAAAGCACCCAAACCCGCATACTCTCGTACAAACTAGGTTAGCACATTGAAAGAGTACACCTCCGTTAGAAGCTCATTCATTTATATAGTGTAGTGTAGTGTGTGTGTTTTTGTGCGTTTTTGGGCGACCACTTAACTGAATCTCCAATGGCTGCATACTCCCTACGTTGTCCCCTACGTAGTACACTAGCTACATGGGTTCTGAAACAATGGTTTCATCCAGGCAGTGCGTTACATTTCTAAGAAAGAGTCTTATTCGCGCAGATCCCTAGTTGACGCTAGTGCGCTCTATATGGGTGCCCAGAAGCCACAGCCTCACCACTCGCCTAGTGCACTATATAGCGAACAGGAAGCTGTGAATTGAATTTGAGATTTAGCCCAAAACCCAGGACTGGGTTAGTAGGAACGTTATTTGCCTCTTTTGTTGGACAAGCTTGACAATTTGGCAGGTCTCTGACTAACACTCCCCAGACATGTCCTCACCCTAAACAAAGAACCAAACAGGTACTAGACAGTATTGACAAAATTATCACTGTTTTTTCCAAATATATGACAGATATGATTATTAGGTTTCCATTAATAGAGTTAATGTACCTCCGTGTTCTGAGTACTGCTACACAATGCTAAAATATGTCTTATAAAGATGACTTGTTTGGATTGGACTGTTTTTTTTTTCCTTGATTATGCCGTCAGATACCTTACACAATATAAACTTTAATCAGATAGAAAGCACATTTCCGGAAAGGAAACTAACTTACTTATTTTTCCCCAGCAAGCTACACATTTGACTGTAATGTAAATTGTCAGGGCGCAGGTACCATGAGTAAAGTACAATAAATAGCCAAAGATCATACTGAAAACTAAAAAACTGCTTGTTAACAAGAGCACCATTATTTTAGTTTTACATTGATAGTAATGCTCATTATATGTCAAATATATCTGTAAAATATTGCTGAAACTGAAATGTGGTATGTGAAGACCTTGACACATCGCCATACACTATCACAAACAAAAAAGCAACACTGCACACAAGCCAAAAGACTTTTATTAGATTGTTATGAGAGAGAATTATAAGTATAACTGAACAGGCCAGTCCATTTATATTTGTCATTTAAATCTCTATATAGAAATAAAAGAAAGCTGCTTACTTTCAGTTAGCTTTGTTTGGATGCAAGCTGCTCACAGAGAAACATGTTTCATAATTATATGAAATTGCATAACAACATGAGTACTACACAATATATGATTTATTTTTATTTACAATTATTATTGTATTGATTTTGATCTTTTCATCCTGACATGACAGAAGCAATGTGCAAGAGATGCAAATCACTGATGTGTGCTCTGAACATACTCCTGATGCATTTCTTTGGGTGTTTTTTGAGTCAGGGTGTTCACATGATTGATTTAATAAATGTAGATATAAAATAAGACGGGCTAATCTTTAACTATTTCTCATCAAGAAATAGGCTTGATTCAAAAGCTGCTGGCTGCTTTAATGGAATATGGCAAAAATATATGATGATGCTTGGTAGAGGTGAGCGATATGGCAGTAATATAGTATTGCGATACTTCAAGATGTTTTCACAGTGCGTGATACGTCATGCCTTTTTCAGACATCTCAGTTAGACCAGAGAAAAAAGAACCTCAAATAAAAAAAAATACTATTAAAAAATCTGACTACAATGATTTTTATTCAATATTTTCCATACTCTGTTGCACTAAATCCAGTTAAACAGGACTAATTTTGCTCTCTTTATAATGAAACAGGCATTTGGTCAGAGTCCTACAAGCACTGATATCCACAATGTGCTCAAAAAGTGTATTGTTTTGTGATATAATTTGTCAGAATAACAATATGTATTGTCTTATTGCCCAACCTTAATATTTGGAAGCATTTTCGTGATGATTGATGTATATCAAAATATTAAATTTTTTGGGATTGAATGAGTTGAAACAGACAGAAAAGCCTCAGTAGTGCCACATAAAAAAAAACTGAGCACACTCAATTGTGGTCAGTGTTTTACATGCTGCTGTGCAGTGTAATTCATTACAGTATTAAGCTATCATATTGCCACCTCTAGCTACAGCCGATACAACGCAAAAAAGTCTCTTCCTAAAATCTAAAGAAAATCCCGTTTTGAAAGGGTAAAGAAACCTTAATATTGGTGTTACTGCTATTGAACATTCATTACTGCTCTCTGTGCAAAAGCATATCGTGAATGAATTGGGCTCCCGCTTGTGCCATGTACAATCCATGCCTCTAAATGATGTGTAATAGCCTAATAAATGTAGACATTAAGTTATTTAACAGAGAGCCCTTTACTAAGACTGCATAGCTGGTTTAAAGTGAGAAGAAGAGAGCCAGTGAGCCAGACTAAAACCTGCTTAAAAAGCCTAGTGGCAGAACACCAGACGAAATGTGAAAATGAGTTGATGGTAGTGCTGCATCAAAGACGTCTGTGCTATGGGGGGAAAAAAGGATTCTAGATGTATGTGTGTTGACGGTACCTTTTAAAGTGGGGTTTATTCTGACCTTTTTCCCCTCTTATCCATATTTATGTGTTGAAAGCCTTACAAGTACTTCTTACTGCACTAGTTTGGGCTTTTGAGGAAAGTCTCTGCCAAAGCTTTAAGCTCACAGGCACTTTGTTTGTTTACTTTCATGCTCAAGGTAGCACATTTTGTTTTAGGATGTTGCCTAAGAAAAGCTGCAAGCAAAGTTTTCATTGCATAGCTCATTGATTTCCAATGGCTGCCTGTTTCCCACCTTCAGCGAGAAGCCTGCTAGCTGGGAGCTGCTGCCTGGCAGTTCATGAATGGGTCCTTACCATGTTTCTTTCATACTTCAGTATAAAGCATGTGCTTAGCATAGTTAGCTTCCCTTTTTACCCATAAGTTGCTACAACATGTCTCTTTGAGTTCCAATTTGTTTATTCCCTGCTGTAATCTGTGACTTGCTCATACTTAGACCAGAAAATAATGACTCCTGATTATGTTGTATGGATGTTGGATGGACCCACCAGCTCAAACCGATCTGTGACTGAGTGGGTTTTTGTGTGTGGTGAGGATAGGTTCAGGATAATAATTCGTCCTTTCCCTGTTACCTGCAGCAAGAGTTGCCAAAGACAGATGTATATAATTTTTAACATAATAGTGATTTAAAACTTTCCAGATGTCTGCTTGTAAAACACACTGTTGGACAAGTGCTGTGAAGATTTTGATGACACTTTGTTTTGTGGCAACTTTAAAGCTCCAGTGAGGAATCACTGCAGTTCACAGGCAAGTTTTTGTTACAGCAACAGAAGAAACTGTTGCTGTATCTTCAGCCATTAAAAGGTATGAGCTGTTTGCCAGTAGTGATGCATCTGCAGCAAGTCAGTGCTGGCCTGTGTTACTGGCCAGCTGATATTTCACATTTTATCATTGTTATCTGTCTCAGCGTTTCCTCAAACCTTATATAGGCAGGGTGGTCTGTTGAGCCAAACTCACCTGCCATTTGGCTTGAATAAAGTACAGACTGTTAGATGTAACTGCCAGGCTATTATAATAATTCCAGGCTATATAATATAAAATTCCTGTAGCATTCTTCAAGCCCAAATACTTAAAAGCAGATCAATTTAGGCTTTCTTATAGAATTTCAGACAGTCTGTACAGTCTTTTGTGTTGGTTTTAAGAACTGTTAACACTACTGTTATAAATTTCAATAGAAGTATATGAAGATTATTCTTTTGCTTTGAGTGGAATGTAAAGCACTGTCACAAATGAGTTCTTCTGATGTTAATTAACTGACTGTAAATGACTAAATTTTAAACTAAACTCAGTCTTTCACAGCTGCATTTCTTGAAAATAAATGTACAAACAGTGTGAAACTTTGTGGATTCACATGCATGTTTCATTGTATTTTTAAAAATAGTTCTGTGAGATGATATTACTCCAGCTGTGTTTTATGTATATGCTTTTGATAATGCCACATACGCATGACAACTCTAGCTGTAGCTTTGAAGGGTCTGGCACCCGTATAAAGGGTCTTTTTGATATACAGCTCTCTGTAAAGTTCATATGCACCTCTGAAGTATACCTGGTTCTGCCATAAGGCCACATTATTTTTCATATGCTAGGCATAAAACTGCATCTTCTGCTTTGGAGATGCTGGAACCTTATTCACTTATCAAACACATTCCAATCGAGAAGTCATTGCAGAATGATTGAAAACAAATTAACTGTTCTGATGAAATGAATCCTCACCACCATGATACTACAATTTAAAAACATTTGCTCTTAACAGCTACATTAAGTGGTTTTCAGAATATTGCAGTCTTATGGAGCCTAGAGTTTCCTGTAGTTATTCTTGTGCTAATGGTTTTCAGTTTGTACATTTTACAGTCAGTGCTGCTCTGCTCCTGTGCCTTGTAAGTTCAGGCATTTATTAAGTCTTCCTTTATTTCACTCCTAAAGTAGTTCAGTAGATGTCCATCGTGTACTGCAGGTTTAGCCTTGTCTGTGTTTCAGATATTTCCCCTTCTCGATTAAGTGATGTTGCTAACTTTGCAGTAACCCAACTTCTTGATAGAGACTTTTTTTTTTATTGTCATGTCAT